ATGAAGGCTGTAAGGGATTGGGACACTTTTTAGGTCACGGCCTTGAAGGCAGCATGCCTTTACTGTAGTCGATCAGTGAATGGACGCACGGAGTAGTACTCGTACATGTACATGCCTCGGGTTTGTTGATATCAGCACGAATACCGACCAGGCTGGTGTTTTACAAGTTCGGACTTTGTATAGGCCGGTGTTCCCACCTCCCTCCCATCCCACCTACAGCAAACACGTTTACCAATGCCAGAATGGCGGTGGCTGGTGCCATGTTTGATATCCATGCTTTGTCTTGTTAAGTAATGTTAAGTAATATAGCGCCAGTCTGATGCATCTGCCGTTGGTGTGTCATCGTCGCCATGCAAGAACCGACTTCCAGGCGACAGATGCTCGATGCGCTAGCTCTCTTGGACGGGAAATACCAAAACCGCTGCCATGCTAGTCAGATTCTATATATATGCTGCACTACATTACTACCTGTAGATGCTGCAAACGGAGTAGCATCAACAGATGCGCGACTAGTTGTTAGCCGGCATCCTTGCATCGAGACCACTAACACAAGCCGTTGCGATGCGGGCTCGCGACACACAACCGCCAGGGAGGGTCAAATACGACCGACTGCCTTGGCTCGGATGCCGTGTCGCAATTCGGGCTCACATTAGCACAAGTATCTAGGACGCATGCGTATCTGCCACTTATGCGCAGGTAAGGAGGCCAAGTACGAGAGCAGGGACAGAGCATGGAGACAAAAGTACGGAGAACGGAGCGGATGCTACATGGAAGCACCAGGTCGAGCCGATCCATGCCAGACTTGACGGGGGTGGCACATCTCAAACGGTCAGCCTGATCCAGTAATAATCCAGAGTTGCCGTGTGCTCGAACAAGCGCATTTTCGGATGCAGACAGTCGGAAGACCTTTGCACGCGAGGACCCTGCAAACCGCTGGTCATTGCCGCTTTGGCCATGGGCGAGTCGAGTGAGGGCGGAAGGGTAACACTAGACAGAAAACGAAAAAGTATACGACGGCGGGAATTATAGACCCGACAGTTTATGGGAGAGATGGTTGGATGGCTGGAAGATGGCCACAAGTTTCAAGAGAGATGGTGCTGGAAGTTTAAAACCTCAACATATAACGAATAGTCTCTGTCATTTTGCAATTACCTGGTCCTACCAGAGAGTAGTAGTGCTACAAGAGGTAAGTAGATACTCGTATTGAAGCGTCCAGTATGGAGTACCTTACACTATATTTCTCACAGGTATGATTACCTATTGTTCTGCCTACCTAGTACATGTAGGTAGTCTTCTGCCCACCCGCAACGCTACGTTTATGTAATCCGCTACTTTTGCCCGAGCCAGGACCAGGGTCTGTTGAAGAAGGCATGTCATTGCCACTATCGCTGGACCATCTCAAGCTCCAGCTTCCGAGCAAATGCGGGCGGTTGGATCTGCACGTCTAACGGGGAGAACTGCTGTTGTTGGGAGGGGCAGACAAGCCTTGCTACCGCTAACCAGGACAGGCAGAACAAGGAGCGCCAGCTCTCCGTGCCTCTGCATCTATCGCATAATGCATAAGACGGCCATTGATACCTACAGGTAGCACTGGGCACTAGTTGCAGAACAAGTACCTGCTTATATCCACCAAAGATGGGCCTCCTCCGCCTCCTCCTCCTCTCCTCCTCCTCCTTTGGCACAATTCGCACAGACGGATGCCTACCTCTTGTACCTACCTACACAGGCAGATTACAAGTGTCTGTATCCGTACGACCTCCCTTCTTGGTCAGCCAAGTCCATGTGAGGTCCGGGTGCTAACACGAGGTCGGCCTCAGCTCCCTCGGCTTTCCCACTTTAATCCTCAAACAAGCATCTACCACTCCGTACTCGGTGCTCCGTAACTTGGGCCGCATCCACGGCCGCGCCATGAGCCGTCTCATGATCTAAGACACAGGTTGCCCAAGCAAGATACGAAGCAGCCAGCCGACCGCCGCACTAAGCTCGTTGCACCCTTGTGAGCCGAGAGGCGGCGGCGTGTCTTAGACCCTTCATGTTCCTCCTCCGATTTCAGCTTGTGCCATCTACATGGAACCAGTAAGATTCCAGGGCGCTTTCCCCTGCTAGACCTCTGGCGTGTACTTGTACATGTCATTGTCCTGATGACGGCCCTACGGAGGATCTCAACTAACTTGGCGCCATCATGGTAGCATGTGAGGATGCCGCATGTGCCTTAATAACACCAAAGAGCGCTGATCGGAAGCATACATAGTAGCAGCCGCGTAAGATTGCCATTTCCAGCGGGAAAAAAATGGCTGGCATCAAAAGGGAGCCTAGGAAAGGAAAAGAAGCTCGCTTAGCCTTTGCTGAATCATTCGCTCCATCATATCAATTTACTTGTTTCTTGTTGATGCCTTTTGCTTGAGTCAAGCTGCGACTTTACTTGCAGAAGCTCTGCCTACTGGTTTTGGTACATGTACTAGCACTTGCTGCTACTGTACTCTTTGCTTGGGTGCATCTGCAGTTGCATTAGGACAATGGCCGCATGAGCCAATGACAGCCCATGGAATGCTTCTGAGCTTCGGCCGGCCCACTTTGATTTAGCTTTTTTCCGCAGTCGGCACCTTCCGTGCTGAGAATGCGATGAACCTACTCTGTAGAGAGACAAAGTCATTGTTAGCGCAATCGGCCGTCTCCTCTCCTCTCGCCGCAACTGCCTGTGTTGAATTGGAATGCCCCAGACATTGCAGATTGAAAGGATTCGAAACACCATGTACGGAGCACCTTGTCCGTCAATACTGCTATCGCCTATCTAGGTAGCTAGTACTGCTACTAGGACATATCAAGTAGCTATTCAACTATTGTATTAGTTGAAGGATCGCTACGGCATATCACGGTAGGAGCCTGCATTCGAACTATCCTGAATTACCTGACACAGCATCCAGCATATGCTCGCTAGCGGTAATCATGCCGTAACCTTCATCCTGCTGATACCTAGTACATAGCCAAACACTGAAGCCGAGTACTCTTGCGCGACTAGCACACGGCAGAGTGACCTCTCCTCCCCCACCCACGAGGTACAACTCTAGCACCTCGTACACGAAACTCAAAAGATGGATCCTAATTGGCGCTGCGCCTCGCACATGTCGTCAACTCGTCCGTGCAGGTACGATGTAGCGCTACATCCAATGCCATCAGACGCCGTCTCAGGCAGGCACAGACGGTGAGTCTCTTGCCATTTCGGAGTGCCCACGCAGGCAAGTGCGAACCTTAGGCAGTTGCAACCCGGCAGTTCTAGATTTAGTGTTTGATCCAGGGCCAAAAAGTATCGCCAACGATGCAGCCTCCCTCGATGCCATATCAGATCAGTGTTTGGTCGAGACATTCGTTGACCTTTCTCGACTGCTCGTACGGAATGTCGCCGAGAAGGCACAGACCGCCAGGGTTGTTGATCAGAGTTGCGCTGTGTTGCCACCTGGACGGCTAGGAGCAGACCATGGGTACTCTCGTCTTCCCGTCTTCTCTTTCCGTCTTCTTCTGCCGTCTTGAGGACTAACGTGGACTAACTACTGAGAATATGGCCTCGGGAAAACCGAGGCAACCGAAGAATCACCCAAGCAACCTCGCAAGGCAATTGCCGAATTTTACAGCATCACCCCTATTTGAGGACATTGCCTGGCACCCGGTGGATAGTGTGAACACACTTTGTGCTAGACATTCACCGCTCGTTCTCTTTTGCCGGAACTGGGATGAATTCGTTTCACAGAGGGCGGGAATGCTCTCTTGTGGTACCTCGCTTTCGCGCTCACGCCCTCGGCCTCGCTGGATTCGGGGCCAGTCTCTCTCCCAATCTTCTCTTGTTTTACGCTCTCAGTAGCCAAGATCGAGATCAAGACCCGTTTAGCTCCGAGCACACGACCAAACTAGCATCAAGCCAACCCTATCACGCCAGACTCGGTCCTTGGCTTAATCCTGCAAGGACTCCTGTCGGTCATCGACCTAAATCTAGGTCGACAACCATGGCTTTCTCCAAGAAACTATTCATTTCAAAGCAGGAACACCAGTCATTTTGGCTTTTGGGGAACGGTAAACTAGCCTAGGTAGGATCTTGGCTACGGAACCCTGAATCAAGTCGGCTATAATATATTAAACATCGTCTCAACTTGACACACCCAGCATCTGCCGGCACAGCCACACGTGGCCTGAAAAGCCATACGCGGACGGGCCAATTTCAGCCCAGAAACTGCAGAAAAGGGCTGTTCTTACCAAAGTGTTTCGGTAATACATCAAGGATTCGGCTTTTCCTAGTCAAGTCTCTCCGCTAGATGTTCTACTGCAGCCTACTGAGCCGTACCAGTTTCGCAAAACCACTCGGATGCCACGCCTTCGGCTAGCAGTTTTACATCAAGTTTCCACACATTGCAATCTGTCCACTAAGAATCGAGCTTCTGGCGCCAGCAGCCGCCGTTTATTCTTGGCTGGCTGGCCTCGATACGCAAAGAAGATAAGAAGTCGAGCCAACCAATAGACTGATGCTCAATCAAATCTCCAGAGTGACCTGTTGTAGTTGGCTGGTAACAATATCTTTCTTCTCTGGTGACGAAATATACCCGCCATTCTCAACTTTGAACTTATTGACATTTATTGACAGGTCACTTGTATTCAGCTGGTGAAGCCATCGCCCTAAGCTAATAAACACGAGTTTCTTCACCAACGGCATCTTGTTGGGTAAACAGAAACGGGACCAGATAGCTCACAATGAGAATCGACGGTTTCTGGCCCCCCCGCATTCGCCACACCATCAGCTGAATAGACTTTCATCTTTGTCCTCGACTTCGCGGACTTTGGACCCCTCCCAACCTTGAATAAACAAGAAGCAGAAAGTAAGCCAGGCAAGCCACGCACTATGCCGAATTCGAATAGTTGCTGAAGCAGATACTCGAAGCCACCTCACAGTGCCGCAATTCAACCATGCAATGGCTGAGTTTCACATAAATTAAGGCAACCTTTTATTTCCTTTCTCATTTGTCACTTGAACGCGGTTCCCGGACTAGCAGGCCCGTGGGGATGGCCTGATCAGCCGCCATCCGATTGGACCAGTTTTCAGATACGATGTGCCCAGAGCAGGCATTGTTGCCGCGAACTTATGTTGAATTTGTCGAAAGAATTTTCATTTATCCTGGGTCATTGCCCTAATTGGGATAAAGCCAGTTTCTGCTTCGTCCTTGGACTACCTACTTGAGGAATATGGGTCACCACATTCAGCTGCGGCCCGCGAAACCAGAGACCTAGCATCGGTTGTGTTGGGTTTCGGCTTTGGCATTGTGACCTTATTGCCGTTACATATTTTGATATGATGGCGCACGGCGTCAGAAGGATGTGCGTCGTTTCGTCCTGCTAGTGTCGCCATTGATCTTCCCTGTATCATTGGTAACTGCGCTCAGGGTTTTTTGCAAGTCTGATATTACGACAAAAAGATGTGGCTATGTGGATCCACTCACTCAAAGCTGCCTTTTAGCTTCTGTTACATCTGCAGCTTGAAAAGCTTCAGCATCAAGCACCAAGTACGGAGTACGAGTTGGCTTATTTACATCTCCGGGCCAGACGGAACAGCAGCTCAACAACCAATGCCTAGATGGGGACGAGTCACACCGGAGCCAGGATTATTTTCAGCCGTCTGCTACCCCTGGCCTGACGACCTCAGCTGCAGATAACCGAGATAAAATTGTTGCATCGCCGTAACTATGTTGGGCTTTGCTGAAGAGAACTTATGAGCAATACCATAACGGCCGACCGAAGACGACTTACAGTGCGTCCCAGTCCGAATGAATTCTGCATACTTTGGTGTGCTGCAACACAGCACTGCACTACTGTGACGGAGGGAAAAACGGTACATACAGTACCCTTAATAGCGGCTTACAAGCATAGCGCCCAGTCCAAATGGGAACATGGTATGAAATTCTCAATATGCCCGCTGCGTTCCGTCTCGTCTCGTCACAATTTGTTAAAGGCTAGGCTCGTGGAACCTGCAGCCACAATGACCCACGCGGCGCTCAAGGAAATAAAAAATACTGCGTAGCAGTATTTATTCCTTTATCCCTCATGTTTTATTAGGAGACGGTAGGGCGCAGCCACAGAGGATCCGCCATCCGTAGGTCTGCTCCATGGAGTAGGTGAAGTCGGAAATCTCTCGGATTAGAACAATGCGAGTCGAGAGAAGTCAGGGTATAGAGTGTCTTGACTCAAAGACCATGTTGTGGCTGTTCGTAGACTTTCATACAAAGAGTGCTAATATCACACAGTGGCGTTGAATCCTAAATTCGGTCCCATAATGCCGAGAACAACAAACGGTTCCTGGCAATCAGCCGCACAGAGCAAGGTTTTCACTTGCCGGTTCAGCTTTCTTCATCAAGGTTCCTGACACAGCTAAGCTGATTATGCTTCTGACAACTCTGGGGCTCCCTGGAGTGCGGGCAATTTCGATGACCTTTGAGCCGAGATTGTACGTCTATCATTCCCAAAGGAGCACCCGGCTATGACACTCCCCCTTCTCTTGAGGGACAGCTTGACGTTCGAGTGAAGGGATCAATCAATCACATACAGGTATACTCTTGGTTGTGCGGCAACATAGAGTAGCCGAACTGCCGCTATCCCTTGTCCCGTGCATCAACAAGAGAAAAAAAAATTATATTCTCCACGCCGTTAGCGGGAGACGACGTATTCTTAAGAACGAACGGTTGCCATCTTCGCCACCACACATGCCGCTTGGCGATAGCCGCTACGCGCTTTGCAGGGCGATGGCTTGTTTCCTTGCACCTGCAAGTATTGTTGCCGCGTGTGGAACATATGTTCCCTACATCTAGGTTGCCCGATGGGATGGAACATGCACGCTTTTGTTTAGTAGTCGTTGGGTTGTTCTCTCACACCACCCACACAGAATATCCCGACAAACTCTAGACTATATTCATCTAGTTACACCCTCGCAAGTAGGGGCACTTATTCAGCTTCGGAATAATACCACCTATTCCCACTGGCCGGCCACAAAAGCCGCATCTCTTCAGCATGTCGCTAGCAAGAGGCCATCCCCTTGCTTCTGCCCCCTCGCCACCAAGACTATTGGCTCCTAATATGTTGGACCTTGGCTTTAAAGCCTCGACAATGCGTGAAGCTCCGCTCCCTAATCAGGACGGGACGCAGAGACGAAACGGGCCCCCAACGGCCGTAGCTAGTAATCGATGCGAAGAATGTCACAGGCGCTGCGCCTCTAGCCCGCGAACGGATCATCCGCAGCTGGCTTTTTTATGTCCGAAGCGCCGCTCTTTACATGCGTGGAGTCGGCTGAAGATAATTTCCCCATTGGAGAAAGAACAAGATACTGGATCGACTTTGCGATGAGAATGGAGAGAAGACTAATGCAGAGCTAGACATGACTTTGTGCAGATTTCTAGACTCTCAGAGATCCTTCTGTGTGGCCGAACCTAGTGAGTGATCGTCTTTGCTACGGAGTACACTACGCTGCTTTGATAGTTACATTAGTCAAAGCAAGATGTAAACGAGTGAAACGAAATGAAAAGGGGGTGGAATAAAAAAAATCACTCTCCCGAGATGGTAGAAAAAGAAACTTGTTGAATTACCAATCAATCAATCGTCGCCGAATGCTAGCAAAAGCCTCTTCACCATACAGGCAATGATACAAAAAATTCTAACCGACTAATAGCAAACCGTTCACAACCGGAGCTCATGATAAAACGCTATATCCTGTAAAACACCACCACATCAAGCGCTTCCCATTTCCCTCCCCTTGGCCAAAGCTGTAAAAGAAAAAAAGAAAAAGAAAAATCATCCTAATTTGGGTTTGCTGTGTCCACATTCCCCCTCCTTCTGTATCATCAAACTGTCCAATTTCCCTTTTGCCAATTTTTTTTCTTCTCATCGTTTCATATCGTCCAGCACCGTAAAGCCTTATTTTTTTTTGGTTTCATTGTTTCGTTTTCGTTTCCCCCTTCCTTGGTTCGTTTCCATCCATATCATTTCGTGTCAAATGTTCATGTCATGCCCGAATAACGCTAGCCGTTGGAACTCTGACTCCAGCATCAATCAAACGTGACTAACGAAGGCAAAGGAGAAGGCATAAAAAAATAAAAAGAGTAAAGAAGAGAAATGAAAAAAAGGGGGTTGTTAAGAGTGAAAGAAAAAGAGGAAATAGAAAAGGAGGGGGGGGAAAAGAAGATGATGAAAAAGAGAAATCAACCAAGAATGTCAAAGCCGAAGAGATGAAGCGGTTGGATCTCGAGTCCTCCCCCCGTTACTCGAGTAACACTTCATTCATTTGGTTGATTTGTCCCCATCCCTGATGCCCAAAAAAGTAATCCATAGGCGTTGGGTAAAAACGCCCTGTGAACTGTCCGTCTATCCAGATACGTAGCTGACGTTGTCAAACAAGTGATGCGAAAGATAAAATAAGAGACGTGTAAAGTATAAAGGTGAAAAACAACAAGACGAACTGGGACCAAGGATGGGCGAATAAATCCTAGGCGTCTCTGATGATGGGCTCTCCATGGACACCGTTTTCCATTTTAGCCTCGGAAGTGCTATTCCCTCGACTCTTGTTCAGTTTTCGAGGCTGATGATTCTGCCCCGAGGTAGACCCCTCCCTGGCCCCAGAATCGGAGAATTCTTGATCGCTCGACGTCCTGCTTGTTGAGCGGCTCTTTGTGTCTGCTTGGCTGGCAACCGAATCATCCCCAAACGGAGTTTCGAGTTCTTCGACGTCAAATATGGGACTTCCAGGGTGCTGCAAATCGTCCGAGTTATGAGGCCCATCGAATAGCGCCTCGTGCAACGAACCTGACCCCGACCTGATGGGCACTGGTTTCCGAATCACCGGCTCAGAGCTTGTGCTAGACGCACTACTCGGAAGTGGTTTCCTCGGGGGCGGTGGCAGTTTTGGAACATTCGACATAGTTTCGCTGCTGTATCCATTCGTCGTATCCGCATATGTCAATGCGTTGGGCGGAGAAGGGGTAGAGGACGGAGGCTTTGGCCTAGAATTGCTCATATATGCATCCAGCTTCCGCTTAAGCACTTCCGCACGAACGGGCTTTGCAAGGTAATCGTTCATACCGGCAGCCAGGCACTTCTCTCTATCGCCTTGAATTGCCGATGCCGTCATGGCAATCACCAGGATTTTGCGAACCTCGTCGATTGGGTCGTTTCGAATGAGCTTGGTGGCTTCATATCCGTCAAGGACAGGCATCTGGACATCCATGAGAACAATATGGTAAGGGATACCCTCTCTGGCCTTTTGGCGGAGGCCCTCTACCGCTTTCAACCCATTTTCATAGGCACTAACGCTGGTGTATCCCAGACGTTGTACATACTGAATGGCAATCTTTTGGTTGATGGGATTGTCCTCTGCCACGCAAATGCGAATGTCTTCCTTGGGTACCCGTGTCAAATCAAGGTATGGGTTCGGAGAGGCTGCTCGCTCCACAAATGCAGCAGATCTAGCCGTGTACCTGTCGACAGGAGCCGAGGTTTGTGACTGAGCATCTCCAGCAGCAACATCTGGCTTGGCCTTCTCAAAGGAGACTGTGAACCAGGCAGTCGTGCCGAGGTTTTCCTCACTCTCGAGCTGAATCTTGCCCTGCATCATAATCTCAATGAGTGACTTGCAAATACTCAGTCCAAGTCCACTTCCACCATACTTTCGAGCCGTACTGGCGTCCGCTTGGCTGAATGGTTGAAATAGCTTGGCCAATTGCTGGGGCGGGATGCCGATTCCTGTATCTCGGACCCAGAAAGTCAGAGTTGCCCTCTCCTTAGTGTCCTCGTCCAGACGGGCGCCAATGGTGATAGAGCCGTCCTCTGTAAATTTCAAGCTGTTGCCAATGAGGTTCCCTAGGACTTGATGAAGGCGAATCGGGTCGCCGTAGATCAACATGGAAGGCAGATTAATATCCTGGATAATCTTGACATTCTTCTTAGTCGTCTTCTCCCGATTGCTATAGGAAACTGCCCGGACGACTTCTCTAACCATCTCTTCTGGATTGAAGGCGATGTTGTAAAGCTTCATCTTGTCGGCTTCCATCTTGGAAAAGTCGAGTATGTCGTTGATAACGGTGAGCAAAAGGTCAGCCGAGACCCTAATTGAATCTGCCATTTCAAGCTGTTCCTTATTCAGGTTGCTGTCACGTAGAAGCTCTGAATTTCCAATGACTCCGTTTAGAGGCGTCCGCAGCTCATGGGACACGTTGGCCAAGAAGATAGACTTGGCCTTGGCGGCTTCTTCGGCCAGTTTGACGTTTCGCTTTGCCTCGGCCTCCGCGTTCTTTGCCTTTGCCTCTGCCTCGATGGCCTTCTTAAGCGCGAGCCTCTGCATTTCCACCATGGAGTGGTTTTCGGCCGAGATCTTTTCAATGTTCTTCATTGACAATGCATTCGAGTAGCTAATACCGATTTGGTTGACCAGGAGCTGAAGAACGGTCACATTGCGGTCTGTAAATGATCCAGGGACGCCTTCGAGATATAGCACGCCAAGCAGTGGCTTGTTCGCATGACGAATGGGAATGGCGATAATGGCCTTGCTTGTCGGATTCCTTTGCATCCAAGACTCGCTAACGTTGCCAAATCTCTCGTCGGAAACGATATCTGGTATGAAGACGCTTTCCATGAATCGCGTACAGTACAAGACGACATTCTCGGCAATCAAAGGCGTGCTCGCGAGGGGCAAGGCTGGCTTGTGTGCTGAAGCTCCCTTCTCCGGATCGCCGCTGGCTGCTACGCACCAGCCATCGGTATCAGAAACCACAATAGCAGCGTTGGTAGCTGAGCCGCCGCATGTTTGCAGAATCACATCACACATGGTCTTGAGCAGCTCTTCCACCTGTAGCAGTGAGGAGATGACCTGTGACGACTTGAGGATCGCATGCAAATCGATCATATCGAGAGCAGGGAGTCCACCACCGTCTTCCGTCTGCATGTGCATCGAGTTTCTCCAGGCCCCAATTTGCTCCCCCTTGGACTCAGTCAAGGCATTGGAAGGAATCTGGGTCAGAACATCATCATCGTCTCCATCCACAGGGCGATACTGAACCGAAGGCGCGTCAGTGACGAAATCGGTCTGCACTCCCATATCGGCAACGCGATGATTCCGCGTTGGCCCATGTAGAAGAAGAGAATGCGCCTCTTCAATGGCATGGGCGACACCGGTAGCTGCCATTTGTCTGAACAAGCTCAAGGCATCAAGAAGGGCAGCACGAGCAGACCGCCGCGCTTTACGTCGGATGAAGAAACCTGCCATGAGATAGTTGCCCAGGGCTTCCTCAAGCACAAAGTCGTGCTCGGCAGCATGGTCCAGGGCCTCTTCGTAGGCCTGGACACTTTCCCCATGGCGGACGGTCAACTCTGACATTTGTGCTTCCAAAAGCTTCGCCCACGGTAAGTAGTTAACATTAGACACCGCTGCCCAATCGTTAATCATCTTCAAAAATCCGTTGAGCTTCTCCACAAGCTGCGCGATCTCTTCAGTAAAGTCTTCAGGCTGGCTGCGCGGATCCTGCGTTTTCCGAAGCAAGCGGCCAGCAAGAGCCAACCCATAGAAGAATATTATCATCCTCGTATTCCGTGCTGACCACAGGTCGGCGAGTTGGTTGAAACACCTTTCTCCAATCTCGATGGCCCGATCGTAGTGGCCATATAAGAAGAGTACGACGATTTCGAAACTTTCATAGAACAGCATTGGACGACTGCTGCCCCCCGTCCGTCCCACCAGCCAGTTTTTGTAGGATGCGCTATTGTGCTCGTTGTCCGTCATGACCTCCAGAGCATTATGAGCGCGCGTCTTGCCTTGTAACGCTCGGCAAGCCTGTCTGACAGCAATAAGCATTACTCCGCCTCTACTATCACAGGCCCATCTAAAAATCTCCTCGCAAGCTAGTTCGCAAAACGCTTCAAGCTCGGTGCAATTTTCGCTCGCAAAGAATTTGATCTGAGCAGCTAGCCCATAGCTGTGGATCGTCGACATCCTGTCGCCAGCGACGGACGCCAGCTCGATAGCATCCTCCATCTGGGAAATGGCCAACGGCATGGAGCAGTGTACGTGTCCAATGAAGCACTGGTGTAGCATTTCGCCCCGTGCCAATGAGTAGGCATCGCGGGCCTGGAACAACAGGTCCTGAGAGACCATGCTAAGTTCTATAGCAAACGGAACCATGTTGAAACGTGCCAGTGCTATAACGGACAAGTTGAGAAACACCATCCCGGATTGTGGAAACGAGCCTCGAGTGTTGTGGATATCATACATGACCAGGCTGAGATGATAAAATTGCAAGTGGTCGCTCCACCAGGCTGCGTTGGTTGTCTCAGCAAGCACAGCGCCGACAGATGCTATGGAGGAATCACTTGATTTTTTGTGGTTGAGCAGTTCTTGTCGATCTATCTCTTGTATCTCTGCCACAATCTTGTGGAATTTCTCGTCACATTTCTCATAAGTCGGTTCCTCGTCGAGCGAGATGCCCAGTGAGGCCAACGACTCTTTCAGAGAAACCAATGCTGCTGGAGAGTTGCCGCTCTGAGCGTAAATCCGCGACTGCAGGACATATGCTGGTGCTTTATCCACCGGGCTTTTGGCGTTGGAGAAGATTATGGAAAGGAGTTCGCCGGCTGCGGCCACCTGGGCCATATATAGGTGGCACTCTGCTGACCGAAGATAAAGCTGGATTGTTTCGTCGTAAGAGGCGTCTTCAACATCGTCAGACCATGGATCATCTTGTAAGAGCCTGATTGTAGCGGTATAATATTTTGCCGCCGTAGGCCTAGCTCCGTTCTCCGTCGCACCTCGTGCGCACTCCATGAGCAGTTTTCGGAACTCTCGACGACAGGGCACACGGCGTCTGATGATCTCAACGGCGGTACAGATGTGCGAAGCAGTGCTGTCACGCTGCCTAGCCTCCACCGCGTAGTATTTCAATAGCGTCTGGGAGATAATGAAGTGCATCTTTCGAGCGTTACATTCCTTCAAAGCTGCAGAAGCCTGCACATACCGATCATGTGCGAAACGAAAGCGGTCGTCCGACTCGGTCTGCACGATGATATAAGCTTGAATGGCCGCCTGTAAGCCGGCAACCGCCTCTCCTTCAGTGTAAGAACGCTGGGTAACATTGCTAACATTGCTCGGACAAGCCAGAAGTTCGTCTTCGTCGTGGTAGTCAAACTCTCCGCTCATGAGCCGGCATAGCAGCTCAAATGAAAAGGAGCCCCCGAGAAGAGCTGCCCAAGCAAGTACTGCCCTAGCAGCTGATGGTAGTTCATTCAATCGGTGGGTGATGAATGCGGTATCCAAAACATCATAATCTTTCTCGCCCTGAAACTGCGCGAATAGCCTATCCATGTCATAGTGCCATTGACTGTCGCGGTAATCATACCAGATGCACCTCTTCCTATGGCAGGCGCTGAGCATCTCTCGCATGTAAAATGGGTTGCCGGCTGTCTTGGACTGAATAACTAAAGCAAGGGAGAGAATTTCCTCTTGAGGTCTACAAAGAGTCGCTGACACATATTGAAGGATATCACTCTCGCTAAGGGGATTGAGCACTATTCTCGTCACCTGTGTGCGTGAGTTGCGAGGAAATTCTGCCACGGAATCAGCATCTAGTAGGGCCGGACGAAAGGCAGAATATTCACCATCTGCCTCCAACGGCTGGACGACAACCTGGAGTTTCGCAGGTGGGAGTTCCTCTGGTCTGTAAGTTACGATGACAACCATTTTCATCCTAGCGGCTATGATCTGCGAGATGAGCTCCAGGGATTCGTCATCGGCGAAATGCAGGTCCTCCAGACAGAAGCAGATAAATTTGTGAGTGGTGAAAACCCTGAGCACGTCCAAGATGGTGTTGATCAGACGCATGGTTTTGGTTGAGGCTCCAGCACGGAGATACTCTTGGGAGGATTGGGATCCGTTACCCGCCAGATTTCGCTGCAATGGCCCGGGAGATTCGGTTCCAGGGGATGATGTTCTACGCTTCAGCCCCGGCCGAACGTCTTTGCGTGAGCCTGAACTCTGAGACGAGGAAATTGGCCGTGGAACATTCATATCTGGGGAGCCAAGCAGGAACTCAGGCAATCCCAAGATTCTGTGCAGCATTGGCCATACTGGGCGAATGTACTGTTTTAAACCCTGGTGGAATTGCGTATTTGTATCCCTTTCACCCCACACTTGCTTGAAAAGAGACGACAAAAGCTTCAGCAGCGGTCCAAAGGGCGTCCTCTTTGCAGTGTCGAACTTGGCCGTGGCGCAGTAACCATTGCGCCGAGCGTCGGCCAGCACTGACTGCACAAAGAGACTCTTTCCTACGCCGCCGGCGCCCTCAACGGTGATGACTTCGCAGTGCCCTTGACGTCGAAATTTGGACGAGCCAAGCTGCCTGGACAGACTAGACGGACCAATGTCGAGTGGACCACGGGATCCTTCCACGTTAAGGCTGTCGAGCATGCTTGAGGAGTCCAGCGAGCCCAAGGAAATGGACTGGTGCCGTTCCCATCGCTCCCATGGCCTCGTAAATCTAGGAAACGCGGCGGCAGTAGATTGGGATGAGTCGGTTGACAAGGTCATAGTTTCGGATATGATTGTGGGGAAAAAGCTATTCTTCGTTGTTCTGGTCTCGGACGATATGGTCTGGGCAAACGATCCGCTCCTGCGATTGTGACCATCGGCCGAGCTGGCACCGCCTTCACTGGAGATGTCATCAAAGGCCATCATCTCGTTGAGGCTAGCTCCATCTGAGAATCTGCTGACGGGGCCCTTACGCATGGCAGCATGGCTCTTGGCAACACGATTGATTACCCTGAGAACGGCGGCCTTTTCCTCCTGCCGACCAATCATGGAAGTCGGGAGCATGAAGAAGGACGAGACATCGCTGGTGCCGATTTTGAAGTCCTTGGCAGCTTTTAAGTTTCCATCTTCAAGATACTCCTTGACACTGATCAGATCGTGGCGTAAACCGCTAGCTGAGTGATAGCGGTCAGCAACATTTTTGGCCGTGCATTTCTGGATAATCCGTCCGATGACTTCTGGTATATCCATTCGTACAGTTGCGACATTGGGGATTCTGCGGCCGAGCACGGCTTGAACAATGTCGAGAGCTGATTCGCCAGTGAAAACGGGCTGCTGAGTGAGTAGGGTCCAAAAGACAACACCGAGCGAGTAAATGTCGGTACGGGTATCGGGTTCGGCAGGCATACGGCCGGTTTGTTCAGGGCTGATAAAGAGCAGCTTGTTCCTGCCTCCCAATTCTTTCGAGAGCATCGACCAGCCGGTGCTGGTTAAGCCGTGTTCGAAAGACCGGACGCCAGACCCAAAGGACATGACCCGGACCTTGTTTTCATCTTTGTTGTAGTGGAACGCATCTCCCCGAATCTCTCCGTGAACCATGCCTCGGCTGTGGTGGAGGATCTCCAAGCATTGGGTCGCGCCAATCGCGAAGTCGAGAAAGTGTTGAAGGCTTATGGGGGGTTGAAGGGTCGGTCTACAGTAGTAAGCTCGGTATGCATCGCCATCTTTGCGCGCATGATAAAAGGCGGGCCCCATGTCCAAGACATCAAGCAGATGATTGTAGCCCGGGTGCTGATATATGGCCACGACGATGGCCCCGCGGTCACCAGTCACTGGGTTCAGGCGGATTAAATCAAGGGGTTTTACTATATGGTCGCCGTTGGGGTCGGCGGTCGCGGAGACGCTCTTGGCGATTTGAAAGGCCCTCTCCTCTCGGAGGGCATGGTGTGATACGCGCGCAACGACACGCTCTTCGATATACGTTACATCGGTAGAAGGCGAGGAGAGAGGATTGGAGTGAGCGGTGGGTTGCGGGGAGGCGGGGGGTTCGCTACTGTAGCCAAAGCTGTAGCTGGAGAGCGGGCCGCCATGGTCGGAGGGAGTTGGGCGACCTGACTGAAATTTGGATACAGAGCCAGGACTGGAAGCGTTCTGCGACGAGGTGGAGGGGGGTAGCGCGGGAGAGACATATCGGGTGCCGAAGACGTGCCTAGGGAAACGGAAGAAACACCAAGGGTTAGCCTCTCGATCTGGCCATGTAGTGGGAGTTGAAGTCGTCGTTGCGATTGCTGTCATCATCTCCAACATGCCATCCTTCAGCGTCTTGTTGTCCCCGCTGCATTTCTTCTCTTATCTCGTCATCCTTTCCCTACTTTTTTCCGTCTTGTTCTTTTCCTTGCTCTTCCTCTTTGTTTGTCCACCGCACACGGCGATGCCCGCAACATAGAAAGGGCGACTCACCAAAAGTCATATGTCGAGTGGAAAGGCGGCGCCGATTCATCCCAGCTATACCCAGCTATCTGGCGAAGGCGTTCGAACAGCCGCGGCGGCGGCGGAGGTGGCGGGTCGAGCACATCGTCGGGCACGAGGGCTGGACCGTCCATGATGGCGCGCGGTCATAGGAAAAAAAGAGAAGCCCCCAGCTGGCTGCTCTGGCGGAGGGAGATGCTCGGCTTCGTTCTTTCGGTCGACGATCATCCAAGCCCGCACGCAGCGCCCATCGTCGGCCCGGTGGCTGTATCGGCAAAAGAAGGAGGGCTATTGCGGCGAGCAGCGCAGCGACCAGTAATGGCAGGGCGGTCGGCTACTTTGGGTTGGATTTTTGGGTGGATTTTGCTATTTTCTGCGTTGCGGTGCGCTGCAGAGTGAGGTTTTGACAGAACTGGGGCCGGGCCTGTGGTTGCAGCGGACGTAGTGGTGGTTGTTTGGCAGAGGCTTTCAGCACAGGTACTAAAGTTCGAGCACTCCATGCTACGCCCGGCCTGGAGCCACCGCAGTACTTGATAGGCAGATTCGGTGACCTTGCGCTGTCGACTTGTGGGTATGCAGATACCTTCTGGTTGCCCGCATTCAGCAGCGGATTGGCGCTATGATGGAGGGTCCAGCCAGGTACCGCACTAGACCTTTACAGGTACTCTGCCTCTATGCTCGGTACCTCCCGGCCTTTTGAAGTCTGCGAGACTGCCATGGTACAAGCTCAACTTACAAATCGGCGAGCGCTTCCTTAGAAGGGCGGACAGGCCAAGCATCGAATCAGAAAACCCGGGTCGGAATGTGACTTTCTCTCTCCTCTTCTGCACGTCTCCCGCCTTGTTCAGCCTGTTTCCTCTTCCCTTTCCTCTCGATTTCTAGAGCAACGGAGGAATAGCCAAAACGCCAAAAAGCCTCTGCCGGAAGAGGGGACGAGTGATTTGCTTGACAGCACCGTCATCTGCCCGCCACGCAGCCCATATCATCATCTTGCCTGGCTCTAAAAGAACGGCAACACGGAAGACGCTGTGCCCCGTTGCGGCTTGACCTGAGCAACTCGGCGGGAATCCAAGACGAGGCGCTAACAGACCGCCCAAGTTCAGTCTCTTCGAGTTCGTCAGCCATTACCGTACCTTAGCTCGCTACAGTACATATAGTAGCAAGTACTGCATTCGTACAGTAATTTGATCAATGCTTCCAGTTAGCACACAGCGAAAGGGCCTGTTTGCCCGCAAAACCACCAGACTCCAGTTATAACCCCGCCAATCGCACCCCCGCCATCATCGGGTGATCCGCTGGCAACTGCTGGTGGATGAATTGTCATGTTGCCTTGCCTTGCTTGTGCAGCACAGACAAGGTAATCTGCCCGTCGCTGCTGTGCCTCGCTGTGCCTGTTGCGCCTGAGAGGCTACATGACATGTATGGATCCAGTGCGAGATGCAACAGCGCCGCGGTTCAAGCCCAAGCCCAAAGCCCACATCACTCCGGCACGCCTGAGGGAAATTTGGCATATCGGGCCTGTCTGCTGATCTTCGATTGCCAGGCGCCAAGGTATCAGAGGAATACCTTACGTCTCCACCCGACTCGTGATGGCAGCCTTTTTCTCTGAGCCACAAACGCCAGCAATTATATTGCGTAGACACACGGTATGGCAGTTGGGCTTGGCCTGTAATGTACATACTCGGCAGTGAATGACATCGTGGGCCTTTTTTTCTTTTTTCTTTTTTTTTTCTTAGTTCTCCATTATAAGTGCCGTCAAGTACAGCTACATTCGCACAATGGCAACCCAATCCCATCTTCAAAGCACTGACCACGTCTGAAAGCGGTAATGATGATACAATGGATACCCTAGAATTGGGCAAATGCTTTCGTCAGCTGTCCCTACTCAGGCACAAACCCAAAAAAAAATTCTGACCCGTTCCCGTTTTTCTGTTATTCCCATGGAGACAGGATGAGACAAAAAAAAATCTTCAATCTTTTTTTTTTTTTTTTTTTTTTTAGCGCCTTTGGCGTCCGGGTGCCTGAGATAGAATGATGTAGGTGGCCAAGCCGAGTCTCCTAGTCCACTAAAAACGACACACAGTTGACGCAAATCTTCAGCAGCTGCATCCAATGTTTCAAGTGAATTAAATTAGCACGCTCGGCACATGCTCGGGGGTCCAAGTGGGTGGCGGCACGATGAAGCTCCGAGTTCTCACATCACCGAATGCTGGCCGGGTTCAACACCGAAAAAAGTCTGTAGAAACAGATAATGCAATTAACAAAAGTTTCATTTATTGTCAAAAGAGCTGGTCCGCTCTCTCTATTTCTATCGTAACTACGCCTCACTATTAAGTAGTGAGAGAATCTATGCTATGCCTGACTGCCCATAGACAACCCTAGGCGTTCGAATTGTTCGAGCCATTTCATGAATTTCCAGATCCTAAGAATCCCATCCATCGCAAGCCATAGCTAAGATCCACTCTGATGGTTGCTTCCTCATACGCACAAGTCAAATTACAGCGCACACGCGCCCCAAGTTTTATTTAATTTCATTAGAAAGCCTGAAACGCTTAGTTCCTCTCCCGTGTGGGCAGAGGCTGGGCGCCGTAGCTAAAGGCCTGGGCCAGACGCTTCTCGCCGTTCTGTCGGCCGTTGACAAAGTCGGGGTAGTTGAGGGTCAGCTCAACCGCTCCGCTGGTGATGTGGTCGACAGCCTCAACACCCAGCATGAAGGAGTGGTCCTGGTTGCCGACCTCGTATCTCCAGCTGCCGAAGCGGCCTCGAGAGTAGATGCCGAGATCCTGGAGCTTGGGCAGGAGCTCCTTCAAGACGCCCTCACGCTCCAGGGTAGGAGTGGGGTATCCGTGGTCAAAGGCACGGTGGTAGGTGGAGACAATCTCGTCCTCGGGCTTGAGCATCTCGGTGTTGATGAGACCCTGGATGCAGTCCTTGAGGAGGTTGTCCACATCCACGGGCTTCATGGTAGACTGTGACACCTCCAACATGATGGACCAGTAGGGGCCCTCCTTGGCCTCAGACGAAGCAGCCTTGTCGCCATTGGCGAGGTACAGGGTTGGCAGCTTGGCCTCCTTCTGGGGCTGGTTGTAGGGGGAGTAGTTGGAGAAGATGGTGGCACGGTAGAAGGGGCAGTTGTCCTCGGGGAAGTACAGCTGCGCAATTGGTTAGCACCGGAACCTTGGAGACGTTCGCTGCATGTACACAGGGGGGAATCTTACCCAGCACTTGTCGCCGATGCGCTCGGGGCGCTCGCCGCGGATACCGACACCAATGACGTGGGTGGTAGAGTAGTAGAGGCCCTTGGACAGGGTAACGAGCTCCTGGTTGCCCATCTTCTCGACGAGGTGGTCGACAGCCATGGTGTTGACCAGCTTGCCGTAGCCAATGGTGGTGCCGTCGGCCATGGTGACGGTCTTGTTCTCGGCGTCAACCTTGGTAACCGTACCCTGCTTGCCGAAGCGCTTCTTCTCGTTAGGGAGAGTGTCTGCGACGGCGATCCAGATACCACCGGTACCGTCCCGAGCGGGGAATCGGAAAGTGGCATTGGGACCCCAGTTACCGGCAACCTTGTTCAGGATGATGTTCTTGGTGACGGTCTTGACATCGGGGGCAGCAACTCGCTCGCCGAGCCACTGGCATTGCATCTGGAACAGAACCATGTCAGTATCTCCGATGACACTCAGGCACACGCTGGAACGCCGTTTCTTACCTTTGTGGTGGGGACAGCCCAGACCTTGTAGTTGTAAGGTCGCATGAAGATATCGGCGAGGCCAGGGCCCTGCATTCTCAGAATCCACTCGTCAAAGTCCTTGGGCTTGGTGTTGGCAACGCGGTGCTCCAGGGCAGCGTCAATCAGACCGTCCATACACCGGACCTGGTCCTCCTTGGGCAACATGGAGATGTTGTTCTGGAAGGGGTAGGGGACCCAGAGGCCCTTGTAGCGGACATATGAGACACGCTCGTGGACAAACCAGTCGTCGTCCTTGGGGAGAGCCTCGTCCAGGCAGTCGTCGAAGTACTTGTAGTGGGAAAAGATGACATGGCCACCAACGTCGTACAGCTAGAGGGACAGCAGCTGTCAGCGCAACGATTTCAACGCGAGAGTCCAAAGAAAACGAGATGGGGAACTTACGAAACCCTCAGGAGTGGTGTCAGTTCCGGCAAGACCACCGGCCTTGTCAGAGGAGTCCACGATCAACCATGAAGGACCGCCCTGGCGAGAGTGTTAGCATCAACAGAAGCTTGTCGCGGGGTACTAGAACCTGGCGGTGAAGGGGGCACGCACGATCTGGTTCAAGCGTTTGGCAGCACCGAGACCAGTAGGTCCCATGCCAATGACGAGGACATCAACGTTACTGCAATTGGGTCAGCAACTCGTCACACAGATGGCCTCAGAGGCGAGCAGCATCGCAGGAAGCGTGGCTCTTTCGCGCTGAATAGGGGAAGAGGACAATACGCACATGTCGGCAGGCATGGTGGGGGAATTTGGAGGGATTAGCTGGGGAAAGAAAGAAGCTGAAGCTGGAAACTGAAGATGCAGGACAGAGCCGCAAACAGGCCAAAAACAAGAGGCGAAGAGAGGGTATCAGATGATGCCTTTGCGAGAGGATGGAGGAGCAACAAGAGAGGCAATGGTTCGTAGCAGCCAGACAAATTGCTTTTCAACGCCTGTTGCAACCAGGAAAGGAGTCGGTGATGGAGGGGCTGGAGCGATTCTGGCTACGGGACAGGGGCTGGCCAGACACGCCCAACCCGCCTATTTTCTTATTTCTCCCATCCTTCTTGTCCCTACCTGGCCTCTCAAGACCCTGGCAAGCCCGATCCCCCACCCCTCCATCCCACTCGCAAGCACAGGTGCTAGCACGCGTACGGCGTTAGTATCACCAGCCTCGACCAACGGCGGGTGGCCAAGCCGCCACTTGGAGGGGCCAGGGGATAGTGGTAATGAAAAAAAAGGTCGTGGTGGAGGGTCCCACTGCCAGAGTTAGAGACCGTTTGCGAGAGAATTGAGGCGAGAAAAAATGATTTGGGCCAGTCCGTTACGAGTTACGAAGCAGAGGTAGCAGTACTCGGCGCTCCGCCCAGTTGAGGTCGAGCCCACTGTGCAAGCGGCGCTTTTGCATACTGTGTGTAGAAGAGAGGCTATTCAATGCTATGAGTACATACAGTTCACGGCGTTGGATTGATTGCACGTTTTGTACTGTTCTGATCATAGCATGGCTACCTTTATTAATTATAGGAAATCCATATTTGCTCCATTCTTATCTTGGTCACTGCTTTAGCGTGCAGCCTTCAACACCATTCCTGTACAAATCTGTTGCGGCCCACTACCGAAGTACCTAGAGAGCATCAAATGAACCTCTTCCATCTGATGTTTCGCCTCAAGGACATCGAGGCCTATGGCTGATGGCCTTTGAGCTGAAGTCCACATAACCATCTGCTTACCTAGGATACGCGTACGACCTCGAGCTCGATAGGACTCGATCTCGCCCGTGTATGTTTGGAATAAATCGTGTACGAGTACTGTACTACGCGTACTTGTTCTACAGGGTGGCATCAATCAATATTACAGCTTTGGGCGCTAGCCTGGCAATGGCCAAATAAACACACGTCTCCGTTCTCCAGTAACGGCATCCACAAGCAGAGCCATGGATGGATCGCAATTTCTCGTCAAGATAAAGGCCAATTGGCTGCAAATAAGCCGCTCGCGCTAACAAGCTGCACAGCAACAGGGGACTCACTCCTCATAGGGACCTATTGATGCCATCACATACTAGCAGCATGCTACCTGGGAGTGCCTGTAATGGTCACTCCACCTGCTTCACGGCAGCATGAGCCTAATCCATCCATTGATGCATAGGAGAGGTTTGGCTGGATTGACATGGCAGGTCTCCTATGGCGACAGCATCGATGTCTAACGTAATTCGCATGCAGTGTGCCCATGGCCGTTTGCGTTGATCCCGCTACAGAGCTGCCCTCGTTCACCACAAACTGCATGTACATACTTGTACATGAATGTGCCAAACGTTGCAGACGTGCGACTAGCGGCAATTCATTGGTCTATATTTCCTTGGAACCGGAGGCACAACGGAAAGGGAAGCTCGTAGCACGGGTACAGGTACAGGTACGAGGACGGCATCAGTTAATCTGCTCGTGATGCCGGAGAGGCTAGTTGCCGCCTCCTTCGCCGTCTCTCGGTACATACAAGTGGCCCTGAATTAGATCTACGCCATCTGTACTGGCATTTACTCGTGCCAAACCCACAATGGCAAACAGGTTTGCAGATTTTCGCCAGCTGGAGGAGTGATCTTCAGGGAGGCCAGGAGATGCCGGTCGGGTCATTTGTGTGCCTGAGCCAGAAGACGGTGAGTTCCAGTCAGATTTGCAGATCCTCGACTCAGCGGCCTGACTGCAGCTTCAGCGATTCGAAGCGATGCGTCGTCACCTCTCTGGACCCCCGACGTCATTGGATCCCAGGCTCCTTGTGCGATCAACTGGCCCGCCCCCCTAGAAACAGCCTAGGTAGTTTCCACAGCTGCTGCACGACTGTTGGTATCCGTATTAATCCTGAAACAATGGCAGATCAAGATCGACCTGCTCCGTGCTCCGTAACACGCCCGAGAGACTGCGACAAGCTGGGTGCACCTAGCAAGAGACATTTGATTTCTGAGCACAGTATGGGACTCGGGACCTGGCGGTAGTGCGAGTAAGGTTAGTATTCCAAACGCCGTGCGGCCCATTGACTGAGACAGCGCTGAGCATTAATCGCGTGTTTTACCAGAGACCCACCGCCATGATGCCACAATGAGTGAGGAGAATGACATTGTACCCTCTGCCCCGTTGGCCATGAAAAATGAAAGTCGTGACAGAGGACTCATAGGTATGGAAGCCCGGCTCCTTCAAACGCGGCATTGAAGGGATGTGTGAGATATGAGATCAGTTGGTGCCATCATATCTTTGATCCAACGGAGCATTCCATGTGCATGGCATAGGACGCAGTTCCTTATACCAGGTACCTAGGTATTATACGATTACTTGTGCTCCTGTATGTGAATACCGCCTCCGGCTCCTGACGGATCGTCAATACATCTGGGAAGAGGTACTTGTACACATCCAAAACATGATACATGATGTACCTGTGCTTGGTTAGGAGGTACCTACCAGGTAGTGGGCATTGAAAGCAGGCTTTTCTCTTCAATACAAAACCGGGTCCACATCAACGCAGTGGGAAGAGTGAGAGCAGTAATGCCCTCGTTGTACCATCACTTTTCAATCTGGATGGCATTTGTGCCTACCTGACTGACTGAACAAAGGGGCTGAGAGATACTCGTAGAAAGAAATGATCTCGAGAGACTCAATAAATAGAAGCCGTGTCGTATACTCGTACTTGTTACTCTGCTCGTCCCTGCAAGCTAGACGGACCCGGCAAAGTCGACGGAAGCTCAGCGCCAAGCTTTCTCCTAGCGCACCTCGCATCGTGGCCTACCAGGTTCAACAGTTGCTTGCCAACGGAACGCGGAGAAAAGTTACCGCCTCTATGGCATCAGAAAAGGGATGCGCCGCATCACCAGACCGCTTGGCATCCCCGCGATCTTTCTAACCTTTCCGGCCCCGCCTCTGGTCTGGCACGAATCGGATACGAACTGCTTTGCAAGCAACTCGAGCAATTGAAACAGTCAAGGCCAATGTTGCGTCCGGGGCTGTCAATTGAAGAAGGCGAGTTAAAGGGACTCGCAACTAGTAGCAACGGGCTCAGACATGCGCTGCTGTTTGCGGACAGCATGTGAAGACACAGGAGGTTGTCGACGAGTACTCGGGGGAGGCTGTGTAGCACTGTGCATAAGACGAAACCGAAATGAATACCACAAGAGAAAAATGGGGTGGCCCTTTTTTCTTATTTTTGATATCTTCTCTCTTTTTTTTTTTTTATTCGGGTCAGGTCTCGTTTTTTGGTTGTTCAGCCGTGGACTCAACTCAATACTAATCACTCAACTACCTAAGAAATTCGCTCTATTGATGTGACCGTATTCAGCGCCCCTGCTTACTAGTATTAGCCAGCCAGAACTAAAATTATCCCTACGTGGCGCGACCTCTCACAGGGCAGATACCTGCCAGGCACGTCGCGCTCTGTACTTGTACACGGCTAGGGCTGTGGCGATGCACTTTATTGGCACCCCCGTTACTCCATAGATGATCTTTTGGCTCTTATCTCTCAAACGTGGGTGGATTGATTCGCCAGGGGGTCTGAGGGATAGTGGCTCCCCCCCTGTAGCGCTCCCTCTACTCTGTGACAAGGCCTGCAAAACCCCCTGAACCGTCCCAGCCAGGCTTGCGAGGCTCATGGCGGCGGGGTTCTTGTACCTCGCAGTGCTGGCTGCCGTGGCCGGATGTCCTGTACCTGTACTTGCGCGAGCAAAACAGCCTGCGCGCAGCACGCAGGAATTGCGGCCAATTTCCAGGACAAGCGTCGGATTGATTTTAATTGCCTCGATGTGATGTGCCGTCTGTCTGGCTGTGTTTGTATTGGGCTTTTCTCTCTAGTCCCCTATTTGACGTCCCCCTTCCCTCCAAGACGCCATCATTTTCTGTCTTCTCTTTTACTTTCCTGAGCACACCATCCCTACTTTCGTGCAACTCGTATTTTTATTTTTGCTTTGACTTCTCCTTGTGTCTTGACCGCAAGCGCCAACAACGTAATTCTCACTTCTTGGCGACTTGCGCGAGACCATTCTTTTTCCGGGCAGTCCCTGTTTTCTCATTCTTGATACGAACCCTCGCTTTATTGCATATTGGACACCCCTCACACTCTTTTTTTTCTTCCCACTCCGGCTTGCGGCCCCCCTTGTCGCCTTGTTGAGGCTACGTACCCTGCCTGCTAAAAAAAGGACTGCCTGTCTGTCCGTCCGTTCGTTCGTTTGCGCGTCTCCCCTAAAACTCCAGAGCAAACCTGCGAGCATTGCCTTCGCAACCCATCTTCACCTTTGATACACGCTGCGAATTGCATCAGCTGCCGCTGCAATGTCTGCTGAAGAGAAAACCAGAGTGTCGGGCGACATCACTCGCTCCGACAGCTCTCCTGTCCTGCCCACCGTCAATCCTGCGGCCGACAAGCCTGCTCCCGCAAAGGCTTCGCTGCACCCCGTCTTCTACGTTGTGTGAGTTTGTGGCGGCATCGCGAGCGAGTCTGATGGGTTCTTTTGGCTAATGCGCTCGCAGCACATGGATTGGCTTCAGCTCTTCCGTCATCCTGTTCAACAAATGGCTCCTGGACACGCTCAACTTCCGTATGTTGCTCGCTCTCTCTTGGCCCAGCCAATTCGTGATGTTGTGTGCTGACGCCCCTGGCACCAGGCTATCCCGTTATTCTTACGACCTACCACCTTACCTTTGCTACCGTCGTTACCCAAGTCATGGCCCGCTGGACGACTATGCTCGACGGCCGAAAGACGGTTAAGATGACGGGCCGCGTATACCTGCGAGCCGTTGTTCCCATTGGTGTCTTCTTCAGCTTGAGTTTGATCTGCGGCAACTTGACCTACCTCTACCTCTCTGTTGCCTTTATCCAGATGCTCAAGGCTACCACTCCTGTTGCTGTCCTGATTTCTGGTTGGGCCCTGGGCGTGTCTCAGCCAAACCTGAAGCAATTCCTCAACGTCTCGGCCATCGTTGTTGGTGTCATCATTGCGTCGATGGGCGAAATCCACTTCGTCGTCATTGGTGTCGTCTACCAGATCGCCGGTGTCATCTTTGAGGCTCTCCGACTCACCATGGTCCAGAGACTGCTGAGCTCTGCCGACTTCAAGATGGACCCCCTGGTGTCTCTGTACTACTTCGCTCCCATTTGCGCCGTGATGAACGGTGTTGTCGCTCTGATCTGGGAGGTTCCCAAGGTCTCCATGGTTGAGGTGTACAACGTCGGCTTCTTCACCTTCTTCCTCAACGGTCTTTGCGCTTTCATGCTCAACGTGTCTGTCGTTTTCTTGGTATGTTACTCTCTATCATTCGTATACCCAGCTTCAGATTTGCTAACCCGCACCCTTCTATACAGATTGGCAAGACTTCTGCTGTTGTCCTCACCCTCTGCGGTGTTCTCAAGGACATCATGCTTGTTGTCGCCTCTATGATGATCTGGGGCACCCAGGTGACTGCCCTTCAGTTCTTTGGCTACTCCATCGCCCTCGGTGGCATGGTCTACTACAAGCTTGGCTTTGAGGCTCTCAAGGGCTACGCTGGTGAGGCCGGCCGCCAGTGGGCCGAGTTTGGCGCTCGCAAGCCCATTCTCCGCAAGCTGTCCATCATCGTGATGGCTGTGCTCTTTATTTTCGTCGTCTTTGGTGGCCTGGCTCCCACTTATGCCCCTGAGTACGACCCATCCAAGCTCGCCTCTGAAGTTACCAACCACTTCAAGGGCAACGCCGCTGCTGCCGCGGCCGCGGGAGCTGAGTAAACGTCACATGAATGAAACCATGGCTTCTTCTATGGCCAACTGTAAAACGAAGTACGATTGCGTCAACGGCGTTGTTTGGTTGGAAGGACAGACAATCTAAAAGGTCAATCTTCTTTTTCTTGTGAGCGATGGGCCTCTATGAGGTCCCAGCGCTTTGTTTCATTCTCGCCAAATCCAGCAAACAAAACAAAGAGCCCCTCTAACTTGGAGACAAAGAGAGGCTTTAGGTATCCCCTGGCTGTTGAGACCTGTTATTTTTTTTATTGGTGTATAATTATAGAGCGTCGAGCGGCACTCCAGGCCGATGCTGCTCGAAATCAAGTTTGTATTGCGCCTAGGTCTAATTTGATGTACTTTAGACGGCGCGAGAGACGAGTTCATAGAGAGATGTAGAGATGAAATCACTACAAAACTTTTAATACTTCTAAATTGAGAATCAATCAATTCGGCAATTGGGCGGACCCTTGTGACTTTTTCACCCCTTTGTTCAGCACTGCACGAGGTAAGGCGACACTGGGCATTTTTAGGATGCAGAAAAAATCAATTGGTGTAGCTACAAGCCAAACGGTCTATCTTTCTCTCCTCTTTCGTGCCATTCATGAGCAGTGTCAGTTGGACACTGGCGTAATCGTGTTTCCCTCCAGTTCATTTTGTCGCTTTCGAGTCCCACGTCACTGGCAACGAGACATTCACGTAGTAAAGAAAATATTGTGAATAATTGATAATGAACTTCATATTGAGCCCATGAACCGACCGTGGTTCCTTAAAAGTACCAATCGATGCTCTTTACATCCCGCCAACTCCCAAACCGTGATGGAGAAAACGATTTTTAATTTAGAATCCTGCGAAAAGAGTCGGTTAGCTTCTTAACGATGGTTGAAATTTCTCTTTCCACATGTCCATTTTTTGCCAGTTTGCAAATAAACGGAATGTATCGAAAAGATTCGGATTGGGACGGGAAAAAACATACTCAGAGGGGTGAAGAACCATCGGTTCTTGCCGCTGGTGTATCGCTCCTCCAGAACCTTCTTGACAGTCTTCTTGGCATCCTCCCGCTGGCTGACCTCCTTGAAGGTGTCTGCGGAGATGGTACCCTTGATGCCCTCGAGCTCAAGGGTGTATCGCGTGGGCATCAGGTGGTTGTAGTTGATGACCTTGATGAAGGGCTTGACCTTGTTGCGCTTCTCCTGTCGGGTCTTGGACATGCGGCGGGTGATCTTTGAGGGGTAGCGCTCGATGCCGGCAACGATGGCGTGGCCGAAGGGGTGAGGCTTGTTGCCGTTGTCGACGGGCTGGATGATGACGACCTGGGAAAGGAGATGCGTGTCAGCACTTCTGTATGGAACTGTGAAATTTGCAATTCGTAAAAGTAAAGAAGAAAAAAAATTCCACAGCGCTCGTTCTCAAATCAATCTATTCCTTCTCTTTCCCTCTATACTCCTCCCTCTTCCCATACAACAACAACAACAACAAGCGAGCCGTCCAATATGGGAAGAGAAGAAAAATAAATTGTAGAATTGTCGACGCAAATTTGAGAACTGAGCTGGGCGCGCGGGAAACTCGTAATTCTTTCGTACCTTCTTGCCGGCATATCGGCCTCGGGTGATGATGGCGACTCGGCCGACCTTGAGGAACTTCATTTTGTCCTGCCTGTGGGTGGTCGGTATGTGCTGGAGGGTTAGGATTTCGTCGTCGTAGAACCGTGATCGGGAATTTGGTGCAAAATTTGGGGTTTGTGGGCTGACGATTTGGGGCAAGCGACTCGCAGGTGTTATGTCACGTGGAGATTGCGCTTGCTTATCCGAAGTGGCCCGTGCGCCCCCAAAATTAGCCCCTCCCTATTCGCTCTTTGGTGTCCAAATGAATCTTGGGATAAGATAAAACGAGCGTTATATCCACTTGCAGCTCGTGGGAGTGCGGGTAAAGAGAGCAAATTCAGTTTCAAGCATGCCTGCGCCGACTTACATCATTTCTCGGGTCGCCGACCCTATCTTTGCCGTCGTGATTGGATTATCGGCAGCGGCAACTAGGATCAATCGTGAAGAGAAGGGCAAGGGCAAGACAACCAATGAGACGATAGAAGCTGGTCTACGGTATGAGACGCAAATGACAATTACAACACTTCCTGTGCGCTGATTTATTTGGTTATAGACGCGTTGGGCTCTCCAAGAAGTAGATTTCATCGCCGTGTTAAGGCGTTCAGTTCAAGAAACGCCACCATTCCATGCTCTCTATATACACAAAACGCCAAAGTTGAGGCCAATGTTGACTATGGCTGGCCAAATTTCATAATCCATCTAGTTTTCTCATGGGAAATAAACACACAAGAATGATCTCATGTACCCAGCTGGCTCTTTAAGCAAACAAACAAACATAAAGGAAACACATTTTACATCTCAAACGCAGGACCATACTCCTTCTTCATCGCTTCTCGAACCATCTGGCCGCAAAGTTTTGCTGTTGGGTTGACACTGACGGCCAAGGCCTTTGCAATCTGATTTCCATATCTGCCTCCAAGCGCTAGATCTCTTGAAGCGGCTTCTTCAAAATCTATGCGGGACCAAGTGGCTTCCTCGCGGCTGTCGTCAAGGTCCAACTGGCGATCTGACATGAGCTTGGCTGTTCTTAGGTAGATTGCAGCTCGTTGCGTGTGCGCCATGGACAGCGTTCGCGCAGCCTGTGCAGACATGGGAGCTGATGGCGAAGATGGAGTGAGCAACCGGATTGCAGTTTCCATATCCTCAAGTGTATCATTTGCCGCCTTTCTCTTCTCCGACTGTTCTGGCTGGGGAATCAGCGGCATAGGCATGGTCGCTGTGTAGTTGAGCAGCATGCCATCTCCATACAGCCGTCGCATGATTTGCGCGCGGTTGTTTCTCGCGCTAGCATAGAGAGGATAGTCTGAAATGAGATTACCAAAATCTGACACGCAGCTTTTGTAGCTCTCAATGGCCTTGTCGGCGTCGTCCTCGCTCTGGAAGCTGCTGAGCTGCATCTCAATGGCTTGCAGCGTGCGAATGATGGTGCGTTCTCTCTCTACCACTCTCTCATACACGCTGTGGTCGACAATTTGAGGATCACGAGGCAGCGCAGAGTCAATCACGATGCCTGCGGCCGGGTTGGACTCGGGATCCTTGATCTTCTCGAGCACGTTGATGTCGTGCTGGCTCAGCGATACTGTCGTCATTTTGGTGGTGTTTCTGGGTGGACAAGTGGAGGTGACGGAAAACACAAGGAGATATCAAAGGTTACTTGTGTAAGTTTCACAGGGATGAGATGATTTGAACAAACGTCCAATGGGTCTGGAAAAGAGAGAATTCATATGAAACCCGGACAGCCTATCCGCTGGCGCAATGTCCCTTGAGTAGCCGCGTCAAGTGACGGGCCTCAGGCCTTGTGCTCAACTAAAACTTTACGACCAGGCCTTCGGCAGCCGACGGAGCTTATCAGCAACAAAGTCACACCGAAGCGGAACTTTTCTGCCATCAGACGATCGATCGCCTAAGCTCAACCGCCAGATGCTGGAGAGCGCGGGCGCCCACATGCGTCATCCCCAGCGAGTCGGTGGCAACGGAACTTAAGCCGGGCGCTGGTGGGGCGGCCATTGTCGGCTCTCCTCGGCTGGCACCGCCGGAGCGGCATCATTCCGCACGGCAGTCAGCGTCTTTGTGTCCCGGCGCTACGGCCTCGACGCTGCAAAAAGGAGCTTCCAGGGCGCATTGACGATCGCGGCGTGGCCCCCGCATGGCAGGCAGCCAGTGAGAGCGCTTGCTTATGAGAGATTGGATGGGATCGGAGCTAGCGGAAGGATAAAGGAATAGCCCTACGGAACCAACGTAAGCCGCCTCTGAAACCTTGAAGCAGAGGGAGAAAGGGAGAAAGGGAGAGGAGGCGCCTTGGGCCGCTAGAATCCACGGGCTGCTCGCTTTGCTCGGCGTGCGGGAGCTTTCCGATGGCTCAGAAGGGTAGCTTTCGATGAAGCTCGCAGGATTCATAAACCCGTGGTGTTGCCCTCCTGGGGGCACACAGACCTGTCATTGGACACTCACCAAGCCTGAATCTGATATATACAAATATATATATAAATCACGAGCATACCAATCTCAGACCCTCGAGTCTATATCGATTAACCCCATCACACTGTTCAAACAGACACAAAACCGGTTTCCCCCAGTTTCACCCCCCAATACCTTCTAAGTGGCAATGTCCCCTTCTGCTATCAGCAACTCCCCAGAGCAGCGACCTGCAAACAACGGCACCAACCCCGACAACTTCGCCATCCAGGCCCCCGCCGACTTCACCGGCTATGACCACGTAACGTGGTGGGTTGGCAACGCCAAGCAGGCGGCCGCCTATTACACCACCCTCTTTGGGTTTGAGACCACGGCCTATCGTGGGCTCGAGACCGGCAGCCGGTACTTCGCTTCATACGTCGTCTGCAACAACGGCGTCCGCTTCGTCTTCACATCGCCTCTGCGGTCGTTGGCCCACCTCCCCGAGGATGAGACCATCTCCGACGCGGAGAGGAAGCTCCTGAAGGAGATTCACGCTCACCTCGAGAGACACGGCGATGCCGTCAAGGACGTTGCCTTTGAGGTTGACAACGTCGAGGCCGTTTACAACAAGGCCGTGGCCGAGGGTGCCATTGCCGTCCAGGGCCCAACGGCCACCAAGGATGAGCACGGCTCCGTCACCACGGCCGTCATCTGCACTTATGGCGACACCACCCACACTCTCATCAACCGCCGGGCTTACACTGGACCTTTCCTGCCGGGCTTCCGCGCTGGTAACAAGCGCACCGCTGCCGTGGAGATGCCCAACGTGCCCCTTGCCCGCATCGACCACTGCGTCGGCAACCAGTCGTGGAACGAAATGGTCTCTGCCTGTGCCTTTTACGAGCAGTGCCTGTCCTTCCACCGCTTCTGGTCCGTCGACGACTCGCAGATCTGCACCGAGTTCTCGGCCCTCAACTCCATCGTCATGGCCTCGCCCAACAACCTTGTCAAGATGCCCATCAACGAGCCCGCTCCGGGAAAGAAGAAGTCCCAGATCGAGGAGTATGTCATCTTCAACTCTGGCCCGGGCGTCCAGCACATCGCCCTCCTCACCCCCGACATCATCACCTCCGTCTCGGCCCTCCGCGCCCGCGGCGTCGAGTTCATCAACGTCCCGTCCACATACTACGATACCATGCGCCAGCGCCTCAAGACGGAGAAGCGCAACTGGCAGCTCAAGGAGGACCTGGACACCATCCAGCGCCTCAACATCCTCATCGACTACGACGAGGCCGGCTATCTCCTGCAGCTCTTCACCAAGCCGCTCATGGACCGCCCTACCGTCTTCATCGAGATTATCCAGAGAAACAACTTCGAGGGCTTCGGCGCCGGTAACTTCAAGAGCTTGTTCGAGGCTATTGAGCGCGAGCAGGCCGAGCGAGGAAACTTGTAATTTTGTAATACCCCACTAAAAGGAAGGGCGTGAAAGGAAGCCGCCGATCAATGATATTTTTATGTTTACTACACAGCTTTGGGAGTTTATGTACTGGGCATCCATATGATGCAAAATGGGAGCATTAGGGTAGTTAACAGCCACGATTACGAATCATGCTGAAAATGAAATTTGAATATATTTCAAAAAGCTCATTGGCTTCTCCAAGTGATATCTTGTTGTTGACTTTTCTCCGTATCGCTAACTTTCGATGACACTACCTAGAGTAGGCAGCTGGAATGGTATCTCCCCGTCAATAGGGTTCCAACCGTATGCTCCGTATAATGCTAATATCTAAACGCCGTGAACTAAAAAAAAATATAAAAAAAGATGGCATATTTGTAAAAGTATCCAGCATTACCCCATGGCGCTTCTTGCAGTAAAAGTTCACCCTATGATCATCTACCCATCTATAACCATAACTCCACCATTGGTATGCCCGTTCCCATTTGCCTCTATTGGCGGCGCCGCATCTGGAGCCCGGCTCTGGCATCCAGGGCAGTTGTGTATCACCATATGAGCAAAGACATCACAGTCGATGCAGAAATGATTGCCACACACTTGACACTTGTATCTCCCGCTTTCGCTCACGCCTTTGGCCGGTGCTTTTGTCGGCGCTTCGTCTTTGCCCTTTTCTTTGTTCGGTTTGGGGGGTTCCGGGAAGGGACACTGGCAGGAGAAGCAAGCTATTGATCGCGTCGCTTCAGCCCACGGTACTTCAACCCAGTTCCGCAACGGGAAAAGGTGGTGATATGAACGAGCAAGATGTGTTGATAGAATGAGCGTCAGCCCACAAGCGGGGCACTCTGAAGGCAGCCGGCACACTTTCACGCCGCATCGAGTGCAGAGGTATCCTTCTCGACAAGGCTTACTGTGACAGGCGCAGTAGCTAGTAGTCCCACCAGGGGCAAGTGTCCGTGAGGGGAAGCCCATCATCAAGAGACTGGATGTACTCTGTTCCTTGGTCCGGTTCACAGGGGGGGTCGTGATGGCCAGGAAGAGGTCCTTGAAGTGTGTTTCGTCCATGGCGACATTGTACTGCGAGTCATCTCCCACATTTGTTCTAGAACAGAGCTCCGCGCAGATGGCAACCTGGGCGGACAGTCCAACCACAGAAACCCGTATTCGTTCAGCAATGAGATTGCTGATTGTGTCGTGAATGTCACCGGGATCGCTCGAGAGTAGGGCGCCGTAGATAATGAGCACTTCTCGTGTGCCGTGCGAAGGAGCATGGCTATCATCCAACCTCAAGTTAGCATACTGCATGCCACAATCATAGGCGAATCGACACCTGGGTAGAAGGGGCTAGCAACACTCACAACAACGCTCCTCGACACATCTCCAACGCATTCTGCAGGCTCGGATTCCCCTGAGGATCCTGCCCATCCAAGTCCCTCAGCCGCTCCAAGTGCTCTGCAGGATTCCCTCCCATATCACTGACCCGAACCGCTACGCCGTCTCTCATGCCCACAATCGCCAGCTGTGAAATCGGGTTCTGCTCAAAGTACTCCCGCACAAACGCTGCCGCGTAGCTCAGCGTCAGCCGATACCGCGTCGGCAGCAGGTCCTTTTCCGCCATTGCAAACGACATGTCCAGCACCAGCACCAAATGCCGTATGATGCCCCTCTGCAGAGGCGTCGTGTCGCGCAGCAGCCGTCGGCGTCGCTCAGCCTCGTAGCCAGCTAGGTTGAGCATGCCATCGTCTTCCTCGGGGAGATCCGTCTCCCACGTTCGTCTAGACTGCTCCCATGCTTTTGATGCGTTGCGGTCGCGCTTCTTCTTGGACACCTTCGAGCCCTTGGAGCGAGCCGCGCTCGGGTCGCCGTCCGTCACGGTGTGATCCATGATGTCGTCGTCGGACATGTCGTCGGCAACGAACTCGCCATCGGAGTCGGCCATGGTGAATTGGGCGTAAGTGGGAGAGGTTATGCGTGGAAAAAATAAATTAGAATTTAGGCTTGTGATAAGAAAAGTGAAAGAGTGCGTGCAGTTGGCAGAATAAAAGGTAGATGACGTGCAGGTTGGAAAGTCTAAGTGATGGAAATCGATAAGGCTGCTAAGCTGGAGACTTATCTCAGCCTCGTTAGTGCTCCTAGTTCCCCACTAAGCACGACGGCCTATCAGATTCATTGATGCTAAATTTCACAGCTTAACATGAGAACAACTGCTACAGTAAACGACACAATGTTATTCCAATCAATGCAAATTCCATTTCATTGTCCTCTTGTAAAACATCATCTTTCAATTATTACTCACTCCACCGGGGTATACTACAAAGTCATATCTAAACCACTGTACAGGCTATCGGGCCATGAAGCTCCTTTAGCGAGTAACCTAGAAACCGGAACATATGTTTTTTCTCCCACAATCTTTCGCCAACTCACCAGATGCCTTCCAACCAAAGCGACACCAGTACGCAAAACATTATTACCAAAGAAGCCCAAACACCTCGCTATAGGAGGGCTGAACAAAAGAAACAGAATAAACATAAAGCAACTTTAGCTCCAACATAATGCGGCTGGTCACTCAGTCTCCCCCCTCCACTAACCAATAAGGAAATCCATCACTGCTGGCGTATTTCAGCCAGTTTCATATGTGCTGCGTGAGCGCGTCGTTCGACTCGTAATCAACTCGTCGGGGGAAAACGTATATATATATGAAAAGCAGAAATTAACAAGAAAAGAGTGAAGCCGTCAATGCTGCCGCCTGTAAACGCCGAGGTTCAAAACCCAAAATGTTGCAAGATTATCTTAGTTGTATGGTTGAGAGTTGTAGGATTGGGAGTGGGAGTGGGAGTTGTAGGATTGCGAGGCATAGCCTTGGTTGGAATAGCTCTGGTTGGCGTATCCCGCATTGGCATACGCCGCACTGGCAGTCGTATAGCCAGGAGAGGTGTAAGACTCTGTTGCCGGCATGGGCCAGTCGTCCTCAGTGATGCTTGACCAGAAGACCCAGACCAAGCCGACAGCCAGAAGCGTGAATAGTGTCTCGAAAAGAGCTCCGTCAATCTTGCCACTGGTCCCATCGCAAATGTACTTGCTGATAACGTAGTTGAAAACCTGACCAACGGCAAAGGAGAGGGCGGCAGCAGCCAAATAGATCATGGGGCGAAGCTCTCCCAGGATTCGAAGGACCAGGATGGTTTCAAGGACGAAAAATGCAACGAGGAACACCAGGGGAATAAGCTGGTATAACACATAGAGGGCAATGTTGCGGTTTGGAAGGTGGTAGCTGCTGTCCCAGAATCCGGTCCAGCTGAATCCCGTGTCGAGAGCAATGTAGCCAGTTCCAATAAAGAGGGCGCCGGCAGAGCCAAATAGCAGGGCCAGAGATAACGGGGTTCCGTCATCGAGCAGCTGGTATCCAACAACGGCGTTGAGCATAAGAATCCAGGTAGTCGCGATGATCAAGCCAATGTGAATGCCACTAAAAACCTAAACCAGGAGTGTCAATATATCACGAACAAGAGACATGAGAGTAAGGGCAACGAAACGAGTTAGCTGGTAAACGTACCACTCTTACGGTTTTGCCGAGGGGGATTTCGCCAACTGAAAAGATTTCGCAGATGCTGATGAGAATATAGCCAAGAAGGAACAGTTGAATTTCGCTATCGCGCCACGTTAGCTCTGTTTTTTGAGGTATATGCACGGTAACACATACCGACGGCCCACAGCAGCCTTTTTCCTGTCCGATTTGATGATGAGGAACGATGCCATGGCAATACCGAGGCCACATAGGATGATTGATCCAACGTTACCCAGATGCCGGCCGCCGCTGAGCGGGATTCCTGTGAGCGTACATCCTCCCCAGGGGCCGGTTTGGTTCTTGAATTCTTCAGATAGCAACTGCGGTTGACGGATGGTTAGCTTCCCTCCCGAAAACAAAATCTCCTTTACTTCCAGTCTCTTGTCTCTTTCTGTCCACTCTCATATCCCAGCCAGCACTTACGTTGCAGACCGGCAGGGTCGAATCTTTGCAAAAGTCCTGTATACAAACTTGGTCAGCTAGCTACACCAAAAGCGCAGAGGTCGGGCGACGGCATACGTTAAAGTTGCCAAAGGCTGTGGACCCCATTGTGATTGCGGATGCTTTGCAGTTCGATCAGCACGCGAGCAGCATCCAGCGGTGCAATCACAATCGGGGTGGAAGAATTGGCGGGATGGGCAGCAGGACAGGAGCGAGATCGATCGTCGGATGCTGCAAGTCGGCGTCTCGTTTGCAGGTGGCGCTAAGGCAGCTGCAGAGGCTGGTCGGGAGCGCGTATCGGGGCCGAGATGAAAAGAGGCTCGAGCTCTTGCTTTTTTCTCTGTCGCTTTCCTTTTTCCTCCTTCTCGCTTCCGGGGTCCGTTCTGGTCGGATCGAGTGTTGGAGGCCACACGAGGCTGTGAGATTGCTGGTGCTTATATCGACGTGACTGCGCGCTATCGGTTGCGACAGCAATGGGGCGAAGTACTCGACAAGTAGCCCAAAATAAGAAGCGTCGTCGGCGGTGTATGTGTAATACTTGTATGCGCGGTGTCGAGGCCTGACTGTGAATGGATCGTCTCCAATGCGTCGCCCCGTCCGTGCCTTGGTTTGGGCCTTGATTCGGGTCTTGCCAGACGCTCCAATCTGGTCAGAGACGAGGCCTTCTCGCTTCAAGGTGGGTTATGCTGGCTGTGGAGGAGGAGAGTGGGAAAAAAGGATGTCGAGTCCTAAGCAAGGGAGACTTGCTGGCCGTCCGACGGAAAACTGGGGGTGTTCGACGCACCTGCAGCAACTGGGAGCTTGGGCCGGGGGACAGCGCCTGGCGATACCGATTGTGTCTGAGGCATGTACCAAGGGAGTCGTATTACAAGGGAGCGGCGCCGGCGATGTACACAGACAGTACAATAAAGACCGAGGGCCATCATTGGTAGTATACTGTTCTTGTGTACGAGTACGTCTCTCTACTCGTACTCTACGGTCCAGCAACCGGCTATAGCACCTAAACAAGGACCTTTTGGGCTGCCAAGGCTCATCCATAACAGCACCAGTGCACGCTGTTTCCAATGCCAGTGGTTGGGCCGCCGCCGCTAACACGAGCATGTTGCAGGTGCCTTGGATGTTGCTCGTTTCTCCCCCTAAGCCCCGTCAAGCCCCCCGGGCCCAACACTGGGTCTAGCGCTTGTTACTGAGCCTAGCACCGAGTCTAGCACGCCCGGCCTCAACTTTTTAGGCCAGGTCCAGGTGCTGCTGGGCCCAACTTGGCAGCTAAAGCAGGAACGGGCTTGCTGAGTGGACGAGGTGGAGCCTCGGGTGATCCCACGCTAGGGTTATGTGCCATGTGATTGGCTTGCCAGCCCTTTTTGACAGGGGATCACCCTTGTTTGGGAAAGCTGACCATTCGACGAAGTACTGTACTGAGACAAAGAGACGCAAACGGAGGAACAATGGGTGCGACCTGATATCACGTTAGGGGTCGAGCGCCGCGGGATGGAATATTAATGTCTGACTATGCTAATTACAAAAGTACAGGTACCTGGCATTGAATACGGAGTACTGTACAGCGGTGCAGTTTGTACTCCGTACATCAATTGCAAATATCCTCAGTCCCAACACCATTGATGATTCCAGTCCACGGCTGCAGCATGCAGTAAGACACCATTAGGATGCGCTATAGCGCCCTATAATTCAAGCCGTTGCCACTGGCACGAAGTGTGCGTGCTAACCAAGCGGCTTTCCTCGTATGGCTAATAGCGACGGCCAATCGACATGTCCCTCAGACATCACGTACATTAGCATGGAGTACCACTACCAGCCTTGATGTAGAGCTACGTGGCGCCGCATATCAACGTGTGGCTCGTAAAGCCTTGCCTGACGCTCCAGCTGTCGCGTCGCCAAGCTGATACACATTGCATCTTGCAGCTGATCATCATGCAAGTTGGTTGGCCATTTTCTTTCTTTTCTTTTTTCCTTCTTTGCTTCCTTTTTTTTCTTCTTCCTTCTTTTTCTTCACCAACACCCTCAAACCCCCTTTAGCGAGCCAATGGGAACTTTTGAGCTTCTCCCTCCATGCACACTAGTACTACACGGACTCTGCAGAACAATATCTTTCCATATCAGAATCCCGGCTTACTCCCAACCAAAGGCCCAAAGCACAGGGCATGTTCATGCATGTAAAGTAGCGCCATATGTGTATTTTCGGCTTTTGATTCTCCACAGCAGCTCCGTTGGCCAGAGGGAGAGCACCGCAAATCGCGCCTCTGCAGAGCTGCGTCATTGCTCTAAAAATGGCAATCTCATCTTTTTTTTTTTTTCGTGTATATGCTCCCTTCGTGAGGCGACTCCTACGCTCTAAATCTATATAGAATACGAGCATGTATCGCTTCCAGTTGCGTGCCTCCGATTACATGCACTATGAATGCTGTACATAGACACCATCCACAGCTCAAACGACATCATCCTATAAGAGGCCCGTCTCCGGCTTATTAGTGTGAATCGTGTGTTACGATTAAATTGCTTCCACAAGCTAAGCGGGTCCCTTCCCGTGGTTGGATGCCCTTGTTTTTTCGTGTTTTTTTTTTTTCCTTCTTCTTTTTTAAAATTGCGCTCTCATTTCCCTGCCTGATCGATGACCGGCACATGGATCGTCGGAACAATCGCCTGCTTTGTTTCCATCATTCACTGTGCCGTCCCGTGTGTTTCGCTTGCGGAGTGCTACAAGTCCCGATATTCCTAGCGGATGGACACGGTCTTGCTCTTGGCAGTCCATATTCTCGTGCCTGTACTCCGTACTCGTAAGAAAGCAAAATAAGGCAAACAACCGGGCTAGATCCACAGCGGACATTGTTGTCGTAGTGAGAATATCCCATCATTGGGTATCGGAGCTTCTGAGGCCACCTGCACACGCGCCTCAATATCCCGGACCATACGCTCCGTGTACTCGCAGTCGCCTACAGATGTTCCAGTTCAGTCGAATGTGGGCGCAAAAGGAAAGAGGATACGATAGCACACTATCAGCTGCTTAAAAAGTAAATGTCTTCACAGCAAAAGGGCAAAAAATCTCTCCCGCCGGGAATTGAACCCGGGTCTCAAGCGTGACAAGCTTGCATACTGACCACTATACTACGGAAGATGTTCCAGGCGTTGGGCGCCTGTTGTAGCGGATCACGTGCTTAGTGTTGACCTTTTTTGCATTATGAAGCCCCATGCTATCCTTCTACGTGTCCCAACATTTCTTCTCGTAGAGCTTCATTATTTTGACGCCTATAGATATATGCCAGATGTTTCAAATATCGATGCGCAAAAAGAATGCACTGACGAAAAATGATTAGCGGCTTCCCGTGTGCCATTTTGCAATACATCACCAACAAGATTGTGAATCCTCGCTCAGTTTTACAAGATGACAGTTCTGACGATAGTACCCAAATATTCGTGCCTCTCTAGGGTAGGTCTACACATGTTCTGCTCTGCATGGCCGAACCTGCAGGCACTCATTTGTTAGCTCATGGAGATTGACTTGTATTTATCAACAACATGAATCACACACCGCCCACCTATCCAGGATTTCTATCTTCTTTCCCCCAGTTAAAAAGCCCTGAAGAGAAATGCCGCGATTGTTGAAAAGGCTGAAAGAAAAGCTGTCAAACACAGATACGAAGAAAGATGACGGAGCACAAGCATATGTTTCGCCCAATTTCCCCTCTGTGCCTCATGAACCCGTGCCTAATCCCAAGCCTGCACCAAATCCCAAGCCCAATATTGAGCCCAGGCGGCTTAAAGGGAGGTTATGGAATGAAGCATACGAACAGCTGAAATCGAATAATGCCGAGCTTGTGGAGTCATACGAGAAAATCCTCTCTACAGAACTTCTCCGCAGTCGACATGATTCTACAGAACCCGCCGCTCTGGCCAATCGAATCGATGGGGCGTATGACGAAAGATGGAAACAAATGCAAATGATTGTAGAGACGGCATTGGAGAGAAAGAAAGAAAGAATTGCAGCAAAGCAGAAAATTGGCAGTGGCTTAGCAACAGTTAGCACTGCCATGGGTCAAGCTGTTCGAGCTGTTCCAGAGGCGGCTGTTGCTTGGACTGGTGTCTGCTTTGCTCTCGAGGTAGGGTTACGAGCTGAATTTGAGTTGGACTGTGACTAATGGCAACTAAGATAATCTCAAATTCCATCCAAGAAACCACAGCAAACCATCAAGGCATACTCTATGTCGTATCAAGGATGGACTGGTATTGGCATCTTGCGGAACTCCTCTCGGATAGTAATGCAATTGAATCTGCGTCGCATCCATTGCGAGTTCAGATGGAAAAACATATAATTGATCTATACCAGAAACTTCTACTCTACCAAATGAAGAGCGTGTGTCGTTATTATCGCCTGCATGGACCGGCGATCTGGAGAGATGCAATCAAGGCTGATAACTGGGCAGCTCAATTGGATGATATCCGGAATGCCGAGGTGATTGTCCAGGAAGATTCGAGAATATTCAATGCTCTGGAGACACAAAGAAGACTTGACGAGATTGATTCTGCGAGCAAATTGCTCCAAAGCGAAATACAGGGCATTTGGCCAAAGATTCAGGAACATATCCTCAGTAAGGAAGAAGAACGATGCCTAAAAGACTTACGGATCACCGATCCCCGCGATGATAAGTCCCGAATCGAAGATACAAATGGTGGCCTTTTACAAGGCGCCTATGGTTGGGCTATAAATCATGATGACTTTATTGCCTGGCGGGATGAGAAGGAAAACCACCTGTTGTGGATCAAAGGCGACCCTGGCAAAGGGAAGACCATGCTTCTGTGCGGCATCATTGATGAACTGCAAAGTCTAAATATCAAGCCGTGCTATTTCTTCTGCCAGGCTACTGATCCGCGACTTAACAATGCTACAGCTATTTTGCGCGGCCTCATATACCTATTGGTTGATACAAACCGACAGCTTCTCTCACATATTCAAGAGAAATACGAACAGGGGGGTGCAGAATTGTTCCAGGATGCTAATTCCTGGATTGTGTTGTCCCAAATTTTCACCAAGCTTCTGGAAGATCCCACCATGGAGGGTCAAGTGTTTATGATTGATGCACTTGATGAATGTCAGACTGATTTAGACCGGCTCCTTGATCTCATCGTTGGGAGATCTGCAAGTTCTCACGCGAAATGGATTGTGTCAAGCCGAAATTGGACTGGAATCGAGGAGAAATTAGGCACAATCTCACAAAAGATTCGATTCTCTCTTGAACTAAACGAACAATCAGTCTCCGAAGCAGTTAGCTTTTATATCACTCACAAAACAACCCGACTAAAAGAAGCAAAAGGGCTGGACGATGAGACTGAGCTAGTGGTTCGAGACTACCTGATCAATCATGCGAGAGGAACGTTTTTGTGGGTGGCCTTGGTTTGCAAAGAATTGTTAAAAATGTCAGTGCGCAAACGGCATGTGGTGAAGAAGATGGCAGAATTTCCATCCGATCTTGTCCCTCTCTACGAGAGAATGATGCAGCAAATTCGTGAATCGGAAGACTCCGACTTGTGTGAGAGGATTCTTAAACTAGTTGCTGTCGTCTACCGGCCTGTCACACTGGCAGAATTGGCATCTCTCTTGAACGTTGAGGACAAGTTCAGCAGAGAAGATCTTGAGGAAATAGTTGCCTCATGTGGATCTTTCCTGGTTGTGAGAGACGATGTGGTGCGGTTTGTTCACCAATCGGCCCAGGACTTCCTGCTCAAAGACAGGATGCTTGTCTCTGAACTTGGAGGCCAGCACTATACCGTCTTTTCGAAGTCGTTGGAAATCTTATCAATGACTCTGCGGCGCGACATGTATGATCTCCACCATCCTGGCGCCCTCATCGAAGAGTATACACCGAGCCACGATCACGATGTACTGAGACACGCACAATACTCTTGTGTCTATTGGGTGGATCATCTCAAAGCCGTCAATGACTTGGAAAGAGAGAAATGTATGTTGAGTTTGCAGGACAATGGTGTCATCCACCGTTTTCTCAAGGAAAAACTATTGAATTGGTTGGAGGCACTCATTTTAATAAAGAGGATGCCAGATGCCGCAAGGAGTGTTGGGATATTGAAGAAATTGGTAAGTGGACCTCTGACAATAAGACAAGAAAACTCTAACCAATGCCTAGACGACTGGTGATGAATGCATGTGCATAATGCGAAATCTTATAGAGGATGTTTATCGCTTTGTTCTTTCACATAAAATTGGAGTTGAGCTTGCACCTCTGCAAATCTACAACTCGGCCATTATTTTTAGCCCGACTTCCAGCATGGTACGACAGATGTATGAGGAGACCGAGGGGCCAAAGTGGATTAACACAAAACCGGAGATGCCAGTAGGATGGACTGCACGCCTCCAGTCCCTTGAAGGACATGAGACAAAGGTCAGAATGTTGGATTTTTCTCCAGATGGAACACAGTTAGCATCCGGGTCACGGAATGGGATAGTCAAGATCTGGGACTTGGAGACAGGGGCGTGTCTGCATACATTCATGTGTCAACGTCGACTTCGCCGGATAGTCTTTTCACCTCAAGGCCAGCACTTGGCCACTATATCAACTGAAATGGTCCAGATATGGAATATAGTAACATCGACATGCCTATATACATTCGAGGACGATGTATCTGTTCAAAACTTGGCATTTTCATCAGATGGGCTATGGTTGGCTGCAATCTGCTACAACCCAGGTATCAAGAATGCCATCCGAACCTGGGATCTCGGCACAGGTATAGAACTGAAGACACACAATCTCAGAACCGATGCATGGGAGAGTACATGCACTGCATTTGCACCGGATGGAACACACCTCGCCTGTCTGTTGGATAGGCGTGACGGGCGAATTCACATCTGGAATTTAACTGCAGATAGGCATCTGCCTGCTCTCGATGCGAAGGCTTGTACTCAGGCTGATGTGTCGGCATTTTCGGCCGACGCTTCGCAATTGGCAGTGGAAATATATGATGAGATTCTCATTTTTGATACTTCAACAGGCACGTGCCTATCGAAAATAAGCGGTTACCCAGCCATTGATTTATACGAGCTTCATTTCTTAGCGACCCCTACGAGACTGATGTCGCAGTATGGTGACGGAAGTTTTAGGATCTGGGATTCTGCCACAGGCGAGTATCTACGACTTCTCAATCTTGGATGGATGCCCGCCGACGGCATAACTGCTCTTTCTCCGGATGGCCTATTGATCGCATCAGGATATTACGAGATCGAAATATGGGACATGGCCATTGATTCATCCATGAAAATACTTGGAAAGCCCGATATTACTGTTGAGGCAATTGTATTTTCGTCAGATGGCACACAACTTGCAACAGCATCATTCTCCTCCACCTTGGTAAGATGCTTTATCGAAATTTATGATCCGCTCACTGGCGCTTGTTTGAAACAGTTTGAATACGAAACAGATACTATTGCATGTATGGTATTTTCTCCGGATAGCAGGCGGTTGGCGGCCGCCGGCGAGAGTTCTATTGAGATTTGGGATGTTTCTTCAGGCGTGAGCCTGCGGAGACTCGATTTTGGAAATAGGAGGTATTGGGCTGACGCAATGACTTTCTCGTCAGACGGTTATCTCTTGGCAGCAAGCATCTACCTAGAGGATGGCATTGAGATATGGGATATAACTACAGGTGAAAGCTTACGACATATCAGCAACCCTTACACTTTGGAGAGTGTCCGTCCTGCTAGAACTATAGCTCTGGTGTTTTCACCAGATGATGCACTGATTGCGGCGACGCTCGAACCCGGTACTGTTCTAACCTACGACGTACGCACGGGCACACATCTGGAAACTTTTCACGACTTCTTCGAGGGGCTATCTTACGACTCTCGAATTTCTAGGCAGCATCTTCAGGCCAAATTGCGTATGCATATTTTTAATGACGAAAGCTCCATTAATGCTCCGCCAAACGAACACATGCCAATAAGCAGAAACATTTTCTCTACATTTACAATTTGCGAAGAAGGGACGTGGATTCTAAGAGGGCAACAGCGGGTGCTATGGCTACCCCCGGAGTACCGGCCCATTAGAATTGCAATTTATGATGGGTTTGTTATTCTTGGTTGTAGGCGCGGCATTATTCTCCGTTTCCAGTTTGCTGTTGGCGCACTGGACAAGGTGCTGGTGTGAAATGTTGCTACTACCTATAGTACTGCAGGGCATCTGGCTATGTCATCTACTACCTAGGTAGTAATTAAGATGAACAATCTTTAAGTTGAACAAGTGAAAGAGAGGCGTCTTAAACCACCATCTACATGTTCGTAGAAACCGCCAAATGGCACTAAATTTGCTAACCCTCATGGCTGCTGCTGCAATAGGTTTGCTTGCGTCGGCTCTCCCCGAGCTCATCACACGGATCCGACGCGGATCCGGATCGTGGGCTCCGGCATTGTCAAAATATGTATCCACCAAGCCGAGGCCGGTATCATCCTGGGTACGGCCCGACTGGGCGCACTCGGACTTCCCTGATTCACTACAAAGGAAATGCTTCCATACATGTATTTAACATTGGAGGCGGATGTGCCTGGTTTGACATCGACCCTAACCGGGCCGCGTTCCAACTGAGCTTTATACATGGACCACTGACCGGCTCTCGTGCCCCCGAAGCATCTCGGGTGCTAATCGCCGATATCTCTTACTTGACAAGTTCACGTTAAAAGAGCCGCTTAAGAGCGTTGAACGCTTGCAGAGTTTTCAAACCTGTTGAGGGTTGCGCCTCGCCCGCTCAATCTGAGAGGATCGGCACAGGACTTTTGGCCAAGGATGTCGTCTGACGTCGGCGTCCCACAGCTGAGATTGAGCGGAATTGCACGTGAGGTTACGGGCTGGAATAGCGCTTGGCACTCTGTTGATCACTGGGGGTTTTTGCCAGTCAAGGCGCCAATAATACGAAGCGCGTGTTGTAGAGGTAACAAATAGACAAACAAGGAGGTTGGCCTGCTTATCAGTTGATTGGGAGCCCGTCGTTATTCTTTTTCTACACCCCTTAGATGTGGTGCTGCAGTTTCAACACTTTCAATTCTTGATTTAATTCAATTTACAGTCCTGAGAATTATCGAAGAATGCCTATGAAAAGTGATTGAATGGGATTCCGGCCGGTTTCACACATTCCCACCCGAGTACCTCAGCTTATAATAGCCCGAGGGTTTCATCACCAGGTGAGGCGCAGGCACCACCGATTCCTGCCCCTGAGAGGTGCGTTATCGCGCGGATCTGGCGGGCGAGAGCGCTGTAAATTAGGCACGTCGTCATCTCGGGGCTTCAACATTCCCTGCGTCCGTCAAACCAACCGCTGTACCTGAATTTTTTCCTTCTTCAACACCTCCAGGGCTCTCTCTCTCCTCTTCTCCCAATTCAACTTGACAAATGGCATCTTAATTTTCTTGTTCTATTTTGCATTTGCATTTGCTACGCCTCGCCTCCTTTTCAGCTGGAATCGAGACTGCCGCGCCACAGAGCCGCCACTTGGCAGTTTGCGTCTTCATCCTCCTCATCTCCACCTTTCTGCTGCGTCCGTCTTTGTCTCGTTCTGGTTTATCTCTTCTGCAAGACTTCAACCATCCACCTCAGGGTCCCCTGTTGCTCGCCTGCTACCTAAAAAAAAAACTTGCCGGCCAGCTCTTCTTATCCCCCCAAAAAGGCATCCCCCTCCCCTCACATTCGCTTCATCGTGCATCTGTCGCAAGGCCAGCGCTACTCCACCCGCACTAAAACGCCCCCCAGTGACGTATCGTGAGGCTCGTGGCTCTCAAAATCTGGGTCATCTGCATCTACTGCGTCCAGCCTGGAGGTATCGCCGTATTGCCGGACCGGAGCTGTACATGCACCAGGACATTGTCGCGCCTCTGTTTTTGCCCGTCTCTCGCTGGTTCTCGAGTGTACCGTCGTTGTATCTTTTCCGCATTGCCCGTGTGCCTCTGCCGGCACCCCCAGCTCCGAACCGCCAAGGTGTTTCACTCGCCTTGACTCCAGTCGGCAGGCTCTACCAAGACATCACCGTCTCTGATTGACGCCAATCTGAACTGTCTTGTCACCCGACCCCATACTTGGTCTGACAACACTCGTTTGTTCATCCGCTCCCTTGTTTCTCGCTGCCCTTCGGATCAAGAGCCTGCAGACGGGTGCTGCTGCTGATCAGCCCCAAAACCACCCAACATTCCTCCTCCAACATCAGCCCGGCTCCCTTCCAACATCCCCCTCCGGACGCTCCCTTCACGCTCCGACCTCGACAAACAAGACCAAGACTCGCCATCGGCATCGCTCCTTTCCACCAGGGGATACGGCGCCCCTCATCACCGCCCGTCGTCCGAGTCTGAGACATCGTCCTGGACCGACACTGGCGACATTGGCGACCAGTACGGCGACGACGACGACCCGGTCCGCATCCAACTGCCCGAGGACATTGAGAACGAGCTGCTCGCCAGTGTCCAGCGCCGACAATCGAAGCCGCTGTACAAGTCACATAAGAAGGTCCGGATCCACGACCCGTCGCCGCATCGGCGCAACCACTCATTTTCGCCGTCCCCGTTCGTCGATAAAGAGGCCATTGAGATCCCCGACGTTCGTCCTCGACCGCCATCTAGAGCAGAACGCTGTGTCGGTTCCATCATGGCGGGCTCCTCAGGTTCCATCCATGGCCTTACCGGCAAGGCCTTGCTGTAAGAATTATTCCCTTGCCTTTCTTTTTCACGGTCTCGACCGAGTTTCGTGGGATTTTCGCCGTGCTAACAATGTTTGCGACAGGTACTTTACAAGCATATTCGTTTCTTTAGGAGTTTTTCTTTTCGGATATGATCAAGGCGTCATGTCGGGCCTCATCATGTATGCTTCCGCTTCTCTCATCCGCTGCGCAACAGCAAATTGATGGACGAAAACTGACAGCTATTCTCACAGAGGCCCGTACTTTATCGATTATTTTAACCACCCGTCGAAAGCCGAGGTAGGGACAATGGTTGCCATCCTCGAAATTGGAGCCTTTATATCGTCCCTCATTGTTGGCCGCGTCGGTGACATCATCGGCCGCCGCCGTACCATCTTATATGGTTCTTGCATCTTCTTTGTTGGAGGAGCATTGCAGACTCTCGCCACGTCGATGGCAATGATGATGCTTGGACGAATTGTTGCTGGATTTGGTGTTGGCATGCTTTCCACCATCGTGCCTGTCTACCAGTCCGAAATCTCCCCTCCCCACAACCGTGGAAAGCTTGCTTGTATCGAGTTTTCTGGCAACATCGTTGGTTATACGACCTCCGTCTGGGTCGACTATGGCTGTGGATTCATTGAGAGCAATTTGTCGTGGCGTATTCCGCTTATGATGCAATGTATCATGGGTGCTCTTTTGGCATTGGGAAGCTTGATCATTGTGGAGTCGCCCAGGTAAAGAACCATTCCGCCCTCACTTCCACCAGTTCCATTATCTTTCCTAATTATGAGATACTAACAATCATACTCTGCAGATGGCTCCTGGATAATGATCATGACGAAGAGGGCATGGTTGTCATTGCCAACCTCTATGGTGCTGGTGATATTCATAACGCCAAGGCACGCGATGAGTACCGCGAGATCAAGATGGGCGTGCTTCTTCAGCGTCAAGAAGGCGAGCGCTCCTACACTGAGATGTTTCGGCGGTATCGTACTCGAGTCTTTATCGCAATGTCTGCTCAGGCTCTTGCGCAGCTCAACGGCATCAACGTTATCTCCTACTACGCACCATTAGTCTTCGAATCCGCCGGCTGGGTGGGCCATGATGCTGTCCTCATGACTGGCTTGAACGGCATTACCTATTTCCTATCCACCATTCCACCGTGGTATCTCGTTGATCGATGGGGTCGCCGAATGATCCTTCTCACTGGAGCCATTTTCATGGCCATTGCCCTGTCTCTCATCTCCTACTTCCTCTATCTCGATGTCAAATGGACTCCCAGGATGGTGGTCCTGTTTGTCATGATATACAATGCTGCCTTTGGCTACTCATGGGGACCGATCCCCTGGCTCTACCCTCCCGAAATCCTGCCCCTGAGCATCCGATCCAAGGGTGCCAGCTTGTCGACTGCTACGAATTGGGCCTTCAACTGGCTTGTTGGTGAAATGACACCGATTCTGCAGGAGTGGATTAAATGGCGCCTGTATCTTCTCCACGCCTTCTTCTGTGTGGCTAGTTTTGTTATTGGTAAGTCGCGGGCGCTGATGAGCCTCTACTCTTCTCACAGCCTTCTATGCCTGATCGATTACTGACCCGAGCCTCATTAGTTTATTTCATTTACCCAGAGACTTGTGGAGTCCGCCTCGAGGACATGGATTCCATCTTTGGCGATGCTAGCACTGTGGCCACCCCGTCCATCCATGCGGAAACCGGGTCGCTTATCCGGGGTGGATCGCCTATTGGATCTGGGCGTATGCCGTTCCGCTCAACGACTCCCATTCCCGGGCTGTCTCTTGACCCCCCCGATGTCAATGATAACAAGGCTGCCCCCCAGAGTGGCGGCGACGACCGAAGCATTAGCGGATGGCTATCGAGGGTTGTCAATCGTGGCCGTTCGGGCAGTCCGAGCAGTGGGCAAGGGCAATATACTCCACTCGGTCAGCAAGACGACGAGGGTCGTAATGACAATTGAGATGGGTTGCCATGTTTATTTTTGGAGTACCCCATATAGACTTTTCTTTTTTTCATCTTGAATTTTTTTCCTTGGGGCACATAGACAGCGGAGCATAGCCATATCGCTATGCTTCTCACTCCATTGGGTACACAGCTCAGCCTAGACTATTTACCAGCAAAAGGACATGGGGTTTGGTATATAAGATGGACATGAATTGCACAGATTGGACCTGTGCTGAGAAGGAGTAGGAGCGAATGAGAGCTGAGAGCGAAAGGAAATATAGACTCCTAGGAGAATCCGTTTAAACTGAGGAGGTTTTACAAACCGTTACTGCCAGCGGCTCAATGACTTGAACAGTTCGTAATTTGACCATGCATAGGCTGATGAATGACGGAAGAGATGCCAAGTGTTGGTGCGAGCGCTCTACTAACACTATTAAATAGTAGTCTAGTCAGCGATATAAATACTAGCGCTTGATGAATTGCACGATTGTTTAAATAACATGCATGGTGGATGGATAATGCGTAAGTTTCATTGTGGTGGGAATAGGTCGATCTCCTCCGTGCGCGAATCGTCGAAAACACACAGTGTAAAACTTAGCACTCGGCTCTCAGCAGTGTTGAAGTGCTTCTCTTTATATACACCTCTAGACCTTTCATCGCCAAAGAATACAAAGCAAAGTCATGAAGACTCACGCACACAGAGAATCAGTGCCAACATCATGACAACGGCAGCCTCCAAGCTCGACATCACCCACGCATACCGGCACCTTTATCGGGGGCTCCTCCGAGCGGTGCAGTACTCGGCGCCGGCGCGGTACGTGGTGCGGGACCAGCTCCGAGCGGCTTTCCGGGAGCGAGATGCGGCTCTGGACAGAGAAGGTGTCAAGAGGACGGTGTGGTTCCTGGAAGCGGCGGCCAAGGAGAGGGGGCTGGAGCACAAGATTTTGAAGAATCTGATTCGGGTGCGGTTGGATCGGTCGTGGGGGGTGAGGACTTGGAAGAGGGCGTTGAATGAGACGAAGCAAAAGTGAGTGGTCTCTTCTTACTTGATTCGATGCTATTTCGGGTTTCTTTGAAGCTCTGGTTTGAAGTGGTGGTGGCGGAGCTTGGATAGTACAGTCGGTTGATGTGATACTGATGAGATATAGGCCTGAGACGAGACAGCTGCAGCAAGATGCGATGCAGCACTACGATATGACGGTTGCGATGCTGAATAAGAGCATGGGACTATGTCTGCGGTAATATGCGTCGAATGGGATCTCAGAAGAAAATGCTTTGGCTGAAGATACCGGGTGATGGCGCATGAGTTGATGTATGCTGGACGGATTGGAATGAAGTGAAACAAAACGGCACGGGCCTAGTATTGGTACCATCATTTTTTTGTAATATTACAGAGCGGAATAGATAACTTGCAACTTTCGCTGGCCAACCTCTATTAAACACTTTCTCTCACAAATACCCTTATAACTCCATGCCGTACGTTGCAATGCCAGCCCTCGTTGTTCTACTACTCGATGGACCTTACAAGTCCACCTCAATTTCCTTGAGTATAAGCTCGTCCAAACTGGAATTGTCGCGTGCATATATCCAGGTTCCTAGTGCTGTACCCTCCTTATCTCCCTGTCCCTCGCTGGCAACGCAAAAGTCGTATCGTTTAGGACCCGACAGCGGTGATGACAGCCAGATCTGCTTGTTCGGGGGCTGCTTGTTAATGACATAGGTGCCCTTATCGACTACGGTGACGGTCATGACACCAGACTGGTGGGGGATGGTTAGCAAGTTCATGGGACAGCTGTAAAGGGACAAGACTCACTGAGTATTCCACGTCAATTGGGGCGCCGTTGTCCTGATGGGTCTCGAATCTCTCAAGGAGATCGTGCATGAACTCGTCTGAGAGCTCGTTGTACTCGGCATCGGAGAGCTCGGCAACGGCAAACGTCGTCTCCGTCTTTGTAGCCGCCTTGTCCGGGTTGGAGGTATCCGGCATGATGCCCTTGCGCAAGCTCGTGTGAGCTGCGAATTGTCGTCGCTGTGAAGCCACTGAGGGCGCAACTGCGCGCGAAGCGCTGGGGAGGAGACGGAAGCTTGCGGGAACGACCCTTGGGCTGCGCATTGCTCTTCCGAGGAGGCTAAAGCCTTGTCTTGAGATGCTTGATGATGCCATGATGTTTGGTGGTGGGGTTGATGAAGATACTGCTTGATTGACAGATTCTAGATCGGAGATGCGAGATATCTATCTGCGCATCCGGGCCTTTAAAAGCTTTGATGGGTTGTGGATAATATGTTTCCTCTGGAGAGTCAATTGCCGGCTAGCTGGGGTGGAGGATGTGAGGAGAAGAGACAGAGCTGAAGAAGCTTTGAGCTCGACCTTTAGAATGACTGGAAGCCAATTGGAGACTGAAAAGGTTCGTCATGGCATGTACCCCATACTTGGGGCTCGGCATTCGAGTTATGACCGGGGACTTAGAGGGACTTTTAGAGCCACCCATTTTATATGCATATATAAGTACCGAGAGGTTCTTTCAGCTTAGTCACATGGGCTTAGCAACGTCACTTGGAGCTCTCAGCACGCCGTCGCCTTTATCGGCCCCACCAAGCCTCTCTCTTCCGTCAACATCCCGCCAAACAGGTCTCTGGGCGATGATGAGCCTCGTTTCGCGGCCATGATCAGCGCATTCTTGGTCTTCAATGGCCAGGGCCAGCCTCGGCTTACCAAATTCTACACCCAGCTGGTGAGTTGCGACCAAGCCGCCGATGCGCAAACCGAGACAGGAAACTTATTCAGCATCGTCTACAGGACACGAGCATTCAGCAGCGCCTGATATCCGAGATATTCACCCTCGTATCGAATCGTCCGGCGGGTTCATGCAACTTCTTGCCTCTGCCTCCCCTGCTCGCTGCCTCCAGCACGTCGCATAGTTCGACGGAAGAGCAGAGCGATGTGCCTTCGCTGGTGACATACCGCCATTACGCTACCCTCTACTTCATCATCATCTCGACGACGACGGAATCACCCCTAGCGTTGATCGACTTGATACAAGTATACGTTGAGGCGCTTGACAAGCTGTTTGAAAATGTCTGCGAACTCGACCTCATCTTCAACTTTGAAACTTTACACGCAACTCTATCAGAAATGATTATTGGAGGCGTCGTCATCGAAACGAGTCTCGATCGTATTGTCGCCGGTGTCAGAGCCCAGGGAACCGTCGCCAAACGGCCGGTAAACGAGGGACGAAGCACGATTGGGTCAGGAATGGGTATTGGGGGTAACTTTGCCTGGACAGGACGGGTATAATAATGATATTACGGCCTTGAGCCGAGCGTAAAGAGATGGGTCGGATAGAACTATGGCCAGCATATGCATACATTTCTTTGTCATCTCCCTTACCCAACATGGGTATTGCGCCAAACGCCATATATACAAATACTATATTACACGCATCGGAAGGCTGCAGTATCCTACAGCTCATTTCGACTCTGGGGTTTTCGACGGATTTACTTCTGGGGCGTCCTTGCGGCGTTCGTATCGCTTCTCGGGATCGAGAACTCCAAAGAGATTATTGGCGTGTTTCCGCAACTAAAGCTCCATGTGAGCGCATTGAACAATGAATCTGTGTAGTTACTCTGTGACAAACCTCTTCTGATGGCTTATACTTCTGTCCCCACCACTCGAACTCCGAATAGAATAGCAACCATACCAGTGCGGCTGTCCAATAATCAGCCTCAATGCATCCCATATACTCATATACAGTACATTATACTGCAACGGATAGACTGACCTGCAATTGTGATAAGCTGCGCATACTTGACGCCCTTTTCCCATCTTGGCGAACGGCTTGCAAGGGTAATACGACGCTTGTACTTCTTCTCAAACCGAAGCTGCTGTTGATGAGTCAACTCTTTGAAGTCAGGTGGCCACACTTTCCGAGCCTTGTAGGGATTGTTTGCGACAGTCAAGGGAACTCTTTTGGTCAGGGGCTCCTTTGCCGATTGGGCTAATCGCCTGACGAAGGTTGGAAACATTGTTGGTTGAGACTCCTGCAGCAGAGATGACTCTTGTGCAGGCAATATCGGAGATAATTGAGATATCAGAGCATAGATGACGCTGTTGGAGCTAGCAAAAGTTGCAAAGAGCCTGCAAAAGCCGGCAGCCACTGCACCGCCTCATCGCAACGCCACAGTTTCCATCTGGAAAAAAAGTGCCCCGCGATCACTTTTCACCCCTCCTCGTGCGCTTTTCGGCTGGAAATCTGAATCCCCGCCAATTATCCTGCTTGCTGTGAGTCAACAGAGAAAATACGAGACGGTATTCTCTCTGCGCAAGTGAGTCAAAAGGGAGCAGAGTTGTGGGAAGGAAGCTTAAAGAGAGCCAATCCTCCCGGGCTTTTCTTTTGATCCTCAAGAATTTTTTCAGGTTTTTTCTTTTGTCAGCAAACCGACAATTGCGACCATGGCGACGAACTCAGCGACGAAGGCCCTGGAGGCCCTGACAATCTCCAAGACCAAGGAATTGAAAGGAGTACGCAAAGAACCCCTCGAATCTCTATTCTTGCCTTGATCGCATCTACTAACTCCCGCCAGACTGAGAAGCGCGACTCCCTGATTGTCGTGGAGAAGAAGTATCAGAAAAAATGGCAGGAGGACGGCGTTTTCGAGACGAATGCCCCGACGACAACCGAAGTGCCTTTCCACTCTATCTCGGCCGCCGAGCTGCGAGAAAAGGAGCCCAAGTTCTTCGGAACCATGGCCTATCCCTACATGAACGGTACCCTCCACGCCGGCCACACCTTCTCAGCCACCAAGGTCGAGTTTGCCGCGGGCACGGCCAGAATGCAGGGCAAGCGTGCTCTGTTCCCCATGGGTTTTCACTGCACTGGTATGCCTATCAAGGCCTGTGCGGATAAGCTGGTCAACGAGATCAAGTTGTTCGGCGAGGATTTCTCTGGATATAAGGAGGAGGACGAGGTCGTTGTCGAGGAGAAGCCCAAGCCTGCTGCCAAGCAGACCAAGGAGGATGTCACCAAGTTCACGACCAACAAGAGCAAAGCCAACGCGAAGACTGTCAAGATGAAGTACCAGTTCCAGATCATGCAGGCCATTGGAATCCCCACCGAGGAGATTCACAAGTTTGCCGATTCTCAGCACTGGCTGAAGTACTTCCCTCCCCTGGCCATCAGAGATCTGACAAGCTTTGGCGCGAGAATCGACTGGCGACGATCCTTCGTTACGACCGATGCCAACCCTTACTACGATGCCTTTGTGCGCTGGCAGATGAACCGACTGAAGGAGCTGAACAAGATCAAGTTCGGCAAGCGATATACGATTTACTCTATCAAGGACGGCCAGCCCTGCATGGACCACGATCGTTCCGAAGGAGAGGCTGTCAACCCTCAGGAGTACACTGCCTTGAAGCTGAAGGTTCTGGAGTGGGCTCCCAAGGCTGCCGAGGCCATCAAGGGCAAGATCCCCGAGGGCGCCAATGTCTTCCTGGTCCCTGCCACCCTGAGACCGGAGACCATGTACGGACAGACCTGCTGTTTTGTCGGCCCCAAGTTGACCTATGGTCTGTTCAAGGTGGATGAGAACAACTACTTTGTCATCACTGAGCGAGCTGCTCGCAACATGGCTTACCAGGGCATTTTCGCCAAGGAGGGCTCCATCGAGAAGGCTGCTGACATTGTGGGCTCCGACATTGTTGGAACTTTGGTCAACGCCCCTCTGTCTCTGCACAAGGAGGGTGTCAGAGTCTTGCCCATGGATACTGTTCTGCCCACCAAGGGTACCGGTGTCGTCACCTCTGTCCCATCAGACAGCCCCGACGATTTCGCGACCGTGACCGAACTGGCCAAGAAGGCTGATTACTACGGAATTCAGAAGGAGTGGGCAGAGCTGGAGATTTTCCCCATCATCGAAACTCCGTCCTACGGCGATCTGTGCGCACCTTTCTTGGTGAAGAAGCTGAAGATTGCTTCGCCCAAGGACACCAAGCAGCTGGAGGAGGCTAAGGAGCTGGCTTACAAGGAAGGATTCTATCAAGGTATCCTGAAGGTCGGCGACTTCAAGGGCGAGAAGGTTGAGATTGCCAAGCCCAAGGTTAGAAGTCAGTTGATCGAAGCTGGCGAGGCCTTTGCCTACTCAGAGCCTGAGCGCAAGGTTGTCAGCCGATCTGGCGATGACTGCATCGTCTCGCTGATGGACCAATGGTACCTGGACTACGGCGAGCAGTCTTGGAAGGAGACTGCCCTGAAGTGGGTTGACAATGCCGATGGAAAGGGCCTGGAGACTTGGGCCCCTGAGACCAAGAATGGCTTTGAGGGCGTTCTGAACTGGCTGAACCAGTGGGCTTGCGCTCGATCATTTGGTCTGGGATCAAAGTTGCCTTGGGACACTCAGTTCCTGGTTGAGAGTTTGAGTGACTCAACCATCTACATGGCTTACTACACTGTCGCCCACTACCTGCACAAGGACTTGTTTGGCCGCACCAAGGGCATTGGTAACGTCGGCCCTGAGCAGATGACTGATGAGGTCTGGGACTCAATTTTCTGCCGCCGCGACCTGTCAGACGAGGTGGTTGCCAGCTCCGGCATCCCTCGCGCGACTCTGGAGAGCATGCGACGAGAATTCGAATACTTTTACCCTCTGGACCTGCGAAGCTCTGGAAAGGATCTGATCCCCAACCACTTGACCTTCTTCCTGTACATCCACTTGGCCATCTTCCCACCCGAGTACTGGCCTCGCGGTGTCCGAGCCAACGGCCACTTGATGCTGAACGGTGAAAAGATGGCCAAGAGCACTGGCAACTTCATGACCCTGAAGGACATGGTGGAGAAGTACGGTGCTGACGCCTCTCGTATTGCTCTGGCTGATGCCGGTGATGGTGTCAGCGATGCCAACTTTGAGGAAGATGTTGCTGACAACAACATTCTGCGTCTGTTCACCCTGCGTGAGTGGTGTGAGGAGATGGTCAAGGACCAGAACGAGCTGCGCACCGGCGAGATCAACAACTTCCAGGACGGCCTGTTTAACAACGAGATGAACACCTGCGCCAAGGAGGCCATCGAGCAGTACGGCCTGACCAACTACAAGCTGGCCCTGAAGGCTGCCCTGTACGAGCTGACCAGTGCCCGTGACTTCTACCGTGAGGCTTGCGCGGCTGGCGGTATCAAGATGCACAAGGATCTGGTCTTCAGATACATTGAGCTGCAGGCCCTGCTGATGGCCGTTATCGCCCCTCACTGGGCCGAGTACATCTGGCTGGAAGTCCTGAAGAAGGACTCCACCATCCACAATGCCAGGTTCCCTGAGGTGCCCGCAGTCGACGCCGCCTTGTCCGCCAAGCGCGAGTACGTCCGAAGCACCGCTTCCAACATCAACTCCGCCGAGGGCCAGCAGCTGAAGAAGAAGGCCAAGGGCAAGGAGCTGACGTTCGACCCCAAGAAGCCCAAGAAGCTGACCATCTACATGGCTGCCAAGTTCCCGGCCTGGCAGGCCAAGTACATCGACCTGCTGAAGGAGCTGTGGGATCCGTCGGCCAAGTCTGTCGACGACAAGGCTCTCAACGGCCGGATCGCCAAGATGGGCGAGATGAAGAAGGCCATGCCCTTTGTGCAGAGCCTGAAGAAGCGCCTGCAGGCCGGCGAGCCTGCCAGCGTTGTCTTGGAGCAGAAGTTGGCGTTTGACGAGAAGGAGACGCTGGTCCAGATGCTGGCCGGCCTGAAGCGAACTTCGGGTCTGTCGGTTCTGGATGTCCTGGTTGTTGAGGAGGGAGGCAAGAAGGGCATTCAACTGGACGACGGTAAGGAGGTGGAGATATCCGTGCCCGTTGCCGAAAATGCGGTCCCTGGCCAGCCTACGTTCTTCTTCGAGAACGTTGAGGCTTGATTCTAGGGGCGTTTTGCTCTTGGAATTTGTTTCGGAATTTTTTGCTATGAAAGAAATAAAGTAAAAGTAAAACTGTTAGAGTGAAAGAGAAAGCAAGAGGCGGTTTAGAGAGACAATAAATTGTTTCACGGTTCTCGTTTCTATTTAGCCAACGTTTTTGTTTCACGCGTCTATTGTGACGGGGAAGACATGTTTCTAAAACAACATTAAGCTTACTGTATGCCAACCGCGGCTCACTTCCCCCGTAAGATATTGAAGACAAACTCATAAACACACAACATGCATCAACCCCTCAACGACAACTCCGTTCTCGCACTCGATAATTGACGGTAAGCCTAGAAAACCCCCTCAAAACTATTGGACCAGCCTCTGGTCCTTCTTCCCACCGTTCCCCCAAAACGCCGTGTGGTGGCCATATTTGCCGGTGTGGGCTCCCTTCTCTCAGGAGGCGCGGCTCGGTTCCTTTAGCGACGCCCCTTATTGCCCCCCCTTCTTCCCTAGTCAAAGCTTGTGCGTGCAAAATCCACGATTAGCATTACTACTCTAAATAAATGACCCCCATGCTCGCCTGTGCGTGTATGTGCGGCGGCCTTGCGCCAGCCGTTGGGTACAGGTACGTACTTGTACTCTGCGTGAGAAAGGCTCATCGATCAATGTGGGAACACGGCTGATTTCGCCAAAAGTCCACAAAAAAAAAACTCCCCTCTCCTTGTCCTCGTGGCCACTGTTGGACTGTGGACTTTTGAGTTCCCTTCTGACAACGGTTTCTTGTGTCAAGAACGTGTTCTGTCGTCCTTCCACACGCTTAAAAGCCGTCGGGGAAACCAGACTATAGCATTTATCCGGTATGCTTTCTTGTGGCGTCGGAGAGAGCCGATGGAGGTTGTTGACGCGTCCAAGTACCTGTTGTACTGGACAAGCACACGTCGTCCCAGCCTCTCTCAACGGAAGCGCTTGAGTCGTTGTGATGCAACCTGGGTATTACAGCAAAAGGCCCCACAGCCGCGCGCACGCCGTGGTACGGTAGCCAGCGCAGCATTTTGATGTGATGGTACTCCTGTAAATTGAACTGTCTGAGAGCCGAGCCCGCACATGAACATGGAGCAGTCACTCGTCTAAGCCGTTCTTAGCATCCCTGGCGCCATGGGTCCGCCGGTTTTGGCGCGGAAAGGCAGACGAGGCTAAGGAAAAGAAGAAACATCTCCATGGGCTAGTATTTCGCATTGACTCCAGCTGGCTCTCAGGAAAATTTCGCCGCTGGCTTGCCTCGCAAGCGAAGTGGTTGCAATTCCCAAGTCCCGCCGAGAGGCTGGTGCCTTTTGCCGGTTCAGGGGCTTAATCCAAGCGCCTTCAGATGTGGATCGCCTGTAGATAACATTAGTTTTTTTTTCTCTTCTCTTTTTCTTCCCCTTGGTGAGATCCGCGTGGAGCTTGGACAGATTCGCTCATACCGCTTGTTGGTACTAGCAGCAGTAGGACGATGCCCGGTGTGTGTCCGTGATACTGGCTGCTGCTAGTGCAAGCAGCAGCAAGAGGGCCATTATCGCAGAACTTGGCACTGGCAGTAATACATAGTACTTGTATGTGGCTTGCTTGTCCAACATTCGACACTCATCGCGCGGCGGTATACGGCGTACTTGTAGCCGTTGTTGCAAAGCCGCTTCGGCACTAATGCTGAGGCAGTCGATCTTTTGTCTGCTCCATCTGGTTTATGACGCAACGAAATGAGATATCTCGTAGCCTCCTGCGTCCTTATTTGTTGTCCAGCTCATCATGACAAGGCCTTGGACGCCATTCGTCCATGCTCTGCTTCTGGATGGATCGACGATGGGTCGTCGACGCGCAACTAGCATGAAGCAATCCTTGCCCCTGCGACATTAAGCAGCTAGCCCAAGCCACTTTGGGGGGACAAACTGGAGCCTTGCTGGGTCGCAATTCGCGGGTCTGGGAGTAATTAGTCGTAGCTCCTTGTCGCAATACCTGTGCATACACAAGGTATATGTCGCCTTGGTCCGCAACAAAACAAGAAGAGGCTGTCTCTCCACGATGCGCAATCCCTCGTCCCATTTTCTTTTGGTTAAAAGAGCGTGAGGAGCAGTCGCCTCTTGATCACCGTTACTCAATTCGAGCAATCGCTTCGCCCTCGTGGTAGTATATGGCTCTGCTGGCGTTATAGTCGTCGCCTTGCTTTCTTTCCTTTGCTTTCAGCCTGGTGCTGTCTCTCGCAAACCCACAGCTATCACAAGTAGAATTCTCCGCAATCTTGTACATCCGTCGCCAAGGTTCGGCTTCTCGATTCCGAAAAAATCCCACAGCAATGCATTCAGCCAAGTTCTTCGTCCTTGCTATCGCTGCAGCAACCGCAGCGGCAAACAGCGTCACAACTATTCTCGACGCATCGACGGCACAGCATGTCTCCATTGGGACTGAGAGCGTGCTTTCGAGTGCGGAGGATGTCACTGTCCCCGTTGTCTCAGCTTCCGTAACACAATCATCACGGACGGATGTTGATACGGCAACGACTGAGGCCAGTTCTGCCGATGTTTCTGCTTCTACCACCGGCGTCACACGGCCTTCGAGCTTTCCAAATGCGACGAGTAAGATACCACAATTCACTCACGCTGAAGCTCATCTTGCTAACATTGATGAAGCAACATTGGCTAGCAGCGTGGTTCCTACAAAGTCACAGAACACCACGACGCCTACCAGTCACGTAACTGGCGGCGCTATTCCGCAGCAGATGCAGAGCTCCATGGCTGGGCTAATAGGGTTCTGCATCATGGGATTGATCATGTTATAGACGGGGGCAAGAAAAGCTGTTATGAATAATGACGCTGGACGATGTGTGCGCCACGTATAGAATGTGTCCCAGGTAGGACACGGGCGTTTTAACAAAACCAACAAGATACCACGGGCCAAAGAGTCCACCCTCCTTTAGCTGGACAGGAGTTTAACTGCTAATAGAATAATTGTAATCAACAATTTCACACATGGCCATGCACATCGAGCCAGGCATCAGCTCTGCTGAAAGGCTCTTGGTTTGAGTGATTGATATAGATCAGTATGCTGTGATGAGCCGTAGTTTGTATTCATGTGACTTTGGTGAATATGCGATTCACCTTTGGTATCTCAGATTATTCTGTTGGCAGCATTTGGGCGAGATGGCCTTCTTTCATAGGACCAGTCTCTATTTAAAACGCTTGGGCAGCGTCTATTATCAGCTGTCCCTCGCACGAGCCTAAATTCTTCAAGACGCCCCTAGAGTATGTTTCTCTAGGCGGGTGAATATTTACCCAAGAGAGTGCCATCCCCAGGACACGAACATTCTTGCGTCTTAGACTGGACGCTTGAGATGACTTTGGGTTGTCGTTGGAAAAACGCCGTCTGTTCCGTAAGGGTCTATAACATATTCGACATTGGCGAGATGGATCCGAGGAGCCTCTTTGGAGCAGCCGTTGAGGCGCTATGGACGCTATGCGCGCCTGAGTAGTGCACCATCTCGATGTCTTTGGCAAAAGGATCAAGTCTCTGCCTAGGGAAGCTTGGATATAGTGATGGCTTTAAGCAGCGACGGGTATCTGGCCACCGGCGTTGGCAGTAGGAGGAGGCTTGGGCAAATCGTCCTGCTGCAACGTTAGCAAGCCGCTCGTCTTCAGATATGCCTTGAACTATCCCACAAGATCGAAGATGACTCTAATCATCAAGCTACAGCTGGGGCACACGGCAATATCCTGTTCGTCACGCAGATCGTCGAGAGCGATCTGGAAGCGATCGCCACAGGGACACGGGTAGTGGTATATCTGAAGAGCCTCGTCGAAGGTCATATCTTCGATTTCGATCTCGTCGTATATTGAGAGCCCGTCGTCAGCCATCTTTGCGGTATATGCTCGAGACACAGGCCACACGTAACGAGGTATTGTTGTATGTCTATGAAGGATTGAAAGCGCAAGTTATCACAGTCACTTGCCACCCCGCGATAAAGCCGGCGGAAAACGAAAAGAAAAAAAAAGTTACAACCCCACGAGTGTGGCTAGTGCTTCCATCTCCCATGTGGCTGATGCTAGCAATCACATGCCGGGGTCTTTCCTTGGAGATTGTGGCGCCGAAGTCTGGGGAAGCCGCGCCGCATGTGCTTGCCAGGCCGAGGCCAGCGGACGCCTCCACTCTCAGGCCTTATCGTTATTTGCAGCATCTCTGCTGCTTGGTATTTTGATGTCATCATCACCAAGCATCACCACCAGCCAGCAGATGCTTTGGTGGATGAAGCAGCAATAAATTCTGACGAATACCCTCACACAGTATATACTACCAAATCAAACCAGCTGCCGCCACCTTCGTACAGCGACTTCTCCCACGCAATCGCCCTGAGCCCTCGCCCGCGATAACCGAGTCCAGCCGCGGCGATTCGAGGCCAACCAATGCGCTGTGCCATCGACGATAGGTGACAAGCTGGGCACGAGCTTTCCCTGACCAGGCATTGAAGAGAATAGAGGCAGAGGCAGAGACAGCGCTTGGAGCCATGGCCTGGCAGTCGAAACTCGCCCTGTCCAAGGACCGCACCATTCGTGGCATCATCGCCAACATCACCCGGCTGTACGTCAAACACCGAACGCGCATCTCGCGTGCCATCTGGATCTCCCTCTTTGTTGCTCTCGCAAACCGCATTCGCCATGCAATATTGGAGCAAAAGGCTGCCTCTGCGCGCGAGGCTGCTCAACGGGCCGCTCGCCAGGGCACCGTCACTGCCGGCTCCGAGGAAACACCCAGAAAGAAGGTTGCCTTAAATCGCGAGTTCTTCAGGTCATTGATGCGCCTGAGCAAGATCGTGGTACCTGGATGGCGAAGCAAGGAGGCCAGGATGTTGGCTAGCCACAGCTTCTTCTTGGTTCTGAGGACCTTGATTAGCGTTCGTGTGGCCGAGATGGATGGAGCTATTGTCAAGGCCCTGGTCAAGGGCAATGGCAAGGAATTTTTGAAGCGCATCGTCTGGTGGATGCTGATTGCCGTGCCCGCCACGTTTACAAACTCTATGGTAATAAATCATCCCTTTACTTGCTCGAACAGCAATAGTGACTCTGATCTTTGCGCAGCTTTCCTACCACCAAGCTGAGCTGTCTCTGCAATATCGTACGAGGTTAACACAGCACATCCACGACAAATACTTGTCCAAATTGACCTTTTACGGCATCTCGGCACTTGATGATCGCATAAAGAATCCAGACCAGCTCATTGCTGTCGACGTATCGAAGTTCTCCAACAGTCTGGCAGAGCTCTACAGCAACCTTGCCAAGCCAGCGCTCGACATGGTTTGTTATCCTTGTCTTTCTCATTGTCCCGACTTGTAAAAGGTGAACACCTGAGGCTAACATTTATTCTTTTTCCAGACCATTTACACCTATGCGTTATCTAAAAGCGTTGGCAGCGAAGGCGTCATTTTCATGTCCTTATTAGTTCAGCTCTCCGCAAACCTGATGCGCGTCTTGACGCCACCATTTGGCAAATACGTCGCTGATGAGGCTCGCCTGGAGGGAGAATTCCGGTTCCAGCACTCTCGCTTGATTGACTATAGCGAAGAAATCGCCCTCTATGGCGGTCATATCGCCGAGAAGGATACCTTGGATAAGGGCTACTTTACGCTCATCAAGCATGTAAACTACATCCTTCGGCGACGCTTCTACCACGGCTTCATGGAGGACTTTGTAATCAAATACTTCTGGGGCGCTTTGGGCCTGCTTCTTTGCAGTGTCCCTGTCTTTGTCAAACTTCCTGGACAGCTTGTCATGAACATGGGAGATAGGACCGAGGCCTTTGTGACAAATCGCCGAATGCTCCTCTCCGCATCCGACGCCTTTGGCAGGATTATGTTCTCTTACAGAGAGATCATGGAGCTGGCTGGATATACCTCCCGAGTTGCCACCTTACTTAATGTTATGGACGACATTCAGATGGGCCATTTTGAGAAGAAGCTCGTCTCTTCTTCCGGTACAGAAGGCAATGAGGCGGTTCTCAAGGGTCGCGGTACTGTCCACGAAAGCAAAGACTACATCAAATTTGAGGACGTGTAAGTTGGAAGCTCCCTTACCATCTTTTGAAGCCTGAAAGCTAACGGATTCAATACAGACCCATCATCTCACCCAACGGCGACGTTCTCGTCAAGGCGCTCTCTTTCTCCCTCTCACACGGTGACCATCTCCTCGTTGTTGGCCCCAATGGTTGCGGTAAATCATCTTTGTTCCGCATTCTCGGAGGTCTTTGGCCTGTCTACGGAGGCACCGTCTACAAGCCCCCCTTCACTTCCATCTTCTACCTCCCCCAACGCCCATACCTGTCCCGCGGCTCCCTTCGCCAGCAAGTCATTTATCCCGACTCCCTGCGCCAGATGCGCTCAAAGGGCGTCAACGACTCCGACCTCCTCTCGATCCTCACTACCCTTGGCCTGGAACATCTCGTCGAGCTCTATCCCGAAGGCTGGGATGCCGAGGCTGAGTGGCGCGATGTCCTTTCCGGCGGCCTTCAGCAGCGTGTTGCCATGGCGCGCCTATTTTACCACCGGCCGCAGTACGCTATCCTTGACGAGTGCACAAGCAGCGTGACACTTGAAACCGAAAAGGTCATGTATGAAAACGCCAAGTCTCTCGGCATCACGCTCTTGACAGTCAGCCACCGCCGCAGCTTGTGGAAGTACCACACGCACATTCTGCAGTTTGACGGACAGGGCAACTATGTCTTTACGAAACTCGATGCTGAGAGACGTCTGAGACTGGAGGATGAGAAGGAGGAGCTGGAGATGAAGTTGAGGCAGGTGCCTGAGATGGAAAGGAGGCTGGAAGAGCTGACTTCTCTTTGAACCCGATATTTGTGTCAACCTTGAAGGTCATGGAAGATGGGGTGTTTGCTATTTGCTATATACTATATACGTGGGATGTGTGTATGACTAGGGTCTTATCTAAGAAGCGGATTTTCGAGGTATTTTATATAATTGAAGCCGGTTTCGTTTTGAATGTGCAAACATATTATCATTATTCTATCTCTTACGAAACATTAGTCACTTTATAACTTGTCAAGTGAAAAGTTGTTTCATCCCTATCCAAAGGAACAAGATTTTATGCAAAGAGCAATAGTCAAGTATATATATGCCGTCGCTATATCCAAATTTAACATGTACTCCTACCCCCCCCAAACAACGACCACCTCCTCATCCGAATCATCATCAAACCCAACCTCCTCCTCGTCATCATCAGCATCGCCATCAGTTTCCCGCAACCCCGACTCACCTGAATCTTCCAGCTGGCTCGGATGAAACTTACAGCTCTCCTTATGAACAGTATTGTCATTCTCGAGAATCTGCTGATGGTCCGCTCCGCACTCGTAACAAAACTGGTGCTTGCATTTGACGCCTATGATAAAAAAAAACCCCGGGTCAGTAAAAAACCGCGCAATTTTCGAGTTCTATCCTGTGCAGTAGATGCTGTGACGGTCGCTCCAGGTTTGACCGCAGCCCCAGCAGAATTCGTAGCGGCACTTGATACCTATTGCACCCTTTGCTTAGTGACATTCCGGCGATCTTGTTTGTGGGGGGGGTTGATGGGGGGAGAAGGAGATAGAGGAGAGGCTTGATACAGGAGAGAGTGTGTATTATAAGTACGCACCATAGGAATTGGAGCAGAATAAATGAGTGAAAGAGAAGGAAGCAAATATGGGAAGCAAAAGGTGCAACTTACAAGTCATGTGCGAACTATGCAAATCGTTAGCAATCTCTCCTTCATACACGACAAGAATGGCAGGGTAGAATTAATCGCAACATACCATCCCTCATTCTTTTCAATTGCCCATCCGCATCCTGGGCAAGGCTTTGTTGTTCTCCCAACAGTTTCCCTGCTCATGTCTTCTTCAGCCTTCCTTCTCGCGGCGATTTGTCTTGCCAGTTCGATGGCTTTCCTTGTCCTCTCTCTCTCCTCACGCTCTCTCATTTCTCTCATTTCTCTGACCCTCCTCTCCTCGTCCAACAGGCCCTGTGCCATGGCTCTGTCAGCCTCAAGTTGTGCCTTTTGCGAAGCTGCCCACGCTTCGTTATCAATTTCAAGCTTAGAACGAAAGTTATCGGGGTCAGCAAGTAGCTGATCATACTCGTCGCACGTTAATCCCTGGTGCCATGCGACGTTGTGATGAAAACAGGATCGATGGGTGCAGTGAAGGCAAATAACTATAGGCTGCTCTTGGCCAGATTCATGTATCTGACCAGAGCCGCAGCCGGAGGTGCACCAAAAGAAGTTTTCAGCTTCAGCCATAGCAGCTCGAAGAGCAAGCGTCTCGTATCTAGTCACATGCGTCAGGTTATATGTCCGTGATTATGAAAAGGGGGAGTAAAAAGACGCTGGAATGTGCACCTTTTGAATGTCTCCCCATCAGCGTAGCGCTGGATATCTGTGTAATCTAATAATTCACGGCATTCAGGACATCTAATATCCGTCCAGATCTTGCTTGTCAGGTCAGAACGGATAGACCTCTCTAAGCACTCGAGGCATGCCGTGGGGGCATGTGTGCAAGACGCTGTTGGAGAAAATCGGGGAAAGAGAATGTCTTCCTTGGTATCAGTACATATTGCGCAATCGCGATCACCGCTGTCATGATCCGACGGTATACGTTGATGCGTAACCAGGACAGTAGATGTTCCTGGGTCTTGTTGATATCGTTGTCCGAAGCTAATCAAGACGAAAATTAAGTAAGATATCCCAGCAAAATAGATCCATGAATATTAAACCACGCCAATTTAAGCGAAATGTATGTATGTATGTATGAATGAAAACGACATGCAAGAACCAAAGCCAGAAAAGAAACCACGAATAGAACATGACGACCATAATCGTAAGATGAATCATCCACTATTCCATTCATCTGAGGTGGAAAAGGAACCAGGCATGCGGGGAGTCGAAAGAGGCAGAATTTCGGGGAACCTACCTGAAATCATCAGCTTGATCATCTCCACGTCTACCAGACAGGTCTAGACGGCGCTGATATGCTACCGTCATGGCAGAGTCCTGCTGCTCAAGGAGATCGACGTACGGATTGCTTGTGGCAGGCGTAGAAGAGCCGTTGGAAACAGTGGCCTCGTCTTGGCTACTATTCCGATGTTGAGATTCGTGTCCGTCGCTCAAAAGCTCCACCGAATCAAGGTTAGGCGACGGTGGATTCAGAACGGGATCCTCATCCACGTTCACAGAAACTGGGACCTTCTCTTCTTCTGGGGTTGCAAACTCGTCATCGTCAAATAAGGCAAGATTAATGCGATATCTGAATCCGGTGTCTGGGTTAGCCACTGAAGCTGGTTCGGGCACAGTTGACACTGGAGGAGGCTGATTCGTTGTTGGAGGTAAAGCGACAGCTGGCTCGTCTTCATCATCTTCCTCAAGCTCCTCCTCTTCTGATTCCTCCCTTTCTATCTCATCCTCCGCCTCCTCATCCTCTTCTTCTTCCTCCACCCCTTCCTCCTCCCCTCTCTTAACCGCTGTTGTTGCGTTTTCAGTTTCTTCTTCAGTCTCTTCGTCATCTACCAGCCATATCGAATCGTCATCGTCATCCCCAAAACCACTCATAATAGCAGGGTTCACCATGCCATAGTGCGAATTGGCGGAATGGACAAACATGTTGCTCCGCATTGCTGATGTTTCCACAAACGGCACGAATTTGGTTGTATAAGCGCCTAGTTCAGGCTCTTCCGCCACATCAACCTCCTCCGCGGGCTCCTCAGGGGGAACTTCTTCAAGCGCAGTAGTCTGAACAGCGCTCGTATCGTCTTGTTTGAACCGAAGCTGCAGAGCTTCTTCAGCGGGTATCAGTTCCTCTCCCGGCTCGGATGTATTAGTCGCGGTGTGGTCCTCCGTGGACGATGACGGCGGGTATGAGTCGCTTTGAAAGGGCCAGTCAACGTCGACGGGGGTCACTTGGTCGATGGACTTGTTGTTCTTTCGTCTGCGGAAAGCAGCCTCAGTCCTTTTCTTGATGGACCGTAACATGCTTGTCGCGAAAGGTGTGAGTGTGATTGCGGCCACCCCCTGGTCCAGCTTCTACTTATACAGCGGACATATGCAGGGGAGGGGTGATAGGCGCGATGCAATTATGTGTGTGACTAGACCAGCGATAATGTAGAGTCGATTTGAAGCGAGAAGTTGTTGAAGTTGCAATGCAGTGAAAATGGAAGATAGTTGAAGAAGCTTAATCTACGTTGAAGAGAGAAAAAAGGAAAGAAAGAAAAAGGATAAGAGCAAATGACGGTTGCAGGAGTCACCTTGTAGCTGTAGGGAAACAAAGCTGAGGCCGGGAGACGCCTCGCGATGGATAGCGGAGGCAGACGAGCCCCAGCGCTTCGGTCTAGCGGTTGTCATAGCGCTTCAACAGGCTGCCAGCAGGAACATTCAGCCTACAACACGCTGTAAGTGCGCTAGCGGCTAGTGGCTAGTGCCTTTTGATAAGCTTTCGGAGTGAGGTCATGTCAAGTACAAGTACTTGGCCGAAGACGAGGAGTGCGCCTTACAGGGATCGAGGCGTGTGCATACAAGCACTTCTCACCCCCCCAGGAGAAAGAGGAGAGGAGGAGAGGAGGAGAGGAGGAGAGGAGGAGAGGAGGAGAGGAGGAGAAGAGGAGAGGCAGGCCTTCCGACCATCGGTAGAGACATCGCAGGGCCGTCGGCAATCATATGATTTGTGCGAGGGGAAAAGCTAACGCCATTCAACGTGGCATTGCTTGTACGATCCAGCCGCAAGCACGATGACTCCATGGTGAAACGAGGGCGAGTGGGAGAGGAACAAAGAACAATCTATCCAGACCAGATCACATACGTGGCTCTGCTATTATCCTATCAAAAAAAATGCCGGATGCAAGACATAACCTAGCAGCAGAGCCAAAAATAAAAGAGAGAGTCCGAAAGCCGTGTAAACGCCCACTCACATGCTCCCCCATACATGATGCGTGGTTTCACATCATGCATGTGCCTCGAGTTGCTCCAATCCCACGAAACCGAACCACAAATCCCTGTTATTCTCACATACGATATCCATTAATCCATACTACCTACTCGCTTGTACCGCTACTCCCCAGTAGGTAGTACTCGTAGTTGCTAGATAGTCAGCCCAGCCACCCTTCTGTTTTCTTCCGTGACTTTGGGAAGCATAGGAGAGCGACAAGCGACGAGTCGCCTTCCTCTACAAATTTGTCTTTCTTCTCCTCAGGGCCCCAGGCCACCAGCATCTGTTGCTTGCGCACAATCGACGGGGCCTTGATGGTATCGCGTTGTCCGATCTGGCGGATATACAGGGCGGGGACAACGGTGCACACGTTGAACAAATTCAGATAGAGGTCCTTCTTTGTAGGTCGAGGGTCGAGCTTGGCCATGTTAAAGGCCTTCCTGTTTTGTAGAATGTTTCTGCAGTCGAGCTTCTCGACGTTTTCGACAAACTCTGGCGACAGAGAGAACCGGGAGCCACTCCACGCGATGTACGGCTGGATGTCGAGATAGAAGTGGTGCGTAGATACCTGTATCTTTTCGTAAAGTGCCATGGCGGGCTTGACGCAGTTCTCCTCCATGTTCTGACAAAACCACTGGAACTTGTCCTTTTTGCAAAAGATGCGAAGGATGTCTGCAAGATCCAGCGTCAGGTCTCTGCTACGCCTCGAGCGCACCGTCTTGAACTGCGGCGCACTCATCAAGGCACTGTAGCTCTCGGCAGTCCATGTGCGAACGGCAAACAAGTCTGTTCCAAAGCCATCATGGTTAGTTTTGATATTTCTTCACGCTCATGGGGGTTTACAAGCATCTCACCTCTTTTGGGCTCGACCGAAGTCTGCATCTGCGTCTCAATAAAGCTCACCATCTCAGTGTAGTTCTGTGCAGACCCGTAAAGGACCTTTTGGAAGATGTGATCATTAAGAAATCGCATAATGATGGCGGCAATGATGTCCTCGTCCGTCTCGGGGAAAAAGCAGGCGTGAACCAGATCTGGATGCTTGTGTAAAGCCTTCTTAAACTTGACCACTTCTCCAGACTGCTTTCGAGCACTGGTGGAAAGAGCCTCGATCCCAGCCTCATAATCATCCAACCAGGGCTCCATGAATTTCTGAACCCAATCCTGGACTTGCTCAATGAGGTCATCGTATTGCTATAGATGGTAAGCAGCTGTTGAAGTTGAGTTGGGGGGGAAGAGGCTGATAGATCTTGTTCTATCAATCAATCACTTACCCGTCCTACTTCCTCTGGTGTAAGATCTTTACGGTACGGCTGGAGACTGAAGATGTGCGATTGCGCATCGTTCAACTCATCTCGCAAGAGCTGATTCTCCTCCTTGAGCCTAGTCAGTTCTTGGCCAAGAGAATCTGCATCCTTGACAATCTCCTCCATGTCAGAGTTGAGCAAATGTTTCAAATCTTGTATCTGCTGCATCGCCCTGCTAGCCTCTCTTTCGGCGCTCTCCTTCTCGGCCGTGAGTCTGGCGATGGTATCTTGGAGTTGCCTGAGCTGAATCTGGTCTCGAAGCTCGTCGCGCTGTCCGCTAGAGAGGCGTCGCCGAGGTGTAAAGCTCTCGCTCTCCATGCTATCAAAGCTCTCTGCTGATGCATATAGCGAGCCGGGGATATTAGTCAAGTCAAAGCCGTCGTCAGAGTTGGCGTCGTCGAGAAAAGGAACCGGCACGCTCAGGTTGTACTTCCTCGCGGGGACAAGCTCTGGGTCGATAGGCTCGGTGACTTCGTCTGTGGAAAAGTCAAGCAGGTCTACTTCAACAGCTACGCCGTCTTGCTGTTCCTGGTCATTCCGGGCTTTGTCGTCATTCTTTTCCGTCTCCTTCTTGCTGTCCTTGCTCTTCTCTTCAGTCTCATCCTTGTCGCCAGACTTGGTCGATTTTCTCTCCTTGCGGAGGACCGCATGGCCATTAGATCGGCTTCGCATGTCGTCGAGAGGGATTGTTCCTTGTCCTTTGTCGGGGGACATGGTGGCCTGTGCGGTGCAAAGAGGTGCAATGCGCGCTACCTAGGGATACATCAAAGATGGGACGAAATCGACAGCGTTTAATTCTGGCCAGAGACAGCGCAGAACAGAGAGACGGCTTTCAGACACAAACAAGCAAGGAAATATTTCTAGAGCTCGAGATGCAACGCCAGATCATCCCTCTGGCAGCCCGTGATGGTGGCGCTTGCAGCTCAATATCCACTGATTCAACGGCACGCTTCACAGCCCGGGGCTGAAGCAAGGCAGTCCGTCCGTCTTTTCCCCATAGCGCCTGTCACAAGTATGCCTGGTACAGCGCTCGTACATACCTGCTTGCCAGCTACAGGCATCCAAACGACAATTCATTATCGCTCAACTTGCACGCCCCCTCCTTCATGGCCTTTGATACCAGGATGCAGGGCGAGAAGTGACTAGTGGAATTCAGCCTCACAGTAGCTTGCCGTGGGAGAGAGGGGATGGGGCTTGTCCGCGGCCCGTTTCGGACGCGGGAGGCCGATATTGTCCCTCAGATGCATTGTACAGGTACTAGAGTACAGGCGCTGTTGCTCTGTGTACCTGTGACCAGTCCGTAGAAGTTCGGTTTTCAAGTGAACCGGGCCGTTTTAAACCATCATGTTGGCATACGATAACTTGGTTAAGATTTGGCGAGTAAGAAAAGGCTAATTAGAGTGCGCAACAGAACTCAATCAAGGTGTTTACCTACTTTACATGTGAGTGGTTGCTAACAACGCCATGGCGTACATGTACCTTGGCGTGAGTGTGGCTGATACAGTGCGCAAAAGCCTCACATACACACCGTACAGGTATCATGGGTAGATGGCTAAACCCGCCCTCGAGCTTCGATAGATTGTACATTTCCAAAGACATCAGCCTCGGCCATTTATCACGCCGTATCGAATCAGCCCCATTACAGCTCCCAGAAGGATGGCTGCCGGTGCTGAAACTCCATAATATCTGCCTCCAACATACGCCGTGGCTGTAACCACAACCCACCATGGATCGTCACCCAGGCTTCGCCCAGACTGAAAACCTTCGTCAAGATACCCAACCTGCCAAATTCGATAGACGGCCGTGTAAATCAGTCCAACAGCACCAGCATTCACACCCCTCAAACCGGACTTGACCCATCGTCTATTCCGCAGCGAGCCCCAGACGCCCATTGTGCCGTGAACGAGGGCGATGCCCGGCAAAAACATGCCCACAAAAGCAAGAATCGCTCCAGCAACGGACGAGTTGCCACTGTTTGAGGCAGCCAGAGCTCCCAAGAACACAGCAAAGTTGAAGTTGGGGCCCGGGAACGCCTGAGCAATTGCAAGCCCGATCAGAAAGTCTCGCGGACTGACCCACCCTTCGGCGACGACGTATTCTCGGAGCAACGGGATGACGACGGGTCCACCGCCGAAGATGATTGTACCTGCGAGGTACAGGTTGGCAAACAGGCGGAAGAGGAGAGGAGGTTCGGGTAAAACGCTCCGCAAGACCATGGCGGCAATGAAGGTAGCAAAAAAGGCTGCTATAATGGCCGTTCCGACTTTCCAAGAAAAGTTCAAACGATATTCCTGCGGGATGATCCTAGGCTCGGATTCGGCTCCAGAGAGCCTTTGTTCGCTCGGTCGGTCCTCGTCTTGAACATGACCCGAGACGGCGGCCCCCGATGAAGGGCCGGCTGAAGAAGAGTGGCGCAGAGCTTGCACAGGCTCTTTACCTTTGAAGGTATCAAGCTCTATGTCTGTTCCTGAATTCACAGTCCCTTCTTCGACAGCGGTTGTATCTTTCTTCCTCCTGCTTAACAAGGCTACCGTCGCCTTGATAGGTTTATGCAGCCAGCGGTAGTCATGGACAACTGCGGCAACACCGCTGAGAAACATGAGCAAGGGGAAGTACCAAAGAGCGTTATAAAGCATGCCAGCAGCACCACTCAGAAACACCAAAGTCCTGGTGAGGTTGTCCGTGACGGTACTCTTTGAAAGTTGTACAGCTGCGAGGGCAATGATACCAACAGTAGCCGCATTGAGTCCCGATAAGAGGGCATAAACGGCACGGGGAAGAGCCGATCCAATGTTGGAAACACCGATAGCAAGGCCAAACATGCCCAGCGCTCCGGGGAGACTACCGAGGTGAGTTTCAAGGCTTACCGCTAATTGCTCTTATACGACCTTACCTCCATATGAGAAAGCCAAATACGGCGCCGAAGAATCCATCGTGAATCAAGTTGATGCAGTATAGCATCTTGGTGCTTCCCGGCCCGCATAGTGCCTGAGCGATGCCAAAGAGTTCCTGATACTAGAATTGGACAGTTGGATGAGCATGGAAACTCCCAGGGGAATAGAATAAACGAACCAATTGCTCATCTATCCACTTCAACTTGGTAACAAACTTGTCATGCCACTGTATACACGTTAGAATGGCTCACTTCCATTCTCTTTTGCCTGGGTGTTCCTAACAATCTTGAAGTGAACCGGCGGCCCGCCAAATGCGGTGAAACCGAGATGCCATTCGGCCGCCAGGAGCTCGACAGCTCGCTGGCCGTACCGGCTAAGGGTATATTCCCAGCTTGACACGCCCATCGGAGAGGAGAGGGGAGGGATTGTGTTGATTCAGAGTTTCGCCATACTTTTTTATTTTCTGTTTCTTAAAACTCTTTTTGCAGTAGATCTGCCCCGTACTAGATACGTGTGCTAATTTCCAAGAAGCTCTAGCGCTCGCACAGTGACATTCCCATATTGGCCGCTTGAGTCACAGTTGACATGTCCCTGGCCACCACGTGCTCGTCGATTGGTATTGCGGAATTTTTCCAAAGTTTGTCCACTGATACCCAATTATATAAGCAATAATTGGCCAACCTTGGTTATATACACTTCCGCCGACCAACTCATCAGAACTCTACCAAGAACAATAGAACGAGTTTCGGTTCTTTTAACACCAGTGGCCGCCGAGATACCGCCGCATCGTCAGATCTATCATTAATACTATGAAACTTCAAAGCTTCGGAAGCTTTCCGAATGAACAACTTACAGACTGTTGTCAGCACATGCCTGTCAATAACACGATGAACTTGAAGGTTATAATGAATCCTGCCTGCTAGCAAGGTTGTGTCTCGACGTGCACTGTACCAGCCACATTGCGCCACCAGACCTTATCAAGATGCCGTCAATCTCCGAGATGCACCACCATGTACTCGAATGTTACATCCTCTGCACGTTTGATGTGTCTCAGCGGCAAAAGACGGTCTGCTGGCAGCCAGACAATATTATGCAGTATCCAATTCCACCATGTAGTCTATTCAGTCCACTTTGCAGCCCCCATCCATACAACACTCAGCGGTGTCCAAAAGCGGTTGCTGCGTCCATGGATTGGTCTCAAAACAGCCAATATTGACGTGTTTCGATACGACAAGTGCCGCAGCGCTCAAGCTCCAGTTAGAGCTCGCCCCAAGTCCACTAAATCCCTCCATGCCACCCGTTGCAGGCGCTACTCTGGAGGCCCTGCAGCGCTCGTCCAGTGAACGGCCACGCTGGGCGGCGCCATCCGACCACTAACAACCACTGTAACCCCCCGCTCTTCTAGAAGCACCCCCCATCTCCCTTGGTCCATCACGTCTTCCCCTCACCACCAACTCTGTGCTTCGCGACAAGGACAAGGCAGACTTCCGCCTCACTTTCTGCTCCGCCATGCCATCGTCCGTATTGGTACATGTCCTGACGCCATGCAGACTCCAAGTACCGCTACCGACCGGCTACAATGACGAGACCTGCCAGGCATCAGCCCCACCCAGCTGAATGCTGTCTGGAGGCTCAAGGCAACACGCGCTCGGGCTTCTGTGGGCGTTTGGGCATGGGCTGCCGTTTGCTGTCTATCAACGCGCATCATATATTGCTGAGGTGAAGCAGCGCTTAACACATTGACATCCATACAACTATCGCCTCTCTGTGCCTATCCGCGGCTGCGACAGGTGGTCAGCTGCACCTCTTAAACAAAGCTCCAGGGAACTTGTTCCTTTCCACCAGCTTCACTTATACGCTGCATTCTTTGTTCCTTTTGTGCTCCGATAACGTCTTGGCCCTCTGCCCTCTTCCCTCTGCCTTCTGTCATTTGTCTTTGGCAAACGCCGTGGCTCTCCAATCACTTGCTAGCTCGGCCTGACAGGCACAAATAGATATAGAGAACCAACAGGCCGCCAGCCCATCCTTTGAACTCTCCCTTCATTTACATCCTCTTGTGAATCTTTTCCCTCCTTCTCCGCCCACTCCCCCATTCCCTGTCTGGCACACTCAGCATGGATTTCGATAAGCTTTCCATCACTGATCGCAAGATCATCGTGGGCATCGACTTTGGCACCACGTACTCTGGTGTCGCGTGGGCAGAGACTCAGCGGCCGGACAGACGGACGGCAATCACCACTTGGCCCATCAATAGGACGACCCGTGAGGGTGAGTCTTCGGACAAGGTGCCTACCAAGCTTCGCTATGCCAAGGACGAAGTTCAGTGGGGGTTCTCCATCCCCATTACCGCCCCTCAAGAAGAAGTGATTGAGTGGTTCAAGCTGTAAGTCGTCGCCATTTCTCATATACGCTAGCGGGTGCCTTGAGCTGACATCTTGTCAACAGCGACCTGGATCCATCTCTGAAGAACATTGGCCAGGCCGTTGCTAGTGATGGTGCTCGCGGAGGCAGAGATGCTGATAAGCTTGTCACTGATTATCTGACTGCTCTTACCGACCATCTCCTCTATACTCTGCGCGAGAAGCTTGGTGAGAGCGTCGTCAAAAGCACCCCGCTGGAATTCATCATCACCGTGCCAGCCATTTGGAGCGACCTCGCCAAGGACAAGACCAAAAAGGCCTGTCAAAAGGCCGTTCAGTCCCTGCCCTTGGCACCTGGCTCGTCCAAAACCCTCATCCATCTCGTCTCTGAACCCGAAGCTGCAGCCATATATGCCCTGCATGGATTGGATCCCCACGGCCTCAAGATTGGCGACACCGTTGTCGTCGTCGATGCAGGCGGTGGCACTGTCGATCTCATTTCCTACACCATTACTGGGCTGAAGCCCATTCTCCAGGTCCAAGAGGCCGCTCCTGGCTCTGGCGCTCTCTGTGGCTCGACCTTCCTCAATATGCGCTTTGCCAAGTTTCTCAAGGCAAAGCTAGGCAAGGAAGAAGGCTTTGACGAGGAGGTTCTCGCTGAGGCTATGGAGGTTTTTGAAAAGAAAGTCAAGCGTCAGTTTACTCTTGCCGCTCAGCCGGATGAGACATACACAATCCCCGTCGGCGGCCTGTCCAACAACAAGGCTCTTGGAATCACTCGTGGACGATATGCTCTCAAAGCCTCCGACTTGAACACTATATTCGAACCCGTGGTTCTAGAAGTTATCAAGCTCGTCAAGGACCAGATCACCGTTAGTAACGTGCCTATCCGTGCCGTGCTCCTGGTCGGCGGCTTTGGTGCCTCCAACTATCTCAAGGAGCGCCTCAGAAATGCTGTCGACAAGTCTATCCAGATCATGCAGCCCCCGAATGCCTGGCAAGCCGTCGTGCAGGGTGCCGTCATGAAGGGACTTGCCAACAGCGCACCAGATACTCTCACCATGGTCAAAGTGCAAAACCGCAAGGCGAGAAAGCACTACGGCACAGAGTGGCGGACCAAGTTCGATGAACGGGTTCACGGCCATATTTCAGATAAGAAGAGCTGGAGCGGTATGGAGGGCTATTATAAGGTAAACGCCATGGAATGGTTCATTCGCAAGGTATGTATTCACCAATCCTTCCTTCAACACGCAAGCTAACGTAGACGGATAAGGGCGATGCCGTCTCTGAGAATGAACCTTACATCACGTCCTTCGTCTGGACGGGCCTTGTGGCACATGGTCGTATTCGTAAGATGCGTATGACGATCTACTGCGACCAATCGTCCGAAGAGGCCCCCATTGACAGGAACGCAAATGTGCAAGTCCTGGCCCACGTTGAGGCCGACGTGAGCCATATCCCCGAGCATCTGCTCAACCGTCGCCAGGGCAAAGACGGACAGATGTACTATGAGCTCAGTTGCAAGATTGAGGCTGTCTATCTCTCCGCCTCGACTACATACACGCTCTTGTACAACAGTATGTGATTTTCCGTTTCCCGCTTCGTTTACAGAGCTAGCTAACCATGAAATGTAGATCAGCGGTATGATACGGTTACTTGCGAATACGTCTAAGTGACCTTGATGGAGCAGTCTTTCTCCTTTTTTTTTTCTCTCTCACATGGTATTTATTTGGAGTATGGTCAACTCGGGATATTAGCGAAACAATCTGTACATAGAATTACCCTAGGGCAGGATGAGGTCACGGTCAACAAACCACTCTAGCAGATATCAAATTGAATCTGATACAAAGGATGGAATTATATTTAATACACGCGAAGTGTCTACACTTTTTCGCGGAAAACGTTTATATGCCCCCTTCTCACCAGATACAAACACGTAACAGAGAAAAGGCGAGCGAGTTTATCGACAGCAACATACAGGCAGATATCATCAGAGTAAAAACAAGAAGAAGAAAAAAGGAAAAAAGGAAACTAGTAACACACAAAGGACATATAGAAACAAGCAAAGCCACTTCATCAATGCAGCCTAGCTCTCGCAATAAACAACAGTGCCGAGATATATGAGGCAGGAAAAAAAAACAGACAGCAAAATTAAAAAAGAAAAAAAGAATTTTCGAGGAAAGGAAAGCGGCGGCCTATGCGCAGTGTGGCCAAAGTGGTATCCAGAACAACCCGGCCATAAAAGAAAAAAAAAAGAGGAGGTATAAAGGAAATAAACGGATAGAAAGGCGAGAGAATCAAAGAGATGTATACAGTGAGAGTGCGGCAGAATCCAGAAGCCTCCTTTTTGTGAATATTATAAAAAAGGAAAATGTGGCCAGCAAAGAGAGGTATCGACGTATCCCGAGCCGATTATTATCTTCCCTCCCGGGATGGTATAGACAGTTGCGAAAAAGAGAGAGAGATCCTGCACGCCCCATGTATGTATTCCGTCACGGTTGCCGCCCGCCTCTGTGTATGTTTATTCGTGTTTGTATGTTGTTGTGTTTATTTGCTTGTCTTCTTAATGAAAACCGAGGCATTGAAAGGGTGGTCGCTTGGACGCTTCCCCTCAGCATTCATGAAGCTACTCGCCTCTGCACTTCATGTAGCTCTGCCGTTGCCGTCGTGTTGTTGGCGGTAATATGTGTATGTGTGTACGTGGGTGGGTATATGCGTAATTTGTGTGATATATATCCAGAGCAGAAGAGCAGTGGTTTATTGTTCCTCATCGAGGCTTCCCATTGCGCCTCCAGCCTTGTTATGCTTCATGCCAAGTTTAAGCAGGCTGAACCTCTTCCTCACGCTCTGTTTCTTCTTGGTTTCAGGCTCATCCATAGATGGTCGGTCTTTGGTTAGCATATCCAGGCTCACCCTGCCGACTGAGCCACCTCGCTTCTCTCTACCAGTGTCTTGGTGGGCATTATCAATGCTCTGAGTTTGGGACAGGTTGTGGGGAGCATTGTCCTTGCTGAGGCCGCGCACATGTGCCTTCGTATCGCCTGCGTTGCCGTTGGCTTGATCGGTGGTCTCGCTGCCATCTAATTCCTTCTTTCGGCCTCCCAAGAAACTCAACCGCGCGCCACGTTGCCGGGGAGTGATTTGCCGAATTACCGTTGCTTCCTCAGCTTTCACCCCGTTCACCGGAACAGCTATGCTTGTCCACTGCGGGCCCTTATCGCCGCCTGGTGTTGATCCTCTCCATGTAGGGGACGGCGTTGAAACAGGTTGCAGCACTGGCTGCCGGGGTGCGAATAAAACAATTTCCGGTGCAAAGGTTGCCTCAAAATCTAACTTGGTGTCAGCTGCCTGTCTTTCATCACATAATTCACTAAAGGGTGTTACTTACAGCCTTGAAGCTCCGAATATCTCCGGGAAATGGCTTCGTTCTTGTTCCGTGAAAAGAGTGTCAAGCATCTCTTGAGCATCATGGCATGATCCACCAGAGTCATTTTGATTGCAGTTTCTTGGGGATCAAGTTCGACCTCGTCATCTCCTTCCTCATCATCATCCCCATCTGTGTCCTCTTCGCTACTTGTTCGTTCGGGGAGCAGTTTGCGGTACTGGACAACGCTATTCTCAGAAACTGGACTGACAGAAACGTTGACAGCTTCAATTAGCTGCTGAGCAACCAAGTCATCGCCGTCAGCTAATCGGCGTTCCAGTGTGGTCATCTCCTGTGTCTTTCTAGAAATGCGTTCCAAGGCGGTTTCCTGGGCAGTAAGCCTAACTTCGCGAGTTTCGATGATCTCACTCCGGCGCAGGAGGGTGGGGAAAGGCTCAGCAGCCGTGAAAACCAATTTCTCTGCGTAATGCTCTTGCACTGGTCCAGAAGTGTTCCTCTTGGTTGTCACGGAGAAGACTTGAGGATGGGAAGATAGTAAAAAGTCCCGGACTATATGCGGTACCCGAACTCTTTGGTAAACTTGATGGGAGAGGTCTCGGTGTGGCGTAAGAGCCGAAACAACCAAAAACTGGCCTTCCATCTCATCAACGTCACCGCCGGTGATAATCTGGGCCGATGGATATTGCTCTTGCATGCGGTCTGTGAAGGCCGAGGCACGTTCAGATGGCGATCCCTCATATACAAACTCCTTGTCCCGCACAGAAGTAGGGAATCCAAGACCCTTGAAGACCACTCTGTAGTATTTTGGTGTAATTTTTTCGCTCTTCGAGATGCTCTCGTATATCGTTGCGATCGCCCGTCCAGTTCTGGCTAGCTTGGCAAAATCGTACACGTTGGTTTCATACTGAACCTGGAGCTCCTTATACGCAGTCAGAGCGTTGCTCCAAGATTCTCCATCCTCGAAATGCTTGATCATCTCGAAATAGATTCTCTCTTTGCGCTCAAATGGAGACTGCGCTGGAAACTGCGGTTCAGCCAGTGCTGGAACATGTCCAATCGGGTCCCATTCATAGAGATCCGCATGAAGGCGAAGCGCTAGACCAGCCTCTGTGTGATTCCTAGACTCGGCCTGCAACTTCGCCAGCTGGTGGACATAACGAATGAAAATGTCCTCCTTCTGCATGTCACGCAGGAACTCCATGAGTCGAAGTCGGTTAATAATGTTAGAGGCTTCACCGCTACCATCACCACCACTGTGCACGGCCACTAGCAAATCGAGGAACTCATCCAAGGTACCAACAAGCTCACGCACAGCCGCGTAGAGAGGCTCTTCTGCAACCTCTGAGAGAGGCTGGAACCGTTCAAGCAGTTCTGCGATAAACAGTTTCTGGAGGATGCTCTCTGTGAGCGGGTTCGATTTGAAGTAAGTGTCCAATGAGTCAATGAGTTCTGTCTGAATCACAGATAGGTCCTCACTCAAGGTCCACTCGCTCACAATCATGGTCTGTAGAACTTCAACCGCCATCCTACGGAGGCCTTCGTGGACACTCAAACAGAGCTCTACGATAGGGCCAACCAGAGTTGGGACGTATTGTACTTGGTATCCACCAATATTGCTGAGTCCGTACTTTTCACGCTCCTCAGATGTAGTTTCCCAGCCGATAGCCTCCCACATCCTTCGTAAAAGATCAGCTCCGTGCTCCCGTACATCACCAGCAATCTTCCACACTGCTCTTCTCTTCTGCTCGGGGAATGTCTCCAGAGCAAGTGAGGAGCTTCCCACAAGCTTCAATAGTGTTGTGAAGAACAGCTTCCAAAGCTCGGTATTGAACGATTCTGCTTCATCAGGATCGGGTAGACAAGATTCTAGAAGAATACTAGCCAGGTACTGCAAGATCCGCATCGTCGACTTGTGGTGATAGATGAGCACACTTAGCCATCCATTCGGGAATGCTTCGCCAGTCAAAATACTCATTTGTACTTTGAGCAGATTCTCCAAAAGGGTTGTCAAGTCATCCTCAGAAGCTAGTTCCAGTTGCATGCCCGAAGGTGAGTTCGCTAGGGCAGACAGCACCGCAGACAATTCAGCTAGAGATTCATCAAAGGATATCTCTTCAGCTATGGGCTTTGTAGGGAAGGGATATGATGAAGGAAACAAAAGCGAGAGCTTGTTTCTAGGTTTCTGCGGGGAAGCGAGAATCGCTAGGTACGAATCGACAATGTTGGGGATATGATCAGGGATTTCTGGGCCCAGATGTTCGATCTGACTAGCGAGGATAGAACAACACAATCGAATTTGCTCTCGCCACTGATCATTGACCTCTTCAGTATGACCCCAGTGAGGAGAGATCCATCGCACAGTGTTGGCACTAAGCGCAGACTTCTGCTCCGGATGAGCAAATATATCTAGCTTAGAATAGTTGATAATAAGGCACAGCTTGTAAATGATAAGCTTGCCCTTGACCTCTTTGCACGAATCCATGAAATCAATGGCAATGTGCAGAATCTCTTCCGTCGTCAAGAGACCTGTCAGCTCTGGCAGCCAAGTGTGGAAGTGCTGCACCGCCAGCGTTTGACTACCAACAAGTGCTGGTGCCGAGTTTCGCATCATTGCGTCAAGTGCTTTGAAAATGCTTCGGAGGCTCCTAGTAAACCCCTGGGTAGAGGATTTGATTCCTATCCCCGCTTCCTTTACTTTTTGTTGACCTCGGGATTGCGTGATGAATTTCAGAATGTGTCTGACGACTTTAAAAGTCGCGCGCAGCTTGCGAGCTGTCTCGGGCTCCGTGGGACGTTTGAGAAGCCGGGTGAAAGACCGTATCAGACAAGGGGTAGCAAAGGGATAGTTGAACTGGGTTTCCGCATAATGGTCAACCAAGGGACTCAGGTTGAATCGTCGATCGTGTACGATTCCAAGTACCCTAACCATGGCCGTAAACACTAAGTCTTCATACTCGTCATTCCCAGAGTGCTCCACAAGGATTCCAAAGAGCCCATCTAGCACATCGCTGAGGAGTTTCACGACCTCAATCTCCGAGACAAAGATAATCTGTCTCAGAATAGCGGGGATTTCGTCCTTGGGCAAATCTTTCCATTTCAAAAGCCCAAGGATAACTCTGTCCTGAGAAAACTTTGTGCTGCAAAGGTAGGTATCAACCAGCATCACAGCAAGCGGCCCAGTGACCTCAACTGACCCATCTTTGCCTCGCGGTGCCCAAGGAACGGAAAGATATCCACCTTTACCCGAGGGGCCTGCCTGCGCAGTGGAGGTGAACTCGTCTATTTTATAGAGCAAAAGTCCATGGGGCCCGTCACGAATGAAGGCTTGGCCCTCCCATAGGGGCATATGCGCAACGGCAAATGGTGGGTTTGGCATATCCGACAAGAACATGACCACGTGGGCATTCATTACGTCGCTTGGCTGCAGCGACAAGCGGAGCGTCTGATTCCAAGCCTCGCCTCTTTCCACAGCACAAGACTTAAACGTGGTCAGCGCCTCGGTATTGGAAGATGTAAAGATGCATCTCTCAAATCGTTCACCAGAGGACTGGCGAATCTCTAGAGTAAGCTGCAAGTTCGATCCGTTGACTGTGCTGGGCAGATTTATTGCACTGCCTGCATATCTCGAAATGAGATGTTGCTTTGCCAGGGCGGCAATGTTGAGCGTGAGATATATGTCTGATCTTGACTTGGTTGGTGCGGCAGCAAAGCCGATTCTGCTCGTCTTTGAGACACCAGACAAGATGGTGGGTGTGGCCTTGATCAGCCCATCCGCGTCCGGATGATGGAATTTCCTAAGAGAAACCTGTAGCCGCTCGCCGCTCCTTGACTTTTCATATTGGCCGGAAGTACTGGTGATCAGCTCCCGAATCAAGGGATCAAACTCTTCGGCAGCTTCCCTATCGGTCTGGGAGTAGCCGAGCGACGGCGACCAGATGTTGACGACCTGCTCAACCTCTTCTGTTTGCTTCATGATGGAATTGAGCTTCAGAACTCCAACGCCAACGGTACGCTCAACAATCTGTCCTGATTCATGAAGACTCGCTGCCGAAGTACTTTTGGATCCGGCAGTACTTGGCGGATGGCTGCTCCCGTCTTGGCTGTCCAGACGAGTCGTAGAAGGTCTCCCCTCCTGCTGCTCGGATACGGAATCCATTTTGTTCATTGCGTTTCCTCGGGAAAAGGCCGTTCGCCCGCTTTTACTCCCCCACATCATGCTTCTCCTAGAAGCCTTTCCTGAGCTTGCTGGCGGCGTTTTTACGTTTTCTCTCGTAAAACTGCTGTCGGTACCAGATCGAGATAAAGGTTGGGGAATAAAGATGTGCTGTGATGCCAACACCTTCACAACAAGGTACAGCTCGGAGTCAGCGGACGGGGCATCGCCAATGTCATGAGCGGAGAGATCCATGAACAGCGTTTTGGTGCTTGCGCTTTGTGCAAGACCGCTGATTGAGCCGCCAGCGGGGATCTCAATGCTGAAACACTCGGAGAGGTTGGATCCCTTTGCATATTGCGGTTTGCTGACAAGGTAGGCCACAATCGTTGTCTCCTCGGTGGAGCTTCCCGCAAAGCCTTTGACGTCCAGCAAGATGTGATTCAAACTCGCCTGCTCGACTGTGGTTTGGGGAGGCTCGTCTAGCAGGCTCATAACCGACTGGAGCTTGGTAACGTCGACAACAGAGTCATCTGCTGTCAGAACTCTGCCGCGCGCTGCCGGATCTCGCACAACCACCTCACCACCACACAGCTTGTTGACTGTGACGAGGTCCCAGACCGTCTTCTCTCGCAGTCGCTCGTATTCGTGCGCGGTAAGAACATTGTAGAGAAACTGCTGGCGGTGGAGATTCAAGGAGTTCACGAGCTGTGATAATTTTTCAAGCTTTGCATACTGTCGGGAAAGGAGCAGTTCGTGTAGGTATTTGGAGTGCCATTCTCGCAAGCAGGACGCGATTTCATCAACCAGTGGCTCATCTACCGAGGTTGGCGTCTCGTCACCAATCTTGAGCATCGGAACAGGCGCTGGGGGCCGAGGCGCATTGGGATCTCTGCGAACCGGGACTGAGAGGTTCTTAGCCGCGTCGCCTGTGAGGTCTCGCAAAGTCTTCTTCCACTGGCTCGAATCCGCCGTCCTGTCCTGGCCTTTGGACTCTATGCCACTCTTGGCAGAATCGCTACCGGGGCGATCATCAATGCCGCTATCGCTCGCAAAATCTTCATCGTGTCGTTCATCTGTTTCGCCAAGCAGCTCTCGAACCTCCACACAGCTTCTCGGGAAGATGCCGCTGAAGACGCGAGCTTCCAGCGTCTGTCCCTTGACCGATGTCAGACCAGCAAGCAGACTGGGAGGCGCCACGAGGTAGCCGCGCAGCCAGTGGCCGTCCGGCGTCTCTTCGATTATATAAAGCTCATCGCCAATTTCGAGCGGCAGATCGGCCGGGCTCGCGGCTGTGAAAGGGTAGGTCGCGACGGCGAAGGCGATCCGGGGGAGAGGCTGCCAGGGCATTGAAGCTCAGGGTGTTGGCCTCTGGCGAGAATTCTGTTCGATTGGGCCAGGCAGAAGCGACTATTATCTCGTCGTATGCAGCGGCTTGCTGATTGGCAAGGCTTGACGAAGTAATGCGCTGATGGATGGAAGTTGCGAACGCATCAAGCTCCAACCTTGAACGCGGTGGTGCGGATATCTCGTAACGCCTATGCTGTTATTTCTTAGCCACGGACAAGGTTTTCTGACCAGCGGCGCGACCTCGAGTAAGAGAACAGAATTCGAAGCCGATAGAATTTTTTCTGCAAAACTTACGATGTGTGAAGCTTGTTTGCAAAGCGCCGGTTGGCTGACGACTGGCCGTTCGAGAACCCCTGAGCAAACACGACCAAATTATGCACGCCAGTGGGAAGAGATAGCGATCCGATAGCGCAATTAAAGCATCCGCCCAAGCTGATCAACATGCAAGCTGTGTATTGCAATGCCAAGATGCACGGAGCCTTCCAAGGCTCGCCCGAAAAAAAAAAACGAAACTGTGACACAAAACCTCAAACAAGAAAAATAAATTATGACAGATGCAGCGAGGGGAAATTTCTGGCCCACGATATCATGTCTCTGAAATCAGCAGCATGTCTCTCCTCAACAGCGGCATGGGCTCTTTCTGGCCGCTATACCCGGTACCAACCGTCGGGCGTTTTAGTGCTGCAGCCCCGCCGCACTGGCCGCTAGGAATCAGCGGTGGACTCCCTGTACGGGGGAGCTTGTACGGGGTCGTGGCCAGTGGAGAGGGAGTCTGAACCCTCTAAGGCCGCCGACAGGGGTTGCTGCCAGGGGACGGTTTTGTACCTGCTTCATCCACTGGGCAATACGCGCATGTAAGCACTCTCGTCACCACGATGAACACACCTCTGCAGCCCAACCTTGAACGAACCGCTTGCCACCTCCTGTCCCAAAGCGGCGCAACTTGGTGGCCTGTGCGACGATTCGGACCAAATAGGCAGTGACATGAATTTTTAGGCAAAGTGTGTGGTCTCGTTATCACACGCCAGCGCTGCACCATGCAGGAGGCGACGTCGCAGCGGCATCAGCGGGCTTAATCTCTCTCTGTCTCGCTCTTGATGGATCCATGGACATGGACCATTTTTGCTTGGGCAAGCTATTGTAACATACACGTACTCCGTACCACTATTGCTACTAGGTATCTAGCACCGTTCGACACAGATCAGGACGCGACAGGTCTTGCAATGAACAATCACTGGCCGTGCTACATAAAGCTTTGACGCCCACCTTGCACACAGAGACGGATATGCACACGTGGTTCTTAGTGCCTGTATCATGCTCATCTGCCAACTTGTTCTCATCAGGCCGATCTCCTAGGTGTTTGGGGGTTTCATCTCCATCGAGCCACTTTGCCGGGAATTCGAGTCTCCCCTTCTATACCCGTAATATTCGAAGCCACTCCGTGCTCCGTAGATCTCTTGATCTGTTACCCCTGACCCATGTTGGCAATCAAACCCGTCGCTTATCGATTATGTACAATGCACTATTACGGAGTATGTACATACGAAGTACGGAGTACAGGCACGGAGTACGTGTAATTGATTGAACCAGGTGTGCTCAGACCGTTTGCTGAGAAATGTTTCTTGTTTCATTGATAGGTAGTCATGCTACCCGAGAGCCTAACAATGGCAATGTTGCGGTAGATGGGCCCAAGTCTTTGGGCGCCTGAGGCGTTGATTTCCATTCATAAGCTGGTATTGTTAATACCTTCCGGTAGTTTATATATACTAGGTAGGTATGTGTCTGAACGTCCCAGGTGTTATTTGCACGTACCTGCGTGTATTTTCGTGGGAGACCTGAGGTCATCTATTTCCGTCGCGTTATGTTTCACATGGCTATAGCCTGACCATACGGCTCCGCAGGTTCAGGTGAAGATATACAATTACTCTTTAAATAGCGTCAAGGTTAATAGAATACACTTGGTAACAATAGAGATTTCTAATGAGTTGGAGTGAATAAGTAGATGTTAGTGCATGTTACGGAAAGGTCAGCATATTTGTACCTGGACACAAGTTACAGATGGGCAATGCTAACAATAGAGATTAAAGGGCTATCCAGCACCCCAGCGACTAATAGGAGTTCCACACATCGTAACAACGCATAATGAAGATCTCTTATCACCGTTACTTAAGTAAATAAATAGGTAGTCCCGAGTTTCTAAGTGCTTCCCGTTTATAGTAACAGTAAGATTTTGATACCGAATCCAGTTCAGTATCCATACAGCATTGAACTTCGATAATACAGATGCAGTGTAACATTCTGTACGGAGTCGCACCCTGCCGCCCACATTCGGTACTACCCGCATCAATGCTCTGACTGCATAAGCTCTGCTACCGATGGGCTTCCTTGGCCCAGCTACGGCTGAAGAATACATGAACCCGTCTGGGCTTTAAAGTCGTATTTTGATCCTTGATAGCGTCACTGGTATTCATCATACATGTATTCAACAAGACGGCGGCATGTGGAATGGAAAGGTGCATTTTCTCATTGTAGTTAGCGGCACTCAGCTAAGCATACCTCTGCGCGCGCCCTGTGTGGCGGCAATGCGCCCTATTTCAAGCCTACCTTACCTGCATTACAGACTGTGACAACAATCTTCGATGTCCGGTTTGTTTTGCAGTATGACTCAAAACAATACAAAGGCCACGTGCATGCGGTTCGCAGCATGAATGCCAAAAAGTTTACTGTACATAGACCCGCAACTTCATAAAGGCTTGGCCACCTGTATTTCCTCTCAGCGAATTTTTCTTCCTCATACAAAGCCGGGGTTGAAAAGTTGCAAAGCTGCACAACAAATGTCCATGCCGCATATATAGTCTTCGCCCCACCAGACAAGAATATCAAACTGCCGCCTCATCGTCCACGAGAAAGCAGCAATCATGGGAACTCCTTTCGTCAGCCTTCTCGAGCCTAGCAAGCTCGAGGGGTTCCAGCTTGGCGTTCCTCGAGACACGCTGCCCTCGACAATCCCCAGAACGTTCCTTGATGCCATGGAGGTTCGCGAGGAAGTCTTCGTGAAGGAACAGGGCGTCCCCCAGGAAAACGAATTTGATGTCGATGACCCGCGATCTTGCCATTGGGTCATTTATGTCAGCGTCAACAAGACAGAGGTGCCCGAGATTCGGAATGAAGAAGGAAACGTCGTGCGGCCGCGCAAGAGTTCTACCCGAAGCACTCCCGTGGGCACCATTCGCATGGTTCCCTTCCCACATGAGCCTCATCCAAAGCCGGGTGGAGATTACTGGGACGGAGTTCTGAAAGGTGAAGCAAATGATGCTAACAGCCACGATATCCCGTCATCACGCCCGTTTGTTCAAGACCGGCCGACGACCTTTCATGACGGCAAGGAACCATACATCAAGCTTGGAAGACTGGCCGTGGTAAAGGACTATCGAGGCTACCGCTTTGCAGGCCAGCTTGTGAAGAATGCACTCGACTGGATCAAGGCAAACCCGTCCTTCTTTGACCCCAGTATCCGAGAGTTGGGACTCGAGCAGTTGGGAGCGTCGACAGAAGCCCAGGCGCCGCAATGGCGAGGCCTCGTTTGCGTCCACGCACAGGAGCAAGTTGCCAAGGCATGGGCGAAATGGGGGTTTGAAATTGACGAGGGCATGGGGAAATGGTGGGAAGAAGGCATCCCCCATGTGGGAATGTTTCTGCGTCTAGACATTGGCCAAAAGGATATCCGGATTTGAGCATTACGGCTAGCAACCAAGTGGTGGCGAGGAGCAAGTAGGACCGCACGTCATCTTCATCGAGAGCATTACCTACCTATGGAATTGGGACAGACAGAGCACAGTTCAAGATTAAAAGAAGCCTCGCACTTAACGACGTAATAACTTTTTTTCCTTATTTGATGCCCCATGTTGCACTTTTGTTTTGGTCTCTCTCTTATAATCACAGATAAGAAAAATATGGTAAATTAGAGACACAAAAGGCATGATTCATAACAGCCCCTTTTTGAGCCCAGCTTTTTATTCAGACTCTAGGAGCCATCTGAGATAAATCCATGTCCGCGTTCCCAGACCCGAACGCAAAATGCAATTCTGAAAAATGCCTGATCCACGCCAAAAGCCACACTCCATCCAGCCAGGTAACCCACCGCACAACCTTTATCGGTTGCTCTTGGCGACACGCTCCAACTCGTCCTTCTTCTTGATAGCGTATGAGTTGCTGCTGCCCTTGGCGGCGTTGATCAGCTCCTCAGCCAAGCACTCAGCAATGGACTTGACGTTTCGGAAAGCAGCCTCACGGGCACCGGTGGTGAGCAGGGCAATGGCCTGGTTGACTCTCCTCAGGGGGGAGACATCGACGGCCTGACGACGGACGGTACCGGCAGAGCCAATTCGGGTAGAGTCTTCACGGGGACCGCAGTTGACAATGGCGTCAACGGCAACCTGGATGGGGTTCTGGTCGGTCATGAGGTGAATCTGTAGTGAGGAATGGGTGTTAGCCAGAAATTCTCAACGTCTTTCTTCCCCTTGAAGAATCACGTCTTCCTCCTCTCCTGCTAGGGTCGCGTCAAAATACGTACGATCTCGAAGGCGTGAGCGACGATGCGGACAGCCATCAGCTTCTTGCCGTTGTTGCGGCCGTGCATCATGAGCGAGTTGGTCAACCGCTCAATGATAGGGCAGTTGGCCTTGCGGAATCGCTTGACGGCATATCGGCCAGCAGAGTGGGTGACGTAGACGGGGTTTCGCAGGGAAATGTAGTCGCTGTTTGATCAATCCATCAGCACAAAAGAGCTCCTCCAATGTTTTTGGCGAAAATATCATATTTTTCCAATCTCGCGATTTCGACGTACGTCAGAGAGATGTCGCGGACCTCGACATCGTAGTCCCACTTGTTGAAGAGCTTGACGTTGCCGACCTCCTTGACAACATCCTTGGGGAGGGCGTCGGTAACGACGGAGTTCTCGATCTCGATTTCACCACCGTCAGACATCTTGGCTATTTGCAGTCGAATATTCCGGTGCTGGGCGGGACTGCGGTTAGTGTTGCGGATTGTCGAGATGTGATTTTTCAAGAGGTTAAAGGCGGGCTTGGTCGGCGTGGAATGGAAATTTTGGTGGTGTGTGCATCGGGCGAATCAGATGGCGCGAAAAGTTAGGTACGTACCCTGCACCCACGTTCGGTTAGGGCTCGGCTGCCCTGGTGAATTCGGAAGTGGGCAAACCGTTGAAGCGGGAGGGCTACTCTAAGTCGTCGCCAAAAATTCCAATTCCTCCACCACTCCTCCGTCATCAAGCCAAGCACATCACAGACAAAATGGTATGCCATCACCGCCACCGACCATGATGAAATGGCGTCGCTACGCAGATGCTGATTTTTAAAATTCACAGGCGCCTGCAGCTGGAGCAAAGAAGCAAAAGAAGAAGTGGTCCAAGGGCAAGGTCAAGGACAAGGCCCAGCACGCCGTCCTGCTCGACAAGACCATCTCCGAGAAGCTCTACAAGGATGTCCAGTCCTACCGCCTCGTCACCGTTGCCGTCCTGGTCGACCGAATGAAGATCAACGGCTCCCTCGCCCGCCAGTGCATCCGCGACCTTGAGGAGAAGGGCATGATCAAGCCGGTCATCACTCATAGCAAGATGAAGATCTACAGTACGACTCACCAGCTGCTCCCCTTGTGCGCGCTATGAAAGATGAAAACAAATACTAACAGCTGCACAGCCCGTGCCATCGGCGAGTAAATTTACCACCACCATGTTTGAAAGTTAAGGCAAAGGCATTGAGATTTGGCGCCTGGTTGGTCTGAAAGGAAGAAAATGGACCATGAGAGAAGAGGATGATACGAGGTACATAAAGCCTTAGTTGGGACGCTTTTTCATGCTCGGTGTAGCATTTCATGGGACCGGAAACGCTTTAGCATATGGCAACGGAATGAAGAACTTCAAAAAATGACCAAAAACGACGCGAATATCTCCTTGACTCTTGTGTGACGCACATTTCTGTTCTGCGAATAACTGTGATGAGCATATGGGATGGATTCGTGCTATACTGGCGTAACAATGGCAGGCCTATGCTTCCCTTTTATCACATGCGTAGTCGCGACGTCGATATTGCGCCATACAGCATACGTTATTGGGTCGAATACTTATACTATCACATCAATTCTGAATGTGCGACCTATCCACTCTAGCCCCTAGCTTTCTGTCATCTTCTTACTACCGAGGTATTACCTTCTAATGCTAATGCCCGGATGGTCAGGTTTATGTTCGCTGGATAGTGCTCTCATGCTATAAGAACTGGTCCTGCTTGTGAGCTGATTTTGGCAGCACAGCATAGCATTGATATATGCATTCATACACCATGCTAATTATTTCAGGGTCTGTGATATTCCCAAAGTGGCGTTGGATATGGAGCGGCCCAATCAGATCAAACCAGATTGTGATTCTGCCGAGCAGTTATCAGCCACGGTCTTTAGCCCTTCTCCGCCCTCCTTTTCTTAGGTATCAAGGCATCCATATTTGCCTTCCCACTGTTGGTTACATGTAACCAAGAGGGACTGGCTGTCCAGCTGGCAGGTATCATGCAAATGAATCGGAAGCAATGCCATTTATGCATTGCGGTGTGTCCTCTTTCTCACCGATTATGAAAGTTGAGATTTCTATTCGTCGGAACATTGTCAAGGGTTCGGAGTTCTGCAAGTCCCCTACCAATCAACTCCCGAGTGAGCAGAATCATTTTTCGCGCTTGAGGCAGCAACTGCTATCAAGGTCCACAACCTGAGGCAGAATAACGCCAGGCCGCCCGGGGAAGAGGGTACATGTACATGGTAGTAATACGCGGTTGCATCTGCTCGAGAGCGAATGTGGAATGCAAGCACGAGTCACATTGTGGAACAGGGAGATATGCGGATGTGTTTCTTTTTCTTTTTCTTTTCCCCTTCTTTTCTTTTTTTCCCTCTTAGGGCGCCAGGTACAGCACAGCCTTTACCCCTAACGGCGATGGCCCCGATTAGAGTTTTAGGGGAGATTTCTTCGCCTGTGCTTCTGATACGAGTCTTGAGGCAAATACTGGCAACGGCAGGCGAAACGGCTTCGAACCAAGACCGACAGTGTCCACCTGTTACATGTACGTAGTAGTAGTAGTAAGGCTGGAGACCTCGGCCTCCCTTGCACCGGTGGAGCCGGAGTAGGCGGGATGGCTTCTCACGGCCGGTCAGATCGGCGGCAACGGTGTGGCAATGCCTGAGAAGGACAATGGCATCTTCGGCATGGTTCATGGTTGCGCTCCCTATCTTGCACTGGAGGAACACTCTACGGCAGCCGGAGTGTCCGCTAAGCCTCATGCTGTTCGCGCTCCAAACAGTGTTTAGGATTTGGCAACATGACTTTCAGGGGCTGACCTCAGTCCCGTGAACTACTATGTACTCCTGGGCATTGGTGCCATAATGGATGCCAGGCCCAAGAATCTGCGGCTAAATGGCGAGCTATATTTGTCGTCTCTCAGCTGCCAGCTGGACTTGCATGTACTACTATGTACGAACCACTCCTTACTGATAGGCCTCACCTCCATATTTGTTCGCACCAGGCTGGGGGCCATGGCTGAAGCGGTGACGCGCTGAGTGAACACGGATGAGTGCAAAGTGCGTGTGCGGCATTCTTCTGTACGGAGTACTTGGATCTCTGGGTGTCTCGGAGACGCCAGGAATAGGCAGGTTGGAATTTCGCACTGGCGGGTGGCCTCGGCGGGAGACAAGATCGGGGCGAACCGGGTGCAAGTCAGTGTTTGCACCCAGGGTGACATCAAGACGCTGTAGCCGTGGGTGGTACAGCACAGTGCAGCCCAAAGTGCAAGGCAAAAAAAAAAAAAAAAAAAAAAAAAACTGGCGCGCATCTCCTGGCGCCTGAAGTTGCTGCTCCGGCGCCTTTAGGCCGCTGGCACGGCCCTTAAAAGGCGCTCTGCCTGAGGCTGCCACCCGCTGTAGCGCTCTGTTTGCCGTGGAAGGCAAAGCAGCGCGGCCCAAGCCTGCAGCGCTAGTGCGGCCGGAAAGAGTCGCTCTGAAAAAGTGTCCCCTTCGAGACCCGCCGCAATTTTTTTTTCCCTCCCCCCCAAAGCCATTCGCCCGTCGGTGCAGAATTTATTTCGCTCGACTCCCCCCGTTGTCCTCCTCTTCCTCCTTTCATCTCCATCTCCCCTCAATCCTTTCTTTTTTTCCGGGAAAGCGTTTGCATATCGGTCAAAATGTCTGAGAAGCCTCAAAAGGTCCTGGGCATGCCGGTAAGTTGAATCTGTTTGCCTTATCTGCCTGTCTTTCCCCCTCCATCGGGGTACGCCATGTGAGATTCCGAAACGACTCCGAGAGATATTTTGCCAGCAACATCAATTGAATCGTCGAGATGACATTGAGATGCTGTGCAATGATGTCTGCCTGGGCCTCGCTCTCAGTCGTGAAGAATCTTCGTCGTGTGCCCGGATGAGGAAAATTTTGCATCGCGTTCGCACATGTGAAACCTGACCGCTAACAATGTTTTCTCACAGCCCTTCATGGCGGACTTCCTCAGTAAGTCTCTTTCGATGCTCATCCGGGATAAGCATGATCTATAGACTGCGGCTCGCGTCGAACGTCAAGAATTCGAACTAACAAATTCCAATAGTGGGTGGTGTCTCCGCCGCTGTCTCCAAGACCGCTGCCGCCCCCATCGAGCGTGTCAAGCTCCTCATCCAGAACCAGGTTTGTCTCTCCTCACAGGACATATTGACCCTGGGAACTTGCCTCTAACTAGTACCATAGGATGAGATGATCAAGAACGGTCGTCTCGACCGCCGCTACGCCGGCATTGGTGACTGCTTCCGCCGTACCGCCGCCGACGAGGGTGTCATGTCCCTGTGGCGTGGTAACACTGCCAACGTTATCCGATACTTCCCTACCCAGGCCCTGAACTTTGCTTTCCGTGACAAGTTCAAGAAGATGTTCGGTTTCAAGAAGGACCGTGATGGTTACGGCATGTGGATGCTTGGTAACCTTGCCTCCGGTGGTGTAAGTTTTTCCTTTTTACCTTGCGGTAATAACCCCTCATCTTCACATGCTTGGTGCTGATACTCTATCAGGCTGCTGGTGCCACTTCTATGCTTTTCGTCTACTCTCTGGATTATGCCCGTACCCGTCTTGCCAACGATGCCAAGTCCGCCAAGAAGGGTGGTGAGCGCCAGTTCAACGGTCTCGTTGACGTCTACCGCAAGACCCTCGCCTCTGACGGTATTGCCGGTCTGTACCGTGGTTTCATGCCCTCCGTCGCTGGTATCATCGTCTACCGTGGTCTCTACTTCGGCATGTACGACTCCATCAAGCCTGTTCTCCTGGTCGGTTCCCTCGCCAACAACTTCCTTGCCTCTTTCGCTCTCGGATGGTGCGTCACCACTGGTGCCGGTATCGCTGCCTACCCTCTTGACACTATCCGACGACGAATGATGATGACTTCCGGTGAGGCCGTCAAGTACAAGAACTCCTTCGATGCTGCCCGCCAGATCATTGCCAAGAACGGTGTCAAGTCTCTCTTCAACGGTGCTGGTGCCAACATTCTCCGTGGTGTTGCCGGTGCTGGTGTCCTGTCCATCTACGATCAGCTCCAGATCCTTCTCTTCGGAAAGGCCTTCTCCGGTGGCTCTGGTTAAATTGCTTTTTCTACGTTCTGTATAGACATTCTCCGAGCGTTCTAACGCGGAGATGGGGTTAATTGGCCAGGTGGGTGTAATGCGGCGTCCACTGGTTGATCAAAAAGGAGACCGGAATGGAAGGTATTGAGGGAAGTTGGGCCAGATATCCCGACCTGTGTAACAGTTGCTATTTGCGGGTTAGACTGGCATGGGCACGGCGTATGTTAGTCGTTTTGGCTCTTGCCGTGCTTTCTAGGTCGCTGTAATTATACACCAATGCAAGTTCCCTTGATTTAGAGATTTAAACAACGCTCTGATTTGATATCTCAAGTATTACAATCTGTGTCGTGCTTCAAAGTGCAATTTTTTTTTTTCGCGCGTCGCTCTCAGCCTCATGGTCGTTGTGTGCGTTGCTGACTAAGGCGGCGTATCGCACTTGCGATTGGGAAGGCAGCAAGCCGAGCTCCAAGTATAAACTACATGCATCACAGTGGACATTCGAACATAACGCGTCGCCTGCTTTGGTCGCTGCTGTCTGTCCAAGCCTAGCCCTGGTCTATCTGCGTAAACGAACGCTGGAGGAGCAACCGAATTGATCACACAGGGCACCAATGCCGCCTAAACAATCCTCTACTGGGGCTGGTCGCGGCCGGCCAGCCAAGGCGAACAAAGCTCAACCACCTGCTCGCGATGCCTCGGAGTCTAGCAACCCGTTCGAGTCCTCGGATGACCAGGCGGAGAAGGCGAACCAAGCGATAAACATAGAAGAAGAGCAGGCAGAGCCGGAAAAGTCCATCCCGAAAGCCCTCTTGACCCGGATTCTCCACGAGTTCTTTGCCAAGGAAGCAACAAGAATGTCGAGAGACGCTAACGCGGCAGTGGGCAAGTACGTTGATATCTTCGTTCGAGAGGCGATCGCGAGGACAGCTGTCGAGAAGCGAGGCGGGTTCCTAGAGGTAAGGTCATCGGGTGCATGTCATTCGGGTTGTCCTTTCTAGAGTTGCTCAGATGATGATGCTAACGGTTCCTTGTACAGGTCGAAGATCTGGAAAAGGTCGCACCCCAGTTGCTGCTAGATCTTTAGGGGGTACAGGGCTTAATATGTCATGTCCAGCTGCCATCAGTATCTGGATAGTGAGAGATTAATCATCTGCTGCAACTGTCCAGTTGATCTGACTGAGGAGATGATGGGCATCTGGGCCCCTGCTTCTGGCCATGTCTTGGACTATTGAGAGCCTCACGGTGTGTGTAGATTCAACATTGGCTCCTCATGGTGACACAAATCTCAACGGACAGTGTCTCCGCAACAGTTTCACGTTGCACGGAAGGCCAAAACAACGCCGGCCGAATGCCTCCAACTCCCCTCGACCACGCGAGCAACGGCGTGCATGAAACGCAATGTTTCCGATGCTAGATTCAAATGCGAAATCGTCTACGACGACGGTGCGAAAGGAATGAATGCTTATTGGTCAAATTGACTTGTTACACATGGCCTACTGTATCTGAGATTTTTCTCGAGGAATTCGGTTTTACAAAGAGTAGCTCTCATCTTCTACTTGCTGGCCATTGACAAACTCATGGCCAGCTAGAAGTTTAATTCGTCGGTCTCCGACAATGATTTTCTCTACACATGCAAGCGATAAAATAGCGTTATTTCAATCTACTGGGCTTTATCCTTGTCTTCATGCTGGTGAATTTCACGACGACGTTCCGACTCGAAGCGAGAAACAATTGCCGCCATTGGCCTTGGTCGTTTCTGAGAATGCGGATCATGACTTGTTCGTGATTGTGGCTCAGGGCGTGCGCATGGCTGTCGGTTACTAGAGCGTTTCACTAATGTATTAATAGTCCGGAGTCTGCAAATATACGACAGGGGGGCTGTGGCGTTTACAACTCTGCGTCTGCCCAATTGACAACGGCACTTTGACGCCATTGAGCTTCCGAAACCCCAGGCACGTTGTCAAAAAAGGATTGTTTGGACGCAATTGGAAACACCAAGCCCATCAGGTCTAAATTTGCGTCGAGGCCATGCGGTCACTGCGTTTGCCTGCGCTGAAACCGACCACGTCTCGCGTGTGTCGGAGACGCTCGACTTGAAGCAGCTTTAACATCAGACCCCGGCCCGGCCCCTCAAAATTAGGTGTGGCGCGGTCTGCCTGCAACAATGCAATTCCGGCTTCAGCATGGCCCGGCGCCCATGACGGTTAGTCAGTGTGAGAAGCTGGTCCCGTCAAGGCACCAGGGTCAAATGTTTCTCGAGCATGGCAAGGGGAACTGCTGTCTGTGCTAGCGGCAGACCAAGTAAGGTTAGCAGCTTGACTTTTTGTCTCCCATGACCCTTGCCGTTGGGAGAGATCCGTGGTGAACACCATCTGGGGCGCCGTGTTTCGAGTACCCGATTGAGCTGCGTCGACCATGTTTCTGGACCTGGGCGAGTCGAGACCAGCGTCTATGGCCAAACCAGTCTCATACACGCTATGAGCGGCCTCAACTCAAGCTATGCCCCGTTGTTTGAGGAAATGTGATAGGCGCCTCCTAGACGACTGCGTTCCCCGTAAACGATCCCCCCTCGGACAAGGTGCAAGGACGCTAATCCGGACGTTGAGAGTGGCATGAATGGAGATTAAAAGCCATCATGTTTCCGTTGTTTCTTTCACTTCTTCAACCATCGTTCTACTGTTTGTCCGTGGGGTTTCTTTTGTATCCTTACTTTTCTTCTCTTCTCTTCTATCCATTTACATTTACATTCCAAAGGCTAGTCCTTTGCTGGTCCTATCGTTTTCATTCACATTCTCTTACCTATTCAAGAATTAATCTTGCTTCTTTTTCCCTATTCCTCTCTTTTTCAAGGTTTTATTTTGGGAAGTCTGGTACTCTCTCTCTTTAGGCCGGCCTATTCTTCAGAAAAAAACAAACCAAAACACAAAAACCTTTATTCAAGATGCAATTCACTACTCTCCTTGTTGCGGCCTTTGCTGCCATTGCCCAGGGTACGTCAGACCACTCCAGTTTTTGATATTGCGCAGGCCGATGAATTAACACATTTCCCCTTTAGCCGTCGATGTCCAGGTCGTCTCCGTTGGTCAGAACCCCATGGCCGGTATGGCTGGTCAGCCCGCTCTCAAGTACTACCCCGACAACATCAAGGCTGCTCCTGGATCCATGGTTCAGTTCCAGTTTTGGGCCGGCAACCACACTGTCACCCAGTCCGACTTTGATCACCCTTGCACTCCTATTTCCCAGGTCAACAGCTCAGTTGCTGGCATCTGGTCCAGCTTCATGCCTGTTGCTGCTGGCGCTGCCAAGAAGGAGATTCCCGTCTTCACTGTCATGATCAACGACACCAAGCCCATCTGGATTTTCTGCAGCCAGGGCAAGCACTGCTCCAACGGAATGTCTATGGTTATCAACGAGAAGTGAGTATCTGATATGCCATTCACAAATCAAGACACTAACATTATTCAACTTGTAGCACCTCTGCCAACGCTACCCGTTCTCTTACCAACTACAGAACCGCTGCTTCTACTGCTCAAGGTGGCTCTGGTTCCGGCTCTGGTGCCCCTGCCGGCTCTGCTCCCAGCTACGGAAGCCCCAGCCCCAGCCCCAGCTCTGGCTCTGGATCAGGCAGCGATGCTAGCGCTCCCCCTGCTTCTGCTCCTACCGATACTGGTGCTGCTCCTACCGATGTTGTTGCTCCTCCTCCCTCCGTCACAACTGGTGGCTCTTCACCCGTTGGCACTGGTGTTCTTCCCGGTGGCGCCACAGACACTGGCATCCCCAAGAGCGGTGCCTCGTCTGTCGGCGTTTCTACCAGCTTGCTGCTGGCTCTGGGTGCTGCCTTTGCTTTGCTATAAATGGAGTGACGTGACGACATGACGTGGGGATCGGTAAAAAAAGGACGACGATCTGTAATATCATTTTTGGGGAGTTCTATTCATGTGTGCATCTTCCTTGCAAGCAAGGGTTTTTTTATTTTCTTTTTTCTGAAGTGGGATGGAAGTAATCTGTTCTCTAGGTTTTCATGAAAGGGGAAGGACAGCAAGAGTCCTGGGTTAGAGCACATGCTAGGGACCATGTGTGTAAATGTATCTGGATACCTTATTTAAAATGAAGGAGTTGTTTTCTAATCATAATTTGTTCATTTGCTACCTTTGTGACGTGTGATAAGTTGTTTTCGACGCAATTGCCTAGACTACGCGGGCAACTCTTTATTGTGAGCTGTCTCTATGTGTAAGTGATGGAGGGCGACAGGAAAACGGAGTATCTTAATGGTAGAGGTGAATCTTTTTAGGTCGTTTATCATGCGTACACTACCTATGCTCTCTCTCGCTTTCATGTACATTTACTTCTCCTCCTTAGCATGTCTCGGCTTTCTCTTCGACCTGCCCTGCTGAGCGGGGGCACAGAGCTCCCTCCTAGGCTGCTTCTCTAGCCAATTCTTCTCTCGCTTCACGTAGCCCACCTTGTGATACTTCTTGCTGTTCCCAAAAAAGTTCACCCAGTGCTTCAACGCATCTTGCACCTGCCGTTGTGCCGCAGCCAGCTCCATTGCCTTCATCTCCTTCATCTCGGCCGTGGTCCACTGGGCGTCAATCTCAGGATCGTCCAGCGGCAGGAACATGTCCTCTACACCGCGCATGTCGGGCGTGCGATCATCGGCAAAGCACCCAGTGACAAAAGCTCGTGCAGCATCGCAGCCTGCAAAGTAGCTGTAGGAGCCTCCGGGGCCGTAGATGTGGCGGCCGACAGAGACGTCGAAGATGGTGCCGTTGATGGCAATGTAGACGGGCTTAGAAGTATCTTTGCCGTCGTAGGCGGCGAGCTGTTCGGGGGTCAAGTAAATAGGACCTTGCTGTCAAGATGGTTAGCCAACACATGTCCAACTTGGTCTTTTGTCAGGGCGCAGCGAACAATTTGAGCTTTCCACCAGTCTACCCTCAGGTAGTGGGGCTTGTTCCTCATGCCCCAGAAGAAACTCTCGCCGTTGCTGATCCAGTAGCTGAGCGCGCATGAAGCCACGAACAAGAAGCTGATCACGCGCAGGGTGTCCAGCCACGGGGAATAGGCATCTTCCTCGTCGATTCTCGACTTGGAGCTCGACTTCGTCTTTGCCGGCTTAGCATCCTGCTGCTTCCGCTGACGTAATTCCGAGTCCGCCATGGCTGCTGAGCTGCAATTCTCGTCGTCGAAGCTCGGTTATAGCAGCGATTGGATTTTGGATATTGGGATTGAGAGGCCAAGTTCAAATCGTGGCCGTAAGCTTAGCTGCATGCCCGAATCTGTGCCGTTTTTGGCGGCATCGGGAGATACAAGCTCCCGTTGCTGATGCTTGGACGGGCTGATTGGCTGCGTTGCGGACACGCCGGGGTTATAGGCAGGTAGATGCAAGTGATGCGGGCTAAATATCGGTTAAATAGCTTGGTATAGTCACCCCCAGGCGTTATTCTGCCAACCAGTGGGTGATTTGTTCCCAATAAGGGTTGGGCATCGCTACGTGGAGCGTCGCCACGGCAACAAGAACCCACTTGGCACAATCTTGATGGTGGAAATTGGTAAACAGCACTAGCACCTTGTTTTGTATTATTACCAAGCCCACAACTGCATAACCCTGCCCAGTACGGAGTAAGGCTTCATCTGCAATCTGCAAGAGAAAATATCCCACGACAGACCGGATCCCCTCGAGGGAACCACCACGACGAGATACCGACTGCGAATCAGACACGACAAACAGCCCCTGGCCATCCACAACATCCGAGTATCAACAAATGGAAGAGCTGGCGAGTCTTCCCGACTCCCCCGCGCCTGCGGGTGGACCCCTCCAGATGGCAACTCCCGATCGCGTGAATCAGCGCCGCGACACTCTCTTTGGCGCCTTACGAACTCAAGGAGCGTCAGCAGATTCCCTTGCTGGTCGCGATAGCACGGTGCACGACAAGATCAGCCAGTTCAACAACATGAGCATGCAGGCGAGGCAGCAGGAGCGAAAGACGGCCGATGCGGCGCTGAAGCGGGCCATGCTGGGTCGCGAAGAGGCAGAGGCGGAGATGAGGCGCCTCAAGGATGAAGCTAGAGCCTTGCGACAGGAGATCGAGGAAGGCAAGGAGCGCGAGAGGAGAGTGGGCGAGCGATTGGAAACAATCATGGTAAGCCGGCATAGTCCCTGCTCACGTCTTTTAATCCTGCAGCGTGGCACTTTATTCTCTCGTCAGTATGGCCGGCTAATGTGATCCTTCAACGAAAAGGAAAACTATGGACGCGCAAAGGAGACACACGCACATACCCAGGCTCTATGGGAAAAGGAAATCAGACGCGCGCGAAAGGAAAACTTCAAGGCCCAGTCGACGATTGTGAAGCTTCAGGAAGACATCAAATCCGCCCGGGCATCAATACAATTGATCGAAGAATCGCTCCAGCATGAAAAAGATCGAAGCCATGCCCGAGAGGAGCAAAATCTTAAGGCGCAGTCTACCATTAACCAACTCCAAGAGGACGTCAAAGCTGCGCAAGCCATGGCCAAGCTAGTCGAAGAATCACTGCAAAACGAAAGGGACCGGAGCCTCGCTCGAGAGGAGCAAAACCTCAAGGCTCAATCTACCATCAGTCAACTCCAAGAGGATACCAAGGCTGCACAGTCTATGACCAAGCTAGTCGAAGAATCACTACAGACCGAAAGGGAGAAGAGTCGAGCTCGGGAGCAAGAAACATTTGAAGCAAAGTACCAGGCTAGCAACCTTCAGGATCAGCTCGAACAAGCACTCGCTCGGGTTAAGCTGGTCGAGCAGGAGCGCGATGCCTACAAAGTGGCGGCCAAGAACGAAGAAGTTGCGCGTCTCGCTGCAGAGGGCCGCATTCCCCTGCCGGCTGAGGAAGCAGACGATGAGTTTGCGTCTCCCCCAAGGAAGCGAAGGATCGCATCGACTATTAGGTGCAAGGATCCTCGTGTTTCGCTTTCAACAATGGAGATCGTCTCGTCAGCTGCGAGCGAGCTGGAGATTGAGCAGCTCACCGAGCAATTACAATGGGAAAGGCAGAGAGCAGATCGAGCTCAGGAGATGATTGAATTTATGCAGGCCGAGTGTCAGATGCACTGCTGCCCATGCTCCAAGTCCCAACGTCGGACGAGCATGTTGGCGCAACAGCTTCCCCGAACTCCCGAAAAGACGAGGCTCTCCACGGAGGCTTCCATTCCAGAAGAGAGGGATGCGTCTTCTCAGCCTCCTCAGTCACCAATCCAGCAACTGGAATTGAATCCGGGGAAGGTGAGGAAGGGCGCCAGGCGAAGCACCGTCTTCTACCCTAAGGAGGGCGTCTTCCGTACGGTATCCGAGCAGGAGGCCATTGAGCTGGAAGCCCAGCGCAAGGCCGAGATTGTCATCGAAGCTCATGAGGAAGTTGAGCCGGAGATGCCTCCTCCCAAAGAAAAAATAGAGGCACATCAACGTACGTTTGCGAGAACACCATCCGCCGAGCCATCATCAGTCTATGAACTTTCCCACGGGAGATCATCGCTCATGTCGCTCATCAATGCACCGCGAATTGACGCCCAAGCTGACTCTCTTCCAAACTTGCGTAGCTTCCCGACGGTCCGTGACAACGAAGCCGCTCAGGAGAGGGTAATGCGATACCAGGCAGCGGAAGAGGGAGACTTGGAGCCGGCACTGGCACCAGCACCTGAGCCACAGCCAGAACGATTTGCCCTCCCCCGGAAACGCTCAGCTGCCGAGTCTCAATCTTCTTCCAAGAGTTCCTACACAGTAACTACGACAACCTCGGTCCCGGTTCGAGATGAACGATCCTCTAGCTCACTGTCTTTCAACCAGAGAATGCGAACTGCGTCCAACAGCAGCAGTGCGAGCTTTGACACGAGCGACCCGGCCATGACACCAACCATGACTCGCGAAGAAGCCCTGGCCAAGATCCGCGAGAGAAGAGGACGTGCCAGAAGTACAACCAGAGGTGCAGCAACACCACAAAGCCGGCCGACGTCCGGTATGGGTCGACGGGTAATAAGCAACTCAACGGGCACGGTTGGAAGCAGATCCAGATCCCGGAACGCATGAGGCGTTTTCTTTTTTTCCTCTCTCTATTTTCATTTTCCCCTGTGCTTTGAATTTACGCAAATGGAGGGTACATAAAGGGTGGTTTAAGCGGCGACGTTTGGGTTTGGGTTGGGATGGGTTGGGTGGGATATTTATGAGGAGATGGGGTTTGTCAGCACCACTCATTCATCATCTTTACATTTTTCCCCTTTTATTTTTCTACTTCTTCTCTGTTTTTACAACTCTTCTCCCTCTTCTTCTTCTTCTTCTTCTTCTTTCTCTTCCAGTCATTCTTTCTCTATGTTCTTTTCCTCTTTTCTCTCATTCTTGCATAATGTCCAAAATGGAACGGGATAGGCAGGGGGGGCAAACTTGGAGCGCTGGCGAAGGCGGCGTTTTGGATGTCATGCTGTGCTGGCGTTTTGGTCTTTTCATCTCTGTTGTTTGTCTCTCGTTTTTATTTTGTACATGCCCTTGATAGGTTTTCTTTGACGTGGGAGAAAAAAAATGGTATGAGGGGCGTTTGCTTTTTTTGGTTGTTCTTTACTCTTTCTCAGTTCCTTGTTACATTTGCTTTGGTGTTTGATATTTTGAAATTGATTCCCAATTGCATAATTGTTAGGCGCTTGTGATTTCATTTGCATTGTGCTATTTCTTAGGTTTAGAAAAAGCCCATATCCATAATGGTACTGGAAAAGCGTACCATTACTACATATCTCAGAAAACTATTTCATTTGTTCAAGACTTTAAGGAATATATCCGATTCAAGCCAACATAGTTTGCCAACTTCACTCACACCGAGAGCCAGTATCATCATTCAAGCTCAGTAAACCACTTAATATAGACAAAGCAGAGAAATGTACAATTATCTCCAAAGATCTGGTATCGCCTCGTTCCCCCCAATCAAGCCAATCAATAACTCCCTTTACTCATTAAGTTTTATATACAAAGACCTCCTATTATTTTTCCTCCCGTTCCCTCCCTCACTATCCAAAATCAATCGCTAAGAAACTTTCTTGTCTTATTCCTACCCCTTTCCGAGCTCACGGCATCGATCTTGACCGCTACAAAAACGCACTCGACAGAGCTTTTGCCGCCCTTGCTCTCTTGGATACGTAGCCTGAACTGGCCCGTCTTGACGGCCCATTCCTGGCCCTCATTAAAAATGCCGATATCGATACTTTCACCTGTCCGGCGGCGCTTCCTGGGGTTTACAGGCGTCTCGGCATCGGGGGTGATGGCAGGAGTAGCCTCTTCGGCATCGTATCGACTAAGGTCTCCCTCATAGTCTTCGCCGTTGAGGATGATTGAAGACTCCGCTTCAAAGACAACTCGGACGAGATCCTCGCTGAGGGGAGTATTGCCTGGCGTGGCTGGTTGTGAACTGGCGCCTCCTGCGGCCATAAGGAGGCCCAGCGGCTGTGTGGTCGGAGGTAGGTTGAGCTTTGTCGCAACAACTTCCAGCAGTCTCGCCACCCTAGCCTTTGTGCCCCCAAAGAACTCGGCCCTGGCCCCCCCTGCTGAGAAGATGAATTTGCTTGTGGTTCCTCCAATCTCCAGTATCAACTCGGCCGGCTTATTGTCGACATATGGGCGCGCATACTTAACATGCCTGATAGAGGAGCGCGATGTTCCATCGGACTCCTCAGCTGAAATACTGACGCCACTCTTTTGCACATTCTCCAACCGCAGGACGATCTCTTCGATTTGGCGCAAGGGGTTATAGCTGATGGAGTGGGGAACAAGCTGCTGTTCAATGCCTTTAAAGTGGAAATATCGAGCGTCGCGAAGGAGCTCCTGGCGATGATTCTCGTCGCGGATACTGACTGGATACCCGCGCAACAAACGCAGCAGCTCGGCGAAGGTATCAGCGTTGCGATTAGGTACCGAAGGAGGAAGTATAGAGGGTGGACGTATCAACCCTTCACGATCGAGGCCGGGGAAGAGGTCGTTTGGTTGGGAGAAGAAGAGAGCGAAGCCGAGAGAGAAGTAGTTTGGGGAATTGGCAGGATCGTTGAGGACGTCGCGAGGAATCTGGAATTCTCGGTGGCCGATGGACATGAAGATGCTCTCCTCGTTAAGCTGAGAGATGAGCTTGGGAACTGTAAGTGATGAAGATGGTTAGCGCTTTGGGTATCCCGCAAAGCAGTTGGGAGCCATTGGGCTGAGGGGAGAAATGTACGGTTGTAGAATTGGGCGTCCGCAAATAAACGCACAAAGTGCGTCCCATCCCGCGGCTTCACATGATATCCTTGTAGATGCAGCGCGATGTCTCGAAACGTCTTGGGATCGCGATCGATGTACAACGTCCGTATCGAGCTCGAAGGGTCTTCGCCTTTCTGCTCTGCTACTCTGATCTGGCAGAGGAAGTATTGCGAGAAGTAGGACGGCGCTGTAGCATTCAGAAAAAGAGACAAGTTAGCAAACAAGGGTGCCGGGATCAAGGGCTAGTCTCGTCAAAGCAAGCCACGGCACGCGACGAACCATCGGAGGACAGAGATGCGCCAGACAGCTTGAACAGCTCGCCGCCAATCTGGATGGGAAAGACACGCTCTCGTGGCAGAATCTGCGGGATCTTGTGGACGTCGGCCCCCGAATGCAAAGGAAGCCCGGCCGTGCTGGGCGCCTCGCTCGGGCTCGCAGAAAGCATGGCCACTTCTCTTGGGGAGGCGGACATGGACATTGGAGAAGCGCCCGGTTTCCGTGTCTTTTTATAAGTGTTGCTCGTTCGTCTCCCAACTAAACACCGGCAACTGCGGCGGCAATGGCGGTAAATGCCAGTAGAGTACTCCGTACAGCAGAGGCACTGGTATGGGTCGTGAGAGCCCCGTCGCACCAGCAGAAGATGGCGATGGCAGGCGACGATGTTCGCCGAAGCAACTAGCAAAGCGGCGGATTGCGGCGTTCACTCCGGGATATTAGATGCCGATAAGCAGCCCCAGAGCGGCAGAGCCCCATTGCAGGGATGGCTGGACAAGCAAAAACGCAACGTCTTGGTTGCCGACGAAGGATTTGGAATAGGAGTGGAAGCTGACAAAGATAGTATAGTTGCAGAAGAAAAGAAGAGGTTTAATTTTGTTGTCTTTGCCTTGACCGATTGGGAAGTGCTTGGGAACTTGCAGTTCCAAGAAACATGAGCAAAAGGGAAAGAGGTTCCTCCGTGATTGCCAATACCCGCGCGCGTTTCTGACGTAACCAAAGTCTAAATCCTGATGGGGAATCTTCAGGGACCTTCAGGGACTTTCAGCGCCTTGTGAATGGCTCGAGAGTCTTCATGGAGGCTTCTTATGCGCCACCCGCAGCTAAGCTTGCTTCTATTCATTTCGCCATGATGCGAATAAAAAGAAGCATAACTATTGCCTATAATATTACCAGTGGTGGTGATGGTACGATACGGAGTAACGGGATCAGTACTAGGTTGTCTTTGACATCATTATCAATAGCTTAATCATACCGAATTGCCAACTGCAATGCGAGGGGTCCAATTGCTCGCCCCTCGTTTAGTTTCTATTAGCTTGTTTGCTTGTATTTCATTTACAGATACGGCGTCAACATGCTCTCAAACGGCATTGCTTTGCTCACTTGCTCATTAATTCCACCCCTCCTCGCACAACTCCCACCACTGCTCCCGTCTGGACCATCTCGCTGCCTCCTCCAGCAACTCTGTGCTCAATCTCCGCCAAGCCCTCTAGCCAGGTAATCATAACCTCTGCGCTCACCTCGAGTTTTGTCAGCTGCTCCATCAGTGCCGTGATAATGTCCGCCAGCGCCAGCCCCTGCGTCGTCTTCAGCGCATTAATAGTATTCAAACAGCTCGTCACGTCCGGCGTGCTCAAGAGCGTCTCCATAATCTCCTTGATGGCATCGGGCTGAGGCGCCGCAATGCAGTTGTAAATCGTTTCAGTCGTAATCGTCTCGCGCTGGATCTCGCTTTCCGGAGGCTTGGGTTCGTTCTTCAGCCTTAGTGGTGTGCCTATACGCTCCATGGTTAGCCCTGACCAACAAATACAACATCTGAGTGTACTGCAACTCACTTGATGCATGGCAAGCCTGAAGCACGTTCAATGCCCGTCGCATGTCGCCCTTGCTCAGCTTCACTAGTGCATCCACAGCTTCGCCCTGGATCTTGACATTCTCCTCCTCCACCACCTTCTCCACCAACACCCTAATATCCCCTTCCTTCAACGGACTGAATCGAAACCTCGTACAACGAGACAGCAGCGCGGGGCTGAGCTTGTGGGCGTAGTTGGCGATGATGCAGAACCGTGTGTTCGCCGTGTACTTTTCCATAATTCTTCGTAGTGCCATCTGTGCAGTGTTGGTCATGGCATCCGCCTCGTCCAGGATGATGAGCTTGAATCCCGCAATCGAACTGCTCTTCGCAGCACTGCTGCCCATGGAAAAGATTTGTTTTGTACTAGCAAACGTCTTAATCTGTTCTCGGACCACATCGATACCTCTGTCGTCGGAGGCGTTCAGCTCCAACACCATCTGCCGCATGTTGGCAGTACCGTAAATTCGTCGTGCTAGGGCTAAGATGGTAGATGTTTTACCCGTACCAGGAGGTCCGTAGAGAAGCAGGTGAGGGAGGCGATTCGACTCGACGAATTTGTTGATGGTGGCTAGGATGTCTTGGTGACCGGACACATCGTCAAGCGTTACTGGGCGATACTTTTCGACCCTAAAAAAGGCACTGTCAGTGAACCGCTTTGGTCAACATGTTTGCAAATGCATCTCCCTCGTACCATGGCAAGGTATCCTCAGCCTCAACTGGCAGATTGGCAGCACTTCGTTTGCCCTTGGTCGCCTCAGCTGAGAATGTGATATCGGCGGATGGACCAGGGCCATCAACGTCCATCTCATCCTGGTAGTCGGACATTTTGGCGGGCAATGGTAGTTGCAGGGGTGTAATCTAAGCCCCCTCAAAGCAATCCGACTAGGAATCTGGCTTTATAACGAGTTGGCCCTTGGGCGAAAAGATGCAATCGTCGTCGTTAATTTTTTGTCATGTGCAAAGTATGGAGCTGCACAAGCGCAACAGCTACACGCGCCGAGACGTGTTCTGCCCATTAAAACCCCTGCAACCGCGCCACAGCCTAGAGCAAGATTAGCCACTGTGAATACGGAGACGCCACAGCTCTCTCGCCAACAGCAATGTCCTTTGAACAAGATTGCACGATGCATCTACAGTACTCAATGTTCTTAATTACTACCCGTGGACCCGTGGAGCTACGTTAAATACCATTTAGTACCTGTCCTGTTTCTCACCATCGCATGTGATCTGGACAAATCTTGTATTAATTTCTCCTATTTCTTCAATCCCACCCAATACTCTTTCCAGTATACAAAAAGAAGATGAAAATGATAATAAGACAAGAATCATAAGAAGAAGAAGGAGAAGAAGAAGAAGGACTATTAGGATACATGTTCTCTCCGTTTATCGCGTCATAGTTGTCTTCCACATAATGCGACCAGTCGCCGTGCCAGAACAGAAAATATAATGGCTTCGAAAGTTCCCAAACTCGTGAAGCTAGAAAAGGAAAAGAAAAGGAAAAGAAAACACATGAAAAAGAAAACGCCTCCCATGTCCCTATGTTCGTCAAAATGGAGCGTGGAAACGATTTGCGCCTACCATGAATCAATTGAGCGCAACGGTCACTGCCCAAGAGCCCGGCCGTTCCACAGTATCACCGTACGGACAACGCCGAGACCAATGAAGCTAAATAGCATGGGAATTCCTGCCACTGCGAGCCACGATATTCCTGTCGTGATTGGTTCTCATTAGTGTATGCTCAGTATTCGCGGGTTGCACTATTAGACACCTACCTCCGTAAACGACAAGTTTCGTAACAACTTCGACATCGTATCTCACTCGCGGCTTCACCAGCTGAGAAAAGACCTCCTTCTCGTCACGCGCATCTTCCATGCTGAGATAAATATCTGGGTTCCCATTCTCTGTTCCTTGCAAAACCAAAACATCATTCGGGCCTCTCAGCAACTCATTATCATTAAACACCGGCTTCTGGGCACCTGAAGTCTGTGCCCCCTTGCCTGACTTGTCTTCGTCTTTGCCATTCAGATCCAGATTGCTTGATTTACTCTTGAGACTCGTGTTGCTAGAAATGCTGTCCCGGCGCTGTCGCTCCCGATATGCCAGGGTTTCGTATGCATCTGCCGCACTCTGAGGCCCAATAGAGACTGATCGTCCTCGAGTCGTAGGATGTCGAATACTCTCGACCATGCGAGGGAAATCAGAGGCAGTCGGGAATAGCGTATCCAACCGCGATCCGGGAGGCACAGACTTGTACTCGCTAGCGGGCGTAAAGAATCTTCGGGGCAGGTCAAAGCCTGTCGACTCGATGAGGCGGAATACATGAGGCAACACCTTGAGCAGCGTGGGCTTCATAGTCTCGCGCCAGGCAAAGATGGCAATGATTCCCACAACCATCCTCGCCGCTATAACCCATGATACATATGGCAGGACACCCATGCTGGACTCGGCGTGAGCCAGAAAAGACCTTCCGACGGTCCAAGTGCCGGCTTCCAGACCAATTACTACGCCGGCGAAGGCGACACTATCGTCGAAGCACGGGCAATCATCTGCAGGTTCGGGATGAATTCGTACAAAGATGACAACAACCAGGCCAGCAATGACGGGAACCAGCCAAGAGCCGTTCTGCATTGCGGCGTCCAACGGCGGCCCGTAATAGTATTCCAGGACGGTGATGCCGGCCCCCATTATAGATCCGATGATGACATCCAAGAATCCATGCATGCCGCAGTAAAGCCGCCCAAAGACAATCGATACAGCATAAAAATACGATAGGATCTCGAGGAGTAGCTTTGTCGTCTCGGAAAAGGTGTTGTGGGGATCGCGCAGGTGTAGGAGGGCGTAGACGGCCACGGAAACTGCATTGGCACTATGCGTCGAAGGGAAGCCGTACTCGAGCGCTGCGGATCCAGACATGGTGATGCGGTGGAGGGGCGGCGACAGCGGCCGAGGCAGCGAGTAGAAATCCTTGATGAAGCCTGTCCAGAAGACACCCAGCGCCAAGATGTGAACCAACCTGCGCCGACCACATTAGCAATCCCAAGCCCCAACTCACATGGCAGACAAACAGCAGTGATTGCTGCCGCACTCTGAACGAAGCAGATTCCTCATCTCCAAACATACCCCTTGGCAAAGGCCGGATAGCCACCCCAGAACAGCATGGGCAGGAAGACCATGAAGAAGGTGTGCGTGCCGAGATTAGCCGTAATGGCGAAGTAGCTGTCGAGCGCCGGCGTGCGCAACTTGCTCTGGAGAGCAGCCAGATACGGCGTCTCCCAGCGGATGAGCGGGAGTGCCTGTTGTCGCAAGTTATATCTCCATTTTGGCAGCGCTCTTTTATCTACAGGTGGCCTTGTGTCAGTGCATGCGTCTTGTTGCGTTGGGATGTCACCATCCCCTCTCATTACTCCTCTCGTCTGCGCTCCAGCTACGACACCTCTTCCCCCATGCTTGATCCTCTCACGGCCGTCGCACAACACCGATTCTGCTCGTAGATTGTCTTCATCCCCACCATCACCAGGAGCTGTGTTAAACCTACAATGATCGAGGCTTCTCAGCCCCGCGTCGGGGACGCTGTCCTTGTGCTTGTGATGCGGCGGGGCATCGCGTCGCGTGCCGCTCATGGTGGGAATCCCAGGCAGTCGACAGCGCTGTCAGGGAGGATCTCAATGTGTCGTGAGACGAGATTGGGCCCCGACATGGAGTGACCGCGGAGGGAGTGACAGCAGAGTAGGCGGAGGGAAAGCGAAGACGTGGCCCGGAGTCCGCAGTTTTTATTAGTGAGATGCGATGCGACGAGCCCTGGCGCAAAAAAAAAAAAAAAATCGCACTGAAGTAAAAATGGCTTGGAAGCCACCAAACCCTGTAAGCCTCGTGCTCCAGCAGTTATTTACAGCGAGACTCTATCTGTGCTGGATATTAATCACAGCCACCACGACTAATACGAAAAAAAAAAAAGCCAAAAGGAACATGCCCATTTTCCAAGTTGGCCTAGCTGCCGAGGGATTTACCAAATTGGGTGCTTCATTTTACCACAGATAGCGTTATGCCCGGCAAGCCAAGATAAAGGTCGACGAGGCTTCCGTCCGCTTTGGTTACCTCAATGTGCTGTAGATCCCTTCCAGCGCTACTCCGCACCGAGGCACGGCCTGTAAGCCAAGGGTCCATGTCCAATTGCGTGCGCTTTGCGTAGACCCGTAGCCGCTTTTGAAACGGCCAAGGGCTGTATTATTGCAGGGTACTTGTAGTTTCTGTGATATTTGGCGGCTATAAGCGCTTGTGGAATCACAGCCGGCTGAATTGCATCACATTGAATCAATCAATGCTATGATATTCATGTATTCCAGGTTCCGTCTCATGAATCACATGCATCGTCACTTACAGCGCCTTTAGTGGATCAGTGGATGGCTTCAGGCCCCAGATCCCCCACTGATTCCCCAAAACAGCACCGAGCATCTGCCGCTCTAAAGCATTGACCAGAGTTCATTGAACGCATCCTCAGCCCTAAATCCAACATACATAATCAAAACCCCGACGCAGCTCAACACCATGGCGCTGCCCTTTGCAGGCAAGCACTGCGTCGTCGTCGGAGCCACCGGCGTCATCGGGTCCTCCATAGCAAAGGCATTTTCCCACCAAGGCGCCGTCATCTCTCTGCTCGGCCGCTCTGCCCTCGATGCGCGCCCCCGTCTGGAGCCGCAGCTTCGTCCATACAGCCTACCCGGGACCGATACGGCCATTGCCATTCCCACAGCTCACCAGTTTATTCGACTGGATGCTTCGGATCGGGAACAGATTAAAGCAGTGTTTGGTTCACGCAGCTCATCCAAGGTAATTAATTGTCTGACATAATTAAAGGATGGGAGGGAGGGGAAGAAGAAGAAGAAGACTATTGAAAACTTGGCTGTATACAGCACGTACCGCATGAACCTCTTATAATTAACTGGATATATTCGTGTATAGCCTCCAGATGGCACGACCATCGGACCCATTGATATTCTCGTCAACTGTGCCGGTATCTCCCAGACCACCCTACTGAAGCGAACGCCAGATGAAGAGCTCTCAGCCATCGTCGATACAAACTTACTGGCCACTATGCTTATATGCAAGCACGCAAAGATGAGGCCAAACGGTATGCTCCCTCTCCATGATGCTGCTAGTTCATCCTATTGTAATCCTCTGCCCAATTGACACTCACATCTTCCTCCTAGGCTGCATCATCAACATCTCTAGCCTCATGGCTACAAAGGGTGGACTGGGGGCCACGGCTTATGCTGCGTCCAAGGCCGGTGTAATTGGTAAGAAGGCATCATGCCTGCATCTGTGTTTTCTTTCTTATATTAAATACAATGTTTTACATACATTTTGTGTAGTGGGATGCTCATATCATCTTAGGCTTTACCCGTGCCTTATGCCGTGAGATGGCGTCTCGCTCTATCCGTGTAAATGCTCTGCTGCCCGGCTGGGTAAATGGCTCCATGTGGACTGGTATGTATATCCTCCCCCCTATATCCTCTTCCATAGACACACAATGCTTGTTCCTCTTGTACCCAAGCTAATGTACAACCAATATTAGATCTCAAGCCAGAAATCCAGCAAGCCTACCTCAAAGACACTCCTCTCAATAGAGTGGCTGATCCCACAGAGGTTGCTGATGCCGCTTTGTTTCTGGCGTCCAACGGCTTCGCCAACAATTGTATCCTCAACCTCGACGGCGGGCTGAGTGCTGCTTGAGAATAGCGCAGCAGCTTCTTTAACGCTCAATGCAGCAATGTATCTCATTAATCATCGATGACGATGGCTCCACCGGCGTCTTCCACAACCACAACATCATCAGCTGAGCCGACAATCTTGGCTTTTTTGAAAGGAGGGCTATCAGCATCGGGAAGCGGTCTTTTGATGCCTTTAGACTCCTCTGACATCTCATCATCCAGGGAGTGTTTTCCGTTTTGTTGCCCATGGCCATTGCCGTTGGTCTCGACTGGAGAGGATTTCTGAGGCCTGTGGGGGATTTCAGGACGGCCAGCATGCACCGTACGGAATGACTCTCTTTGGTTATCCAGGATGCTGTAAACGATTAGCTTCTTTCTTGTAGCAACATCTTTTCATATTACATACCCATTTTGAATATCAATCACCAAATTGACGAGTGGAGCATCCTCATCCTCATCGGTGACAGTTAGAAAACTACCTCCCTTGATTCCTATAAGGTCGTCAGCTTTGTTGCAATGCGAGGGGGGAGAGAGAATCGTTAAAATGCCATACCAAGCTCCGTGAGTTTCTTTCCGAGATTTTCTGTCTCGTCCGGGTCATACAACACACCCACGTCGTTGCTCACTACAAACTCTTTGTCTCCATAACCAAACTGGTCCTTTACCAGGCCCTCGACAATATCCTCAAGTGTTGCTCGGGACAAATCGGCAATGACACTGGTGTAATAAACCCCACAGACGGGGCATTCGCGGTTTGGTTCTCGATTCTTATCTGGAGCTAGCAGTCTTGCATTGGCAAAGGGCGTTAGGAATACTTCCTTAGCCTGGCCATATTCTCCTTTGAGCACTTTGAAGGACTGCAAGACACAGAGACCTGCAACAATGGCGTTTGTTGTGGCAATAGCTGGTATGATATTGCCGGCCATCTGCTTGATGTCGAAGCGAGACTTCAGATCGATGCCAAAGACTGTGGAACGAATGTTTGCACTGGATGCTACAAAGTCTAGAGTATCGTCGTCGTCTTTGTCAAAGGTGATGGTTGGCTCAGGGGCAGAAGAATCCTTAGTCGCCTTTAGTTGAAGCAGTCGCTTGCTGAGCCGGTCGAGACTGTCATTGAAGACAACAAGACTCTCTTCAAGGGACCAAGCTTTCTGCCCGTCCGCCAGTATGACATCTTTTGATTCAACAGCCTGGCTGGCTCGCGCCAACACTTCATCATACTTGAGCGCTTCAGGAGCGCGACGCGATTTCCACATGTCTTCCACAGATCGCAAACGCTCGATGTCGGAATTAAATACCTTGTCGAATAGCAATTTTGGAAATTCAGGTGTTCCTATTGCTTCTCGGATTTTCTTGAGAGCCTCTGACTCTTTCTTTAATTCTTCGATTTCTTGGGCTATACCTTTTATTCAGTATGAAACCTCTCCGTGCGTCCCGCAAGGTGGATGACCTACCGTTATCCGCATCCGCTGAGTGATCAAAAGCTGATTCGTCCTCACTGACGCCAAAGATTTCACTGCGTAGAAAGTTTTAGAAAAAAATAGGGTATGTCGGATGTAGGGAGAGGCCTCTTACTTGAGTAGATAGCTTTTGCCCCAAACTATGCAATGAATCGGCTGGCTTGGTGTGCTTCGAATAGTACAGACGGGAAAGGATTTGGGCGTATCCTTAGGACTGCAGTCGTAACAAGCAGTGATGCCCTTTTTGATGACCTGGACTTGGCCATTGAAACCAGTCGTTCCGCTCTCAATTAGAGGAACATCTGCAGCCAAGCACATCTTATTTACATGTCGTCTAGCGTCGAGGTTGTCGAGGGCATTGAAAACGATCTTGAAGTCACGAAACCACGGAACGCTGAACTCGGGGTCTTTGATGTTGGCATGATGAGCGACGATCTTGACGTTCGGATTGAATCGTTGTGCCGCCTCCTTGGCAACCTGCCCCAGCAGTTAGCATTGCGAAAGCCAGCCCATCTCTAGCGTCACCTCGGCATCCAACGCACCAGTGACTTTGACTTTTTGATATGCTCGTGTCGGAAGAGGAATTGTCGGTTGAGGTTGGACAGGTCGATCGTGTCGAGGTCGACGATGTGAATCTCGCCGAAGCCGTTGAGGACGAGGTTTTTCAGAAGCTCGCATCCGATACCTCCAGCGCCCACCATGAGCACTCGCGCCTGTGGCCCAAGGTTAGTGTCCAAAACCAAATCAGCTGAAAAAGAAGCGAAGCAAGCCAAAAAATGTAAATTTAATAGCAACAGAGGGAGGGGATAGCTCGGGTTGGGAGGGGGAGCTGGCTGCTGATGTGGGTTCAGATCGCGGGACAGCACAGGCTGAGGTCGCGAGACCACAGCCTCGTCATCAACGTACATGCTTGACCGAGGAATTCAGAGATGCGCCGAGTGACTGGTGATTAAATCGATCGCGCGTGGCCATTGCGCTTCGCTGAGGAGGTGCAGGATGTGACGCGACGATCCGCCGTGGGTGCTGAAGCTCTTGGGCAGCGGTGGCAGCAGCAGCAGTTGACGTGCTTTCGACTGAATCCACAGCAGCCTCTCTGGGAGCCTCCATCGCTGCCATCAGCGCGGGTGAAGGGCACTGCGGCAGGGAATAAAAATAGCGGCGATGGCAGGAGATTCGGGCGTCGGATTTGGGGATGGAGCTCGAAGGCGATCTGTCGCAGGTGAGGCAGAGGGCGTCGTATCGATTGCGCCAAACCCGTCACTTTTTCAGCTGTTGGTCTGGCGATGCTCGGCGCAGGTGCAGCTCCAGGTCTTCAAGTACAAGGTACGAGGCAGTCGAAAAGTCGAGTTGCGACCAATTAGATGAGGTCAGAGGCCCGGGGAATATGTCCGAGGGGCCGTGCGCTCCGAGCGCGCTGATTGGTTGCGCTAAGATAAGGGATTGGCGGGAGTGACTTGAGAGCAAGGCTGTGTGTTCCTGGCTGGACGTTGACATTTTTAATTTTTATTCTTATTTTTATGGATGGATGTATGGGATACTTGAGAGTGATATGAAAGAAAAGAAAGCCGAAAAAAAAAAAAGTATTTGATAAAGCGCCATAGACAGTAAACTGCTGCAACCGGATTTTGCAAGTCTTTTTGGTCCTGATAATCCACTACACCCCAAATTCCAATACTGAAGAAAAGCCCTGATTGGGCTCTGTAGACAGAGTACTCGGCTCAGCGGGGTGCTATTCACAGCGCTGCCCACTCAGGCCTGAAGCGCTTTTGACCTTTCCAGTGAACGAGATTTTAGCCAGGCTTCACTTGACTATTTCATTCTATTTTCATGATACTTTGAGAGAGATAAAATCCGCCTTCGCACACTCATTTATCCCCTTCCTCTTCGCATCATGTCAGATGACGAGGTAGATCTCGAGCTTCTCGCTCTTCTTCGCCAGCACCTGCAAGGCGTCTCCATCAAAGACGAAGAGCCCGAGACAGGCGTCCTGCCCGACGCCGAATATGTCTACAACCATGGAATCGATGTAGCCATCGACATGTTGGCGACAAAGCGGGCCGCAGAGTCCATCTATGCGCAGATGCAGGAGAAGAGCTATTCCACCTCCACCTGGTCATCGCACGAGCTGCATCCCAAGGCCAAGGATGAAGCCACAGCCGCCTTCATTTTCACTATGGACCTGCTCAACTTTTCGTTTTGGTCTGAGCTGCCTGATGACGAGAGGTTTGCTATTGAGTACAAGGGGAAGCGGTGGACGGGATACTGGAGTCTTGTAGCGGCCATGCAGAGGGCCCTTGAGGAAGGTTGGTAGAAGCCTTCTTATGCTGCGAATTCATAACCATCAGCTTCTCACACTGACTCTGGCTAGACATCCCCATCACGGATCCTCACTTCTGGCAGAATGAAGAGGAGTGCAACCTGGATTCGCTCAGACATGTCTTTAGATCCTGCACAGAGGAAGAAATGCCTCTTCTCCAAGAGCGACTGGACTGTCTCCGAGAAAGCGGCAACGTGCTCTACAGTGTAAGTCGTACCCTTCTCATAAACGATATGTACAGAATTAAACTCTAACTCCATGACCGAAAGAAATACAACTGCTCCGTTGTCAACCTCATTTCCGCAGCCAACGGCTCCGCGGCACAGCTCGTCAACCTGCTCGCCAGAGACTTTGATTGCTTCAGAGATGAACACCCCTTTGAGGGCAGACGCAACCCTATCCGCATCATGAAGCGCGCCCAGATCTTCGTGGCCGATATATGGGCTTGCTTCGAGGGCAAGTCATACGGCGAGTTCCGCGACATTGACAAGATTACAATGTTTGCCGATTACCGCGTGCCGCAGATCCTCTCAACCCTCGGCGCATTATACATCGGTCCGCAGATCCACGCGGCGATCCGCGATAAGAAGCTTATTGAAAGCGGAAGCAAATGGGAGATTCAACTAAGAGGTAAAAGTCTAAATCAATCAAGTATCTGTGAAGCCTCTTACTAACATTGTTACAGCTTGCAGTATTTGGTGCGTCGAGTTGATACGGAGGGAGATCCAGAAAGCCCATCCCGAAACTCATGTCAATGCTATTTTGATTGATTTCTTCCTCTACGACACAATGAAAGAGATGGAAGCAGAGGGTAAAGAAACTATTCCTCATCATCGAACACGGAGCATCTGGTACTGATTCCACGTCTTGCTTGGGGCGGGACTTGATCAACCGCACACGATTGAAGCATAACACCTCAAATTATAGAACAAACCCACAATATCTCCGTATATCTGCAAAGATAGTACACAAATCAATTCACATACCCATCATAGCTCCAATATAAATCATCAAGATAAAAAAAAAAGAAAAAAGATTACACCCAACGCCACGACCCAGCCCCCAGCTAATTTCTGCTCATGTAAACAAAGCCGTGGCATTCATTATCCGATCCATATGCGCAGTCTCGACCTCATCGTTCTCTTTATTCTCCTCCTTCACAAGAACCGCCAAAACTTCAATTGGGGGGTTCATGCCAAGACGCTCAGCTCGTTGCCACCGCTTCACACGAGTGATTCCTATGCAAGGCTGCAGGAAGTCAATGTTAACGTACATCCAATTCAAGCATGTCGCATCTCGAAATGGGAGGGAAGTAACTTACACCATACTGCGAGCTCACATCAAAGTATCTCAGTACTTTCTCGCCCAAATCAAGATCCTCCTGGTGCACTCGAGGCGCCTTGCGCTCCTTCTCAATCGCTTTCCAGTACTTTTTGATCTGAGCATCTGTGATCTTCTCTGCTTTGAGCTCTGCTTCCGTTTTCTCTGGAGCTTTTTCAGCAACAGGCTCTGCTTCCGCCTCCGACTCCTCGTGGGCCTCGGGCTCTTCTGCGACAACATCGACAACATCGACAACTTCCTCCTCCTCTTCCTTCTTGGGGACTTCGTCCTTTGACGCTGGCCTCTCTGGGATGGTAGTTCTAGCAATCGCAGGGGTATCCGTCACTGCTTTCTTCAAATCTTTGGGCACGGCCTTTGTAACCCTGCCCGAGAAGCTGATTGTTGACTGTCCCTTGGCAGGGCCGGGACGACCCCGGGCGGCCGCTGCTGATCGTCTAGTGGTAGGCATTGTTCGATGTTGATACCCTGTGACGCTACTGAATGCCGATACAGTGCAACAATTATTCCGCCAATTCGATGAGTATGATTGGATTACTGGTATTAATGCTTTTGCGGTATGTGCGGAATGTATACACAGCCAAGATGGGCGGTAAATGAGATGCAGGAACACTGGCGATCAGGGTGGAGTTCCGTGGTTGTCTGCCTGCTTGTAATGTGGATGATGGGGAGAAGATGATGCTCAATTTGGCGCTAAGGTTTGGCGGGGCAACGCGAGACTGGAACGATGTCACGTGGCAGCCGCAATGCTTCAATTCGCTTCTGTACTTTGTCGAGATCACACATCTAATCACGTGGTGTACTTCATCGCCGAGGAGCAGGATAAAGTCCAATTGCACAATTCAACATGCTGTGTATCCCTTCTAATGCTCCTGTACCGCCTGTAAGAGCTCTAACTGCCTGTCGCCTCCCTGTAGAATGAGATGCTCCTGTTTGCGCCGGCGGTGCAAAACATCTCGCTACGCCCGGTCTTGGGCAGCCACCGAACGGCCCAGAGTGCCTTGTCCGTCTCACTATGAGTTGCAACGCAAACGCCGCGCTCGATTGACCACACCTTCACTTTGCCGTCCATAGAGCCGCTGAGGAGATACTCGCCAGTATCGCTCCAGTCCAGTGAAGTGATCCATGATGAGTGCCCTGTCAGGTTGCCGACGTGTTCGCCGTGTTTTGTATCGTATATGGCGATGATGCCAGCATCGCCCGCCGCTGCCACCCTGGTGCCGGCAGGCGATATGGCTACGGCCCGGACGGGTTTGGCAAGACCTGTGAATTCACGTTAGCCTCAAGAGTGAATAGAATCATCAAACTTGAAGACGGGGTGTAACCTACCGGACAAGGAATATAGAATCCTTCCCGTGTCATTGTTGAACACGTAGACCGAGCCGTTCTGGTGCCCGCTGGCTGTGAACTTTCCATCTCTGCTGAGGTCCACGCACATACCAAAGCTGCCCGAACCCGCGCTCCCGGTCTCGTACTCCCGGATCTTGGCTTTGCCCTGGTCTGCGACATCCCATACGTTGATTCTGCCGTCACTTGTGGTGCTTGCTAGATAGCCTCCATCCTCGCTGAGAGCAATCGCCCACACTTCACCTGGCTTGACAGTCGGGCCCGTGATCTCACCGCCGCTGCTCCAGTCTCCAGTCTCCTTGTTCAGCTCCCATATCTTGACCTCACCCCCGAAGCCAGCACTGGCGGCATACAGGCCGTTGCGTGATGTGCAGACATGGTGGCAGCCTAGTTTGTGGGCGTCTGGGATGGACTGTCTCAGAGGAAAGGAGGGATCCGCAGTGTCATGGACATGGAGCGTTGAAGAGCCACTGGCCGAGAGCAATGTCCTTGGCGTTGCGGCCAGTGAGAAGATGTCTGTGATGTGGGCTGGGGATCACTCATTAGCTGCTTAGCTCTCGTCGAGCGAAATGACGACGACAAACCGTCATCCACCGTATGGGTGGTCAAGTATTGCTTGGACTATATAGTCGGATAAATGAGCTTCTGTGAAATCATATTAGATTTTACGAGGGCCATACCATTGTTGCCTGCCTGCGATGTTGCTGTTGCTTGGAGGTTGTTTTTGGCTGGGCTGTGGTAGAAGCTGGGTGCCTTTGCGAGTTGGTGGGGTTAAATGGCCCGCTACAATACCAGCGTCAGATGCAAAGGCCAAGATGCTGTAAAACAGTGAATCACGCAGAGAGGTTTCTTTCATTTAATTTGTGCCAATGAATTGCAATTGGATAAAGTTAGCCACCAAAGAAGATTTCTCCTCTTTTATATAACTGGCAGATTGCGCAGAGTTTTTAAACTAGTTACTCTATGCGTATGTATCACTTGACAGAAACGGGCAAAACGTTGTTCGCATGTTCGTAATTTTTTTTTGTACATGTTTAGAATATTGCTTTTCTGCCACCCGATTCTCTATCCCGATCCTCATACTAGTAGTACATAATGAAACAGAAGCCTTGGCCAAGGCAAACGCCAGCTGTATGCTTGGTCAGGCCGAGGTTGTGATATACAGGCCGTTGGTAAGATGTCGGATGGAATCCAGTCGTCTATCGCTTAGAACCCTCTGTTTGCAGGGTAATCCTGACGCCATATTCTCTTCATGTCTAGATTCAAGAAAAAGAGTCGTTAGTATTGCATAAGTCGAAAGACTTCCAAGTTTCATAGCCATACCTTCCAAGCAGTTCTGGCATAGCCTATGCGTCCTCTTGATCTCTCCGCAGCCAGGGCATTTGCACAGATGATTGACATCCTTCAGAGCCTTTCCAGCCATCTGCCTTGATCTCTTCTTGGAGTGTGAAACCTTGTTCTTGGGCACTGCCCGCAGGACTGATTCCCAAATGTCGCCAAGCAGTCCGGGGAGATTGATGGTGACGCCGGGGACGGCGATTGATAATGCTGGAAGGAACTTGAGGGTATATTGTGTGGTGTAGAAAGTCGCCCAGCGGGAAACGGAGAAAGAGAGAGGCGGCGATAGCCGGGGGAGGAAAGCGGTGGCCATGGCAGCCATTGTGATGTTTTGTTCTTGTTATTCGATGTCGTTTGGCGCAAAAAGCAGCTCGATTGTGCGCACAGAGAACCCAATTTCTGATTCCCCAATGCAAAGCCCGCCGCGGGTAAATATTCCTCCTGCCTTATCAAGAAAATTCAGAGCTCGCTGCTGTATATCGGATCGTCGTTTTGTCTCGTTGGCGGTTCGGTGCGGGATTCGATTTGTCGTGGCTCATTGGCAATGCGCCTATCAAGAAAATCGAATCATCAAAATCTTGCTTCTAGCAGCGTATCCCACCTTAGGTACTAGCATGAAGTACCTAGGTACCTCCAAATTCCCTCCAATTCTGGGGCATTGATGGATGTACCAAGTACCGAAGTACAACGGCTCCTCGCAGCGCCACTTTTCAGTAGCCAAACGAACCAATAGCAGATCGGTGGATCCCGCTATGACACTGCAACCAATCAGCAGCTCCCAATGCTCTGCTACCCCTGGCACCTCTTTCCCCCCCTTTCTCGTGTCCCTGGCCTGCTCCTGCCCCTACGCCGAAATTATTGCAGTTACCTGGCAAAGCAAGAACACGCCAACTGGTCCAGTAAGAGTAAGGAGCCACCGCCAGGTCCAAAAAGTTCCCCTTCTCCAGTTCACAAACCTCCAATTCCACTTCAATCAGGTTCCCGCTTTGTCACTGCCGGCCTCGCGTCTGCTGTTTCCCACGCGTTTTCGCTGAAAGCTCCCGTTCGTTTCTTGGAACAGGCTCATTAGCAGCATCCATCATCGCCTTCATTCGTTTGCCCCCTACCACAATCAGTCACAATGGCGACTCCCTCCACCATCACGCCTTCCAGCCATGTCGGTTTCGACAGCATCACCTCGCAGATTGAGCGCAAGCTGCTGAAGCGCGGATTCCAGTTCAACGTTATTTGCGTTGGTAAGTTGCGCACGCGCTGATCATGACTGTGCACGAGGCGCCGAATGGGACCACTAACTGCCTTCGCAGGCCAGACTGGCTTGGGCAAGTCGACGCTCATCAACACCATCTTCGCCTCGCATCTCATCGACTCAAAGGGTCGTCTGCAGCCCGACGAGCCCATCCGCTCCACCACCGAGATTCAGGGGGTCTCTCACCTCATTGAGGAGAACGGTGTCCGTTTGAGGCTCAACATTGTTGACACCCCTGGATACGGAGACCTTGTCAACAACGACCGCTGTTGGGATCCCATCGTCAAGTACATCAAGGACCAGCACTCCGCGTACCTGCGAAAGGAGCTTACCGCTCAGCGAGAGCGATACATTCCCGACACGCGCATTCACTGCTGTCTGTTCTTCATTCAGCCCTCTGGCCACTCCCTCAAGCCCATCGATATCGTCGTCTTGAAGAAGCTGTCCGATGTTGTCAACGTTGTGCCCGTCATTGCCAAGGCGGATACCCTGACTGTCGAGGAGCGCTTGGAGTTCAAGGAGCGTATCAAGGCCGAGTTTGCCTTCCACAACCTCAAGATGTTCCCGTACGATAACGAGGAGTTTGACGACGAGGAGCGAGCTTTGAACCAGCAGATCAAGGTATGCATATGATTTGTTATCTCTCCCCTCTGTATTCCTTTTTGTTATCGCTTAGAGAGCGTTTTGCTAACACACCAGTCTGCAGAGCTTGGTTCCTTTTGCGGTTGTTGGCTCTGAGAAGAACATCATTGTCAACGGCAAGCAAGTCCGCGGTCGTCAGAACCGCTGGGGCGTCATCAACGTTGAGGATGAGAACCACTGCGAATTTGTCTACCTGCGAAACTTTTTGCTCCGAACCCACCTCCAGGACCTTATCGAGACCACCTCCCAGATTCACTACGAGACATTCCGTGCCAAGCAGCTGCTTGCACTGAAGGAGAGCAGCGCACACGGTGGTGGTGCCGCCAGCAGACCGATCAGCCCTGCTGCTGACCGTGAGATGAGCCGAGGCTCCCAGCGAATGGGCATGAATGGATACTAAGCTTTCGCTCTGTGCTTAATATTCGGTTGGTAGGGAGAGCGATGGCGTCTCTGGGCGGTAACGGTGATGAGCCAGTCTTGCGATATTTTCACCTCGGGATTGGTGTTGTCCGCAGTAAAGGGAAAAAGCAGTGTATTTTCTATTTTGGAGAAGTGAGGATTGGCTGTCTCGCACCGCAATCCGGCTCAACAATGGCCTTGTTCGCATCGAACAAGGGCACGAGAGGTGAAAGCACTGAGAGACGACATGCGATCGAAAACGACTGGGCGCGTATACCAGCCACGCGATGTTTATAAGGGCGGCATGCACTGTGGCTATTGTGAGCCTCTCAGTGGCCCGACGCACCTCGCCTACGGTCCTTTTATACGCCTTTTATTTTGTCTTTTTTTAGTAGTATCATCGGAGCCTTCCTTGACCATTTTTCTTACGTTTTAATCAGATCCCCATACCTGTACTTCCAATATACCTACAGTTAGTTGAGTCGTCTAGGAAGAGAGTGGCAGAGTGTGGAGAGATAGAGAGAGTATGATATGTTGATTAATTTTGCATTTTCTCTTTGCTTTTATGGTTTCAAGCTAGCTTTCTATTTCGTGTGAATCAATTGGTGACCGTTGCCGCTTTTAGCTGTCTAGAGCAAGGGAATTGTTGCGTCGAGTCTTTGATGGGTATTTTCTAATAGGTATTTTCTAATAGGAAGGGATACATGTCTCTTTTACGCCTGAGGGCTGTAGACAAACTCCTCAAACTTCTTGTAAGACGCCTCGAGGTCGTCGTTGACAATGATGATGTCGTGAACGCCGGGAGTCTCTGAAAAGTCGAGCTCCTTTTGAGCCTGAGCCAATCTCTCCTGGATGCTCTGCTCTGTCTCAGTGCCTCGTCCCCGCAGGCGCTCCTCCAGAGTCTTGATGGACGGAGGAGAGACGAAGATGTAGCGGGCATCGATACCGGAGTTTTTGATTTGCTTGACGCCCTGTTTTTGCCATGCGTTAGCTCCCCTCTGTGCTTGATTTACTTGCAAAACTATAGACGGATGCTAGGTCTCATGGCGGCTGTGTCGTACCTCCATCTCAATGTCCAGCAGGACGACCTTGCCCTTCTTGGTCTGCTCCTCAATGGTCATCTTGCTGGTGCCGTAGCGGTTGCGGCCGTACTTTGCGTGCTCGACGAAGCCGTCCTTGGCAATGAGGTCCTCGAAGTCCTCCATGGTGACGTAGTGGTAGTGGACGCCATGCTCCTCACCGGGGCGAGGGTCCCGGGTGGTGTGCGAGACGGAGAGGCAGAAGGTGTCTGGGTGGCGGTCGAAGAGCAGGCCGTAGAGGGTTCCCTTGCCGACACCTGAGGGGCCGGAGACGACGATGGGGCGGCGGTCAGGAGGAGCTGGAGATGGGAGAGAGAGTCAGCTGTTTTTTGTTCGTTGTTTGGGGAGGATTGGCAGGGCTGGCGAGTGGGGCTTACGGGTGGCCATTGTGCTGAGATACTTGGCTCTCGAAAACTGCGAGATTGAGCGGCGGAAGGATGATATCGCTGGGAGCTGGAGGCGGGGAGGCATATGAGAGCCGCAGGCAGATCTGGAGGGGTTGCTGGACAGGATCGCGGGATCTGAAGTCGCTGTCGCACTAACTACTACGGTATTGGAAGGGCAGAAAAAAAAGTTAGGGACCCATCCTAGGTCGCTGGCAATGACTCCCCAAACTCTACGGGCAGGCGGTGAGCGCGTGGGATGCCGGGCCAATCAAACGCGGGGTTAGGTGGCATTGATTACCCTGAAGAGCAAATGGGCCGGCCGTCTTACTGCTTTGGTCCTCCACCAGCCCCTAAGTCGGCAACTCGCCAGGGGCCTGGACGCCTCTGCTCATCTCATTTTAATTTTCCCTGTGCTGCAGAAGCGAGATTCTGGGGACGTTGAGGCGCTGGAACCACCAAGACCTTGGCGTGCTACCGGCAGTGTTTTTTCTGCAATGGACGTTTTGTGATATGAGATGAAAATGGCTTCGCCACACCGTGCCAAGCAGTCCAGTATATTAACATGGACCCTCCTGTTCTGTTGCGGTTCGAATAAGGTTCCAATGAGGTCATTGAAGAGGGCTGTGAAGAGACACAGAGCCGCGAAAAAAAGCTTCTTTGCTTTATTTCCCATTCTAAACGCCCCCTGACATGATACGAGGAGATCAGACCCGGCGCCAAGCTAGCAGCCAACCAGCGCAAACAAAGACGCCGTTCCCGAGGGTGCTCGTACCTGCAGCTGTCGCAGAGAGATGCAGCACACGGGGCTACTTCGTTGTTAATAGCGGAAACGTGGTAAGCGTAATAGGTGCATACTAGGTACCGTTTGTGCTCTCCATTTGATACGAGTACCTGCTATAATGGGCTGCACTGGTACTGTAAGCGGGGGGGTTTTGTTCTATTGACCTTATTTAGCCCAAGCCCAAGACTCGCTCGGTGTGAGCGAACGGGGAGGGGTGCGGACACGAGAGAGGGCTTTTTTTTTTTATTAGATTCTCGTATGCATCTTTTGACCAAGATGGTACATGGTCGCCTGTACAGTACCGTACAGGACGGTACTATAGGTACCCTGGTACTAATGTAGGTACCTCTATGCAGGTACAATGGAAGCGAGAATGAGTTAAATATCTTGGTATTTGCTATTTTGCCATGGACGTGGGTTGACGAGAGCCCGGGCCAGGCAGGCTCGCCACATGAGTAATGGTGGCATGGCAGACCTGGACGGGCCAAGAGGCCAACGAACGGTGAGAGAATATGAGAGGAGCAGCAGAGCTCGGCTGCATTTTCGCATTGTCATGGTAGATGGCGCACAAGAGAGATAAAAAGGAGATGGAGCAGATGATGGTGATGGTGATGGTGACGACTCTAGCAGTACTGAATGGTAAGAAAAAAGTAGATACCGTAATACCAAATTCATGCTGATTCCATTAGCCTGTCTCACGAAATCCAAAACGCCTCCATGGTATCAACTCTTGATCCAGGATCAGCATCACCATCTTGGATCTGCAGCAGCAAACCAGTCCAGCAATCCAGCAATCCAGCAAATCCCATTGTTTGATTCAACCGTTGCAGCGGGGCCCCGCCCGTTCCTGGCCTACCGCCACTAGCGCTGCGACATGGTGCCATCAGGTGCTCCATCAGCTCTGCCTTTAGGTGCCATTAGGTGCCATTAGCAGCCTCTGCAGCCCACTAGCAGCGCCTTCGACCCCTGGCCCAGCACTGCGTCTGCGTCTGCGTCCCTTCTTGGCCGTGCAAAGGGTCGTTTCGTATTGCAATTGGCCGCATCTCTCTTGTCCGCCCAGCCCAGCCCAGGGTCTCTCGTCTCTCGTTCCAGCGAGTACTTGTACGCCTACAGCCCTCCCGCCGCCAAACATTCCCTTCAAGCTCCGTCAACGACACGCTCGCGCTCGTTTCAACGCTCGTTCACTCGTTTCGCCCGTAGACGCATCTCGGGCACCTTTGGGAAGCGCTTCTTTTTTTGTTGCTTCCAGTCACTCTTTTAGCAGAAACCTCGAGTCGCCGTTGCTTCTTTCCTTTGGCTTCCGTGCCCTCCCGACTGCTTTCGCATCGCATCATCACTCATTTAGCTACTGCTACTGCTTTTGCTACTGCTTTTGCTTTTGCTTTTGCCCAAATAAAGCTTCGATAAATCTGCTTTGACCGTATCCTTTTTCTTTCAACTTGGAGAATTAGCTACCTAGCATTCATCAGCAACCGACTTTCATCATGCTTGTAAGTCGTCTTCCCGCGGTGGCTAGGTACTTCTGCAGAGGCATGAGAGGATGAATACAAACCATTCTCATGTCTTCTGTGCTCGTCTGCTCCTCATCTTCACCCAAACACGTGTCTCAAAGAACGTATTTGTTAACTTGATATCCGCCACAGATGCAATCTGCTCTCGTGGCTCTTGCCGCCACCGTCGTGGGAGCCGTCAAGCCTCTCTCTATCAAGGGAACCGACTTCGTCGACGCTGACGGCAACAAGTTCCAGCTTGTTGGTGTTGCGTACCAGCCCGGCGGCAGTGCAGGATACAACCCCAAGGCGGGCAAGGATCCTCTCAGCGATGCCGACACCTGCATGCGTGATGCTGCCCTTCTGCAGGTCATGGGAGTCAACGCCATTCGCGTCTACAACCTCGATCCTAACCTGAACCACGACGAGTGCGCCAGTATCTTCAATGCCGTACGTTTCTGCATTCCTAGAGTTCAATCCTGGCTATTGCCCCGTCTCGCATCTCTGTATTTGGTGTAAATACAACCGCTAACTCTCCCCGCTTAGGCTGGCATGTACATGATCCTAGATGTCAACTCTCCTCTGGTCGGCGAGGCCATCACCTCGTTCGAGCCCTGGACCAGCTACTATGAGGCCTACTCCAACCGCACCTTTGCCATCGCTGAGGCTTTCAGCAACTACCCCAACACCTTGCTCTTCTTCTCCGGAAACGAGGTCATTAACGACGTCCCTACCGCTCAATTCGTCCCCCCGTATCTTCGTGCCGTCACCCGTGACCTGAAGAACTACATCAAGAAGAACATCAAGCGCCAGGTTCCCGTTGGTTACTCGGCTGCTGATGTCCGTGAGGTTCTGTGGGATACCTGGAACTACATGCAGTGCTCCGAGCCCGGCGATGCGGGCGACATGAGCCGCGCCGATATCTTCGCCATCAACTCCTACAGCTGGTGCGGTCCTGATGCCACCTACGAGAGCTCGTCCTACGACGTCTTGACCGAAAACTTCAAGAACACCTCTATCCCCGTCTTCTTCAGCGAGTACGGCTGCAACACCCCCATGCCCCGCTACTGGAACGAGGTCCAGGCCATCTACGGCGACGACATGACCCCCGTCTTTTCCGGCGGTGTCGTTTACGAGTACACTGAGGAGGCAAACCACTACGGCCTCGTCAACATCACCGGTGACACTCTGCAAATCCTCGGCGACTACAACCGCCTCAAGGACCAGCTCGCCAAGGTCAACTGGAAGAAGGTCCAGTCCCAGAAGGCCACCAACAAGGCCCCGGCTCCTCCCAAGTGCACTTCCAATCTCATCCAGGTCAAGGGCTTCGACAACAACTTCACCCTGCCCGTCCCCCCTCCCGGCGTCCAGGGCCTTATCGACAACGGCATTAGCCACAAGCCCAAGGGCGCCCTGGTCAAGATCTCCGACTGGAACGTCAAGCTCAACGTCAAGGACGCTGACGGCAACAAGTTGACTGGCCTCAAGGTTGTTCCCCTCAGTGACGACGAGACCAACTGGAGCGGCAAGAACTCGGCCGACACCGGCTCTGCCAACACCACCTCGAGCGACAGCGGTTCCTCCAGCAGCTCCAACAACTCTTCGTCTAAGAGCGACAGCAAGGATAAGGACAGTGCTGCTGCCTGGATGCGCCCTGCTTCGTTGGCTCTTGCTCTGCCTTTGGTGGCCATGTTCTTTATCTAAATGGCAGGAATTGTACCTTAGGCGACCATTGTTGAATCTTTAGTACTGTACGCACCGTTCAGGGGGTTGAGGGGATACACAAGGAAATTAATGAAGTTGCTTTAATGTAAATATACATGTCTTTCTCATTCTGCTTTGGACCTTTAGATATCCCATTTAGCTCAGCCATGATGATGATTGTCTCTTGTCTCTTGCCTCTTTCTCACTCAAGCAAACTGGTTTGAAGTATTCTAACAACATCTAAAGCATTTCGCAGTACCGTAAATATCTCATAGCCCCAAACTCCCAGCAATGGAATTTTTGCAGTAGTGTAGCGGCAAGCGCGCGTGGGGGCCAGCCCCCCGGATGCCGAGTAAAGGCTATATGTTGTTTTGCCCTGATTTTGCGATTCTGTCCTTCTTGTCTCTTGGTTCGTCTTCATAATTCCGTATCCGTCAATCTTCATTAATAGGAGCCATAATGGCCTCTACGGTGCTTGTTCTAGGAATCACTTTTCGGCGGCTGGTCAATATCCTTAGTCTTGTCCAAGCTGGTAGTGCAGGAAGGGTTGGTCTCGCATGGGAGACAGTAGTCGTGGGTGCCAAAATCGGCAGCCTTGCAACATCCGGAGCAACAGTAATCGACAGGAGTCGACGGTTCGATGAGGCGAGCCATACTTTTTTCTTACACCGAGGTTATGCAGGATGAATGAAAAGGTGAAATGGCTTCTTTCTTTGCCCGTGCAGATCCGATTGTCACCTACCCATTAGAGAACCTGGTCAATAACAATAGGTAAAGCGCAAGAGAGATATGTGGATAGTTTCTTGAAGCAATTGCAAGACAGGACAATGAACAGTCGAATAAGAGGGCACATGATCCCAAATACCCATGCAGCAAGACGACACTGAGGGAATCCACACACCTTGAATGCACCAGCAGTGGATTACTGTACCCACGTGCCAGCTCAGCCAGGCCGGGGAAAAAAAAATCGAGGTGCTGCAACTGTTTTTTTTTGTGCGGCTTTGCGCCCTCCTGGGTGTGTTGGTCCCTCGGGATATTCCCTTTTGACTTCTGACGAAGAGTCACTGGGCTCAAGCAACACAAAGGCGTGGCGGCTTATATAAGTGCAGATAATGACGTGCGTCTTGA